AAGGATGACGGTCGTAGGCATGTTGGATGGTAGTTGATTTTGTGTACGGAAGTCGCACTGTGAATGATTCATTGATAGCTTGATAACCTTCGTCATCGCCGATGCAAGCAGATACCAATGACCAGCTTGCTTTGTTTTGTCTTTTTGATTGTGTGTGCAGGTAATATATCTTCGCGTAGAGCTCCTGTCAGTGTGAAAAAGTAAACTTCATATTAGTCTTTGGGTCACTCGTATGTAAAGCTCTATTTTTACATGCCTGACGGATGACCCATTTTGTTTTGCTTATTGCCAACTCGTTTTTATGACTTTACGATTCTTTGCGCCTCTGTAGCAACAGGAACCAACGACTCTATGTGTAGATACAGGTAAACAACGTTAGACATATTTGATTCAATAAAGGCCTGCTGCATGCACAATAGCAAATCATGATCTTCTTATCATTACCTGGCATATATGCTTTTTTAGTGAGCTCTTCTGCGCTGTTAGCTTTGATAAGCTAAGCCGACAGCAGGTTGTGATTTAGTTTGGATATCTTGGATGATCTTGTAAGGTCTTGACAGTGTGTTCGTCAGGAGATAGATTCGTCGTGAGAGTATTTTGAAAAACGAAAAGAAGCTTTCGTGCCGATGCATCCCGCGTGTGCCGTCGAGGTGTTCTGTTGATTTACAAACGGGTATTTTTTTCTAAACTACTAAAAACATACACTATTAGTTTTTCCAATCATTTGTTGCACTTACCACTCAATGAGGGGACGACTTGGAGCTGAAAAATAGAACATGTGTGATAAAACAGCGAACGAAAGAAATAGAAATTGGGAAAATATGGATTGCAAATTCTTGTAACTGAAAGACCAGATGGATGATGGTTTTCGAAGGCAAAGATTCTGTCTATTTTTGTTAAAGTGCGTTTTAGTTAGTATACTCGTCACATAGTAACAGCGCTTCCTTAATCTTAGCCTACCACATTATCTGCAGAATTCATCGCGTATAATAGCGGTTTCACACGTCCAACGCACACGGCGGCCATTAGTCTTGTCGGTTTGGGATCCAGAATGATTCGTTTGATAACATCCAGTTCGACAGCTGTGCATGATCGAGCACTAGCTCTTGAGCACGCATATGCCTCGATCGTTGATAAGAGCATGAGAGCTTCTTGCCACCGTGCCGACATTGTATAGTTTTTGTGAGTCTTGATAGCGATAGCCTCGGCGCTGATGCTGCTGCTGCTGCTGCTTGGCTTGGGAACTGCTGAAAACCGTGACCATTGCGTGTACCGCTTGTCTTAATTATCAAGGATAGCTGGATCGATTGTCCGTGTTGCTGGATTCGATGATGACCGCAATTATTGGATATGCTGCTTGCTTAGCAATGTTGGTGTTTGTCCTCGATGGGTTGCCGCCAAAAAACCCAATGACTGTTGAGTTTGTGGATCGTCTCAGCACAAAATAAGTTGGTTTGATACGAGCGATCCCCCTGGCTTGTTGTGTGTGCTGCGTGTCCAACGCTATATCTGTAGGCTTGTCATTTGTTGCCACCAGCCACTAGAAGACCCAAATGACATGTGTTTAAATTTTTCCGTGTGTTGACAGCTGGTATCTTCGGAATCGGGCTAATTGCTTGTATGGCTGTGCGTGCTGCTGCTCCAGCGCTTGGTGGTTACTGCCACTTGTTGCCGCCGCCATCGAGTCGTAGGTAGTCACGTAGATAAACGTTTCCATGCATTTTGCTGCGGTGTTGATTATTGATGGTGGCTCACCAGGATGGTCGTACCGTGTGTGCTCCTCAATTTTCTTGTTTCTTCATCGCTTGTTGCTTGTGGATGGGCCTTGACATGGTGTAGTCAGTCAGATGGGTTCTTGCTGTATCCAATGTTGAAAGGGGGTGCTCCGTCGCTTATTGTTGACCAACTTCGTACACTATAGGTCAATCCATTGTTTGTCGCATTTAAAGTTGCTCGCTTGCTTGCTCCTGGTAACTGCAGCCTCACATAAGGGCCGCCAAACCCTATGTGCCTCCTCCATGGCCGAGTCCTTCTGCTTTCGCGCTTGAAGATGGATGGTGAAATTGACCATGTCCGTTGACTTGAGTGACAGAAAGAGACTGAAACATGGTCGTCCACGTTGGTTCAAGACTTGTCCGATCTTCAAAAAGATTTGTTATCCAGCTTCTCCTTGACTACCATTTGCCGCCTGAGGTTGAACTTGGTTGTCTGATGACTTGTGAGATATATGGCAATCAGCTTGATAGTTGTCGCACTATTGCCAATCGTGATCGTGGGATTGATGTATCGATAGCCCCCGCAAGAAAGTCTTGTGCTTGGTAGGCGTCGCTGTCTTTTGCTCAAAGCATCGTTGATCATGCCAGTTTGGTTCAAGATTCAAAAGGTCGGTTCGACATGGATAAATAGGTAGGGACCAAAGCGGATACTGGATCGACGCCGCTTGTTGGAATTGCTTTGTTTATCCGAAGCAACAACTAGTAATCGAAAGACCGCTGTAGATATTGTAAACAATTCCATATTCGGCATTACATACACAAGCAATAAAGGTCACTTGGAACCTTTTGCTATGGGAAAATCGATGATTGCGAAAACCCCACACAAATACAAATCATACCCACACACACCTCCAACAAGTCCACGAATAGCTACAGAAACGGATACAGAAAATAATGGTAAATTCTAAAAAGTAAAAAAAAAACTTTTGTACTCGATGTGTATGTTTTTATTTAGACAACGCCATTGACGAGTCACCGAAAAGTGAAGTCAGTAGCAACACATCAACAGAGAATGATACAGGTAAAGGGAGAAAGTGTTCTTTTGCTTTTATAGGCTTATTTTTGCATTAGTTACTTATACTTTGCCGACTCTTCTGAGGATATCTAGCACAATTGTTTATGCCACTACATTCGGATGACTTGCACGTTTTACAACGCCGTCAATGATGCTTCTTGGCGGTGCTTCTGATGGTTCCGCTTCTGTTTCTGGCTCCTGCAGCTGTGATCTATGTGTACCGACGATTGTTTGTTGTTGCTGCCATTGATGATTTAGCACTGGCAAATTTAACATGGCTGTGTAATATTCGCTTCCTCAGGTGTCGGAGCTGATGATATGGTCGTTGCTAGGATATTTTGCTGATGCTGATGGTGGATGTTGGAAGCCATTTGCAGGCGACAAACTTTTAGCGGAGAATGTTTGGGCATCTGGTATGTGTTGCCTTCTGTCCGCCGATCTGTATTGCGCTTCCAGGGACTGGAGTATGTTTCTGTAGCTGTTCTTTATGTTTTTTATCTTTTGGTATTCTTTCCATGCATTGCAGTAGCATTTGAGGTATTCACATGCTTCGTTGACGAATAAAGCACGTCCCGACCTAGCACATTTCATTGGCCCATACTGTATGTGTCAAAAAGCTGCTTGATGTCAGGATACAGTACAGTAGGAGGGGGGTTATAAGACCTTCAAAAAAACAATGTAACTGTATGGAGTGATGCGTCAAAGCCTATAATTATTATTCATTTGTATGCTCACGCTTAACACGTCTGAACCGCCATGTTGGTTTTTTAATAAGTTTATATTCCCATGTCGTTCCTTGTTTTTGCAAAATTTCCTCAACACGTTTTTGTCGTCTTCATCAAACAACAAAGAGTGCGTCACGAAATCGTCTTGAAAAGTCATTTGCTAGGCCATGTCTGCGCGATACTTTTACTTGGTCCACGAGATGGAATGCTTCCTTTGAAACTTTTGTAGCCATGTATTCTGGATCGTTTCGTGGGTGCTGCGGAAGGGTGTGCAGCTCCTGTTCACCGAACCCACGACTTACTTGATCTACTTCAGATACCGTAAGGCAATTTTGATTTTGTTGTACGCTATCGGCTCCATGTACGATACTTTTGTTATCGTCGTCATCATCAGCAACCGAGTCAGCATCGCTATCATCGTTGCTTGGCTCCAGAGTATAGTCCTCTAGTTCGATTGTATGTACGTTTTTTAGCACTTTTAATAATGACATCCTTAGCATTCTTATTTTCCATGCCATTGGATGTTGTGTGCTCTCTATCTTCTACTTCTTGACTGACATGATTCTCATAGGCTTAGTATGTTTTCAATCACATTATACGAGATACATCCTTGAAAAAAACAGCGCCATGATCCTGCAGCGGTTTCCCTTCTACATTGAGCGCACCAGGAACTAACACATCCTTGATTGTGATGATTGCTTGATTTTTCTTTACCTTCATTCCACTTGGATACTCCTGCTGATGGCTGATTCCACCATAAGCCGCAGCTCTAATCATAACTGTAAGGTGATAAGATTGTGCATCCTTAAGCGATCTTGGTCAATACACACCCTGCTTGTGACAGGAGGATAATCGAAAGTCGATTCACGTACTATTGTCATTGTGATCCACCATCATTTTTTTGTTACATAGTTTCCAACAGTGAATGCGCCAATTTCTGCTGCTGTTTTGAAGCATTAAACCATTTTTCGATGAGTGTCCTTACAAAATACATGAGAGACATTGGAAATGGGGAATGATTTCATATTTATTTGCACGCCATAAGTGAATGATGTGATTTAGTCGGATGGTGGCATTTTACAATTTAGCAACACGGTATATAGAAATCCAGTAAGACATCCGAAAGATATTATAATAACATGGACGCTTGTCTGCAAGGGACTCATTGTTGCCGTCACTGATGCGACTCACAACGTATTAAGGTGTAACGCCATATAAATAGTACATAAACGAGAGCTACAGTCGAACTCTTCAGATTTCACATCCGTTAACTTTCAATCCTCGCTATTTTCAAAGCTTTTTGGAGTCTTCGACGGTTGTGTTATTGCGCGGATCATCCCGCTTCTTTATAGACAGAAGAATGTGGCACATACTCAATGAAACGGAGTCACTTTGAAACCGCGTGCATTTACATGAAATTCAATTTTTGTACATAGTTTAATGCAATATAGTAAAAAAAAAAAGAGCATTGTTGTATTATTGATTATGTGAATAGTTTAGATGTATGCGTTGTGTGTGGTGTTCTGAGTGTTAATTTTGTTGGATGGTATATGAATTAATTAGGATGAGGTGCTATACTACGCGTGTGCTGTGTGTTTTGAAAGGAAAGAGAAAAGAGAATCCAATAATAATATCTAGACTGCTGTTGGCTGGAATGTGGTAACAAGTTGGAAAACATATTGAAAGTCTGGTTTGAAGGGATGCGCCATGCAGCCATGAATGATTGGCGCAAATAAGCCTGGTGACGTTACACTGCTGGTGAACTGTAAGCATCGCATGTGTTCGCCGGCTAGGATCTGAACCAGCTCACCCTAAATAGTAGGTTTTCAAATTATCAATAATCAGTTTCATTTTTCTTAAATTCTGTTTCTGTGAAGAGAACTTACCGATTCAGCGTGCCGCACTTCGATAAATCGAGGATCGAATGCAACAACATACGGATAACAAAACGCGATGGATTGAGGCGTGCCTTCCCACTCGATCCACGAGTTCTTGATCAGCGTACCGTGACTATCCACCAAGAAAGCAAATGCATCGTAGCACAGCAGATAATGTCCACCGCAACGGAACATACCCAATGGCTTGATATCATCACCTCGTTGCACAAGAGGTGCAAAGTCCGGATGCTTAACGTCTGGCAGATTGCGATTCATCGTCAGATGTTCTGGATCGATAATTTCGAAACCACGTGTGCATACGACGACAACGCGTGCTTTTAATAAATGTACAGCGGAAGAATCGGCACCAATGTAGAATTCCTATTTTTTTTCGTGATTTCCGCATCAGTTCACCGGAAACTGTTCCAAGTTGTGGATTTTTTTTACCTTGTATACATGGAACCAAGCTGGTGGTTGTTTGATATTGAAGAGGCCTGATTTCGTGGCAAGATACTTTGCGTTCTTTGGATGGCGCAAATCGCCGCATACGGGCTCATATGCACGAAAATGACTTTAAAAGTCTAGCATTAGAACATCAAAAGGTTCTAGAAGGATAACTCTTTTGGTTTTTTTGCCCAGTATGCTCACAGCTGAATACATACCTATCCATACCGCGTCGTTTCATGGCAACTACTAGCGTTCTACCGTTGCATACTCCCGCATAGAAATATGAAATGTGTTGAGCAATTTTCTGGCTTGGTTGAACAGGACTTTTGCTGCTGCTGCTATTGTTGTTATTGCTAGAAGCTGTGGGGTCAAGCCCTTGTAATGCATATGCATACAGTGTTTTGTCTGAGAAAAAGAAGGGCATCTCGTGGTTATTACCCAACGATCGAGGATCTCTTACGTTTATCATGCTAGTTTACCTGCCAACACAACTAGAATATGGTTTGCCTCCAATACAGCAATTTGATGAACATCCGATAGCGAAAGGACCTGCCGCGTGCTACTCGTATCCCCTTCCACACCCATGTAAACGCCCAAATTGGTACCAATTGCAATCATGCGGATACCGTTGGCTCCCTCTACGTAATCATGGATCACAATTAGAATCGCTTTTGGACCAAAGAAAAGAAAACATGTCCTTACCGAACGGTATAGAGCAAGTGACTTTGCCGTGATTCAAAGCTGTATGCGATCCTGCGCCTGCAAAATGAGTATCGCTCAGCGTACGGATTTCAAAGACCTGGCGCTCCGGATGTGCATGCTCCAACGAAGCTTTAGCTTCCACAATCTTTTCCTTCCATGCCATGCGAGCCAACGAGTTTTCAGCATAGAGAAGATAGTCGCCGCCATGTCGTCCAAGATGGTGAATAAGCATTGGACAGTGGCCACTGTTAGTAGCCGTACTGATACCAAACCCAGTGGGTGATGTGACTGACGATTGAAGTTGGTGTTGCTGTTGCGGGGATGTTGCTGTTGAGGCAGTGCTTGACATTTGTCGCAAGCCCACAGCAAAGCCTTCCGTTGCTTCCTGAGCCTGCAGCAGTGCAAGCGGAATGGGCTTTTTAGAGATATGGTATTCGACCTCACTGCTCGATGAGGATCCTTTTCTTGATTTCGTCATGAGCAGTAAATGATCAAACAAGAACACCTGCAATTCGATCGTTTCAACACCCATATGCGACCGTCGTGTCAATGGACCTTCATGCAAAAGTTGTCGTTCTGGATCCAGAAGCTGCAGTTGGTTGTACGAATCTTCTTCACCGGGCTTGTACCGAATTGCATCGTTGATCTGGCGGAGACGTAAAGCTTTTTTGGTCTCCTCTGTGCCTTCGTCCATGCACGTGGCCACTTCGCGCAAAATGTAGCTGCATGAATTCAGATATGCCTTGTCGGGATGATCGTCGTCCGTCTTTTTCAAGATGGCCCCAATCAATAACGGATAGCGCTGCAATCGCGTTACTGGAAGAATCAAAAAGTGGCGGAACGGAAGCTTTCTGCATTCGGCCTTCTTTTCTGTGTCGTGGATAAAGTTATGGAAAAGTATGTTCTTGCTGGATTCCTGTTTCACTGCATACTCGGCTAAAATGACCTGGGGACCGTACTGGCTGTATGTATCCATAAAAGAGGGTAAGTGCTTCAGGAAGACATCGCCCACATGGCCAACAAAACCACCTTGGCTTTCGCTTTGGCGATCGCGCAAGTCCCGGCACAGATCGCGGTGGATGGCTAATAGGTCTTTGTAGTTGTTGAATACGTTGTCGCAAAACTCGTCACGTATGTCGACATCCAGGCATTGGGCTGTTCGTAATGGCTTTGCGAATAGCTAAAGTTGATGTACGTGTCTCTTGTTAGATCTGTTGATACACTTATTTTTTTACTCAGTTACCGTTTCCTGTCAAGTACCTCGTCGAGCAAATTCAGATCTCTGACATAATCTTCTTCGGTATAGATGATTTCATGGATAGCCTCCTGCCGTGCAATTTCTTGTTTGGGAGTATTCAAGAGCACTTCACGAGACATTGTAGCAGACCATGCACGCGAGAGAGTCTATAATTTAATAGGAGGAGGAGCGAGAGGGAGGGGGTGATTACGGGAGTTAGGTCCTTCGCGTACCCAACAGAACGGTACGATCTATCATCTACTTACGGTATCATGCGAAGACGTTATGGACGAAGATGTCATTGACTTCATCGAGCTATGTCGTCCAAGTCCTTCATCCTTGGTTTTCTACATATTGGCAAAAACGCGGCCATTAGCATTGGCACCAGGTAAATTATGCCGACCCATGCGAAAAAATTGAGCTTATCCATTCACCTTTTCCTTGCTATCATCTTCCCCATCCTCTTCATTGTTATCTTCGACATCTCGATTTGGACACAGTGGCGCATAGCAGCCTCCTTGGCCAGGTAGACATGATTGAGTGTAACAACGTGTCAATGGCGTAAAAACGCCCTGGGGAATCTCTGGATCCTCCTCCAACAAGGTGTATACTTCATACTCCGATGGATAAAGTGTATTTCTCTTGAGAGACTTTTCCGAGTACGAGATGGGGCCGATCAGGGGTGGAGAGGTGCGTACCAATGCTCGTGCGACCAGTAACGCATTGGCATCCGATATCCCGCCGGGCAAAAAGGATTGAATGAGTTGCTAATAGTGGACATCCAAGGGTTGTTAGAGGTTGGTTCTATTCATCTAGCATTATCCTAAGTCTAATACCCGTCTCGCCATTCACTAGATCACAAACCATAATCGATTCCGTAAATTGAAAAAAGAAGGATACTCACTGTAGCTTCTTGGCCAGTAAAACTTAATGGATACTCAATTGAACAAAAGATCTTGCGATGCTTGTTCAAATGGCGTACTTCAATGACCAGTTTTTGACCTAGTTCAGACAGCAACGAATAGTCTGGAAATGCTAGCAAAGGCGCAACCATCGATTGCTCCTCCTCTCCCTCGTCTTTGTGTTCTCTTTTAGCGCTGTTAGGAGCACTTTGATTGATGGGCGATAGCAAAGCATCGTGAATACTCCTTGGACCACCCATCACTGAGGTAGGAGAAGTGGGTGTCGAATGCTGATTGTTTAACGAGCTCGTGCGAGGCATAAAGGCGGTATCGGTAGATGGCGTGTGTTGATGACGATGTTGCTGCTGCTGCTGCTGCTGTTCAGGTCTTTGTGCAATACTGAGCAACGACGGAGACATGGGCGGTGACAGTGAATTCGCAGGCGTTGTTTCTTCCTGTACTGAAGGTGGTGATGGTTGTTGTTGTGGAGAAGATGGCATAGTGAGGCTCACCTTGTCCTGTGGTTGCTGTTGCTGTTGCTGCTGCTGCTGGTGTTGTTGTTGCGTGTCAAATGGTCGAGCATAGGCATAGTTTTCTAGTAAGGGCGAATAACCGGTATAAGATTCTCCGTCTTCTGTAGGACACAGTGAGTCTCGACTAATATTACGGTCTTGGTCCCGGGCCTTTTTCATTTATTAAAAAAATTTGGGAGAGAGAGAGAGAGAGAGTGGGCATATCACTTGTCAACAACACATATCTCGAGCCTTTTTTTTTGTTCCATGAAGCATATTATATTAACCTCGTTTCCATTCTGTTTGGTAGCATTTTTGGGCGCGTCGTTCAAGGTAAATGCCTCGACTTTTTGGTCATCTCCGGAGAGTTCGTGGATGAATGCATCGAGATCGTTATAAAGCGCTTCGAGGGCAGGGGATTTGTTTGAAGAATCACTGTTATTGCGTCGATGGTGCTGAGACATTGTTGTTGACGTAGTTCATGAAGGAGCGGCGTGGGGGATAAGGGGGTTTATTTTTTCGAAATGTTGCTGGTGTTATCGTTGTTGGAAACGAAGTGAAAGTTCAAGTAAAAGAAGAGAAGTGAAAAAATAAAGATAGGCTATTCCAGGAACGTTTTTTCTGGTTAAACAGTGGAGCCGGAGTTAGTGATGGATGAAATAAGAGAGGACCATGTAGTTTGTATCTCTCTTGGCTGCGTCTCCACAGCCACGATCACTTTACATGTATACTGTACATGAAAATTATGTCATGCGTCAAGGGGTGCGTGCAAGGAGAATCATGCTTCTTATTGGCTATTCCTTTTAATTCACAGTGGCTCTTTTTCCTTTATTGTTTCAAGCCAAGAAGAGGTGAAGGACAGCAACTCAATCAAAAAGACTGTTTTTTTGTTGCACATTTTAAAATGATGCAAACGTGTTGAATGTTATCTGAGCAATCTTGCCCGCATCAGTCCGACATAAAACCCGTTTTCTATTCTTTCTTGGCATCTAATAATAATAATAATAATAATGATATGCTCATATCCAGTTTGGTTTAAATTTCAGATGGGTGCATTTAAGGTTTTCTAGTGCGCAGCCCAGACATTAACTGGCCATGACTTCTTCTTCTTCCTCTCCACCACTAAGTAACCTCCTTTTCTTTTACTTTTAATGCATGCACTTTGTTCATGCATGATCAAGGAACACTTTGCAAAAAAGAAAAGACTAGCAGCAAATGCTTTTATTCGCTGGACCATCTCTTTTCCTCCTCTTTTAAACAATCAATAGACCTTGTCATCATCATATCCTTCCCTGAATACTTTGTCCGTTTGCATTTCAAGGAGTCGTTAATATAATTTTGCACATAAGGATTTTGTAGTGCCTCGAGATTTCCAGATACTCAGCAACTACCATTGTTACAAGCGCAGTATAGCAACCGCTCTATGCAAAACGCGTGCTAAGTCTTTTTATATCCAAGCAACGTGATTCTTTGTGTAACAAATGCTGCAGGGGGGAAAGTAACTCTAGAAGCACAGTTTTTCCGTGATATCTAGAGTACTTGAAAAAAGAAGAGGAAGAAGAGGAAGAGGCAGAGGTGCGGGAATAAAAATCTGGCCCTGTGACACAGTGCTATGATACGATGACGAGATTCGATGTACGCTATGTGCATAAAAGACAGGGCGATCCCATTGTATCAAGTGTGGCGTACCCGCTTAGCAAACACGTTGTGCACGTCCTATATACAATTATTTATGGTTGTTAACATCCGTAACTCAAGTCACACATGTATACTACATAAGTATCATAAAGTAAAATTCATCGCGAATGCTATTTTTTTAGGTGTCCGGATATCTTTTTACTGCCGTATGAGAAAATAACCAATGATCAGAGATGAGAACTCGATTGAGAGGGATACTTATCTGCATGATAATTCGTTTACATTGACATAGAAGATGGTCTCAAGGTATTAAAGATACACTCACAGTTGTACTAGTACATCATGAGCGTAATCGAGGAATATTGTCGTACAATCAGAACAGTCCGAGAGGTATATTTGGTATACTCGTTGAATTTTTTTTGCTTGACTAGTATTATCTTATGCCGAGTATTACTATTTTTTTGCACGCATAATTAACGGCATCCCACATCAAAGCTACGGCTAAGACAGATCCAATCGGTGCATAGCATATTCACGTTGAAACCCATCCACAATTTCATATTATTGATATGCATTCCTTCCACGCAATAGCTCCCTCTGTTGTGCTTTCAATGCAAGAGGATCCATTGAATGCTCCTGTATTCCCTTTATTGGAGTTGTTAATAGCACCATTATACTACTACTATCAAAACTATAGGCATAATACTTTCTATGTATGACAGCATTTCATCTTGTTACTTATCAAGGGCCGCCGCCGGTCATGCGGAGCTTTGTCATATGATTTTGAGTTTGTTCCGATGAGAAGGGCCCCACAGCTACTTTTCCTTCCCTTTCCCCACAAATGACAGACAACGAGGAGAGCGTCGTCGATCTGCGATCACTTAATTTCGTCGAGACAATTAACTCCAACTTAATATGTTGCATATGCCAGTCTCCATTTGTTGAGCCAGTAGTACTACCATGCGGGTAAAGAACAGCTAATCCTGGCACACAGCATGAAGGGAAAGATAGACCCACATAAAATAAAACTAATAAAAATACTGTATTCTTTTTTTTTCAGGCATACATTTTGCGCAACATGTATCCATCAAGCTTGTGACGCATCGTCCGTCTGTCCCATTGACAGGTCTTCAATATCCATTTCCGACATTCGACCCGCTGTAAAGATTGTTTGTAATATGGTGAATGAACTCAGTGTACAGTGTCCACGGTTTGAAGAAGGCTGTGACCATGTTGGCCAACGACAATATATAGAGAACCATGCTAAAAACGACTGCTTATATGCGTTTGCATCGTGCGACCTCGAAGAATGCAAAACGCTTGTGTTGAAGAAAGACCTGAGCTCGCATGTTTCCACGTGCAAATATCGGCCAGCGGAATGCAAAATGTGCAAAAAGAGGATGCGAGCATTAGAACTGGAGGTGAGAAATTAAATCAGTTTGCGGGGGGAAGACAAAAATGGGCGTGCTGGAGGGGAAAGAGGGATTGCCGTTACACATCAAAAGAGCAAAAGAAAAAAACACGGCTTTAGCTAAGCTATTCATCGTCATTTGTTTTCCCCCAAGGATCACCACCGATTATGCCCAGCAGAGATTATCCAGTGCCCGCACTGTGAAACGTCGCGTTCTCGGTCTGAGCACACTGCACATTTATTGACTTGTCCTAAACACCCAGTATCGTGCAAACATGCAGAATTCGGCTGTCCATGGAAGGGCGAACGTGAAAAGCTAGAGTCGGAGCACATTGAGAACTGCCCTTATGAAGGGATCAAACACTACCTCGGACAACAAAAGGAAAACGATCAGGCATTGCGAGACGAGATCCAAGCCGTTCGGAAAGAAAACAAATTGCTCAAGCAACAGCAGAACCATCTTGCACAACAGTTCCAAACCTTATCCGACCAGTTAGCCTTGCTTTTCCCATCACAATTCGCTGCTGATCCGAACTGTCCAGAAGAAGCTCAGGTCGGGCTTGCGCCAGCCGAATCGATCTTGACCGAAACGCAACGGCTCAAGAATGATATCGAAACAGTTTCGTCGAATTTGGCGTCGTTGGAACTCAAGCAGAATGTTGCGCTTATGACGGAAACGTTTCGATTGCAGGAAGAGCTGCAGAGTTTGCGTGCGATAAGCCATGGCATGCGGATGCAGATGCATTATATTATGATGGAACGACGCGGAGCGTCATCGGCAGCAGCGGCGGCGGCGATGGGTGCTTCGGATACAGCGTCGTCAAGTAGCACGGATGGAAATGCGCCCGCAGCTGGATCAGTGGGTGGTTTGAACAGAATGCGCTGGCTAGGTAAGCGATCTCCTTTGGGGGGGGAAGGAAAGGATAGGATGGCATATTGATCTGCTGTTGTGATTGTGTATAGATACACCGAACGGTAGACAGGACACGAAGCTGTGAATTCGCCCTTACATATAAACAATTACACTTTCATTCTATACCAACCCTTTTTTCATATACATAATATTTTCTTTCTGAATTGTCATTCAAGCTGTAATATATATTAAACCGGATTTATTTCGCCCCTCCCCCTTCCTGAATACTGTCCGAGTTGCTGTGCATGTTGATGCTGCTGAGAATTCATTGCTAGTTTACGAGTGCTTTTGTAGTTTGCGATACTCGTCTTTAACGCGAAATCCTGCATCCCTTTCCCCTTGTTGCCGTGTCTGGCATGTTTAGTTCTTTTCTTCGGTACTCTTTCGGTAGCTGTTTTCGCCTTGCGAGAGTGCTTTCTGTTGTTGGCGTCAGGGATGTTAGTTGTGGCCATGGTGGCACCATTCTGACGGATCTCCATTTCTACGTGCAAGAAATTTTTAGCTTTTGACAAATTTGTAAACAATTCGAGTCGTCATGACAATGACCATTGTTACGAAGGAGCGTTACCAAGTCTCATTAGCTTCAGGCGTTTGACACATTGTTTCAAACAGTTGGTATGCGGGACTTTTTGTGAAAGACTTGAGCTTCTAAAAATAGTGGATAGTTAGACAACGCCTCAGTCCCGAGCATACAGCCTCTTGATGGATGCTATGCATATCGCAAGCATAGTGATACGAACCGTTGACCTCCAGTCCAATTCATTGTTGTAGTAGGGATGTTTGTTTCGAGAAAGAAAGCAAGGGTGCCGGAAGTGGATCAGGTTCTCCCACTCGTACCACAGCAATACCGATATGAATCATGGACGAAAAAAGTTTCTGTAAATTAACTATCACGACCGTAATAATGCCCAATTTTCTCTTTCTAGCAATTTGATATGTAAAGTTTTATGTCTGCTATCTCTAAAAGGTTTTCGTATTTATATTGCTTGGATGAACGACAGCTCCCTCAAATCGTGCGCCCCACTTATAACCTAATGGAGAAGAGAATAACTGTCAAGACTTGAGACCGGGGCATGTTGGGTAACACAAGAAGGCGTGTTCAAACAGGTTCCGAAATGGCAAGTTTACTCGTCCGTCAATTACTATTAATCTCTGTAACGACTCTAGGCAATTCTTAGTCCACGTGTAAGTAGTGTACCCTCGCTCTCTCTGCTTACCTCTCGTTTGATAAGGATAAAAAGTTCGACACGAAAGTTAGAAGAGACGTATCTAGCAACAGCAATGGCACATTTGTCGTCGACGTGCTGGTCACTGCTACTGCTTAATTTGATAATACGAAGAGCAGGATGCTGGCCGGGTCCCATTTATCGCTCGAAGCCCAGCAAAAGGGTCTTTTTTTTTTTTCGTGTTGCTATGCTGCGAGTCGTTGGGGGGGGGGGGGGCTCGCCATGCTCTGTATATTTACATGGAATTGAATATAAATAAAAAAGACTATTGGGTCGGGCTGATCATCATCAACACAACACAACGCAACGGAGAAACAAAAATGACCCTTTTCTTTCCTTGTGCTGTCAGTAACCATTGTGTGCTACATTTGGGGATGCAGGATACGATGAGCTCTTGGTCGCTATCGTATCCATACTACATCAGATGCTAGCTATAAAGAGACTCCACATCATGAAGATGAGGAATCCGACACATCAGAGGCAATTAAACAATCATCATCACCTCTAATAACTAGCAGCATTGCTAGCTCACACATATTATATCAGCCTCCTCCTGCTCCCCCACTCCAACCCCCTTCTTCTCTGACTAAACTAATAATAACTGCGAACAGAGAGAGAGGGTGTGCGACTGAGAATTACAAAGTTGCTTTTTTGGTGCTTGGACAACGTGTCGCAAATGCCAAAGCTATTACTGCTCTGGTCGTGCGTCCAGAACCTCTTGCGTTTCTTTCTTTCTTTTATTTTAGTTCCTCTCTTCCTCTCTCCCTCTCTCTCTCTCTCTTTCTCTCTCATACTCTTCCTCACTCGCCCCCTTCCTTCGTGCGCTCTCTCTGACTTCCTTTTCTTTTGCCGGAATCCCCATCTCTTTCGTTTCAGTTCCTTATGCCCTCCAACCTCAAATAACTTGTTCTGAATGCACTCCTCCATGACACAGCTTTCCGTTTCTGTTGATGCCACCCACGACGAGATCTCCCGAACAACACAATCCGAATTGTTGCCATCACTTGATTCGTCCAACAACCATGGCAACCCGTCTTTAACAGCACCCACCGAAAACAGTAGCAACAAATTACCCACCGTGACGTTGACTCCTTCAGCAACTATCCGTAACCGCTATTATCAAAAATGCCGAGAAGAAGCCAGATTGGCCGAAAAAAACGACAAAACAACCAAAGAAGAAGAACAAGAACAGAACACAAAAAGTGACAAAGATGACAAGAACAATGATGAAAATAGCAACAGCTCAGGATGGCCCATGTCATCCTATTACGCACCGTTGAAAACACCACTTGATTCCCCGAAAAGCATACGCAGTTTCATGAGCAGTGATGTCGGCTCTATTGTTTCTTTGCGAACAGAAGTCTTGGGAACCGACGATACGCTATCCTTGTCGAGCATGCGGACGACAGAGAGCAGCAGCAGAAAGGTACCGCCTCTAGGAGGCGGCGGAGCCAAGACAACGCGATCAAATACCCTGTTTCGTTCCAAGACGGGCGCCGAGCCAAAGATTGTATTGGACCAGGACGATCATCGAGAAACTTCGAGTTTATTTTTGAAACGGAGCAAGAGCCGAGGTGCCGCGAGCTTGCTGTCGCGTCTATCAAAAACCACGGCACCCATGCGCGCGAAATTATCTGCCATGTCCCGTAGTGGCAGCAGTAAGTACATGCTCTTGCCTATCACCTAATCAACAAAACTGGAACGATGTTCTGAAACATTCTCACGTAGGCTTCCAATTGCGATCACTGGAGGAACCATCATCATCATTTTCGGCGCCCTTGAGACGTTCAGCAGAAAGCATGCTCAACATGCCAATCACGCCCATAAAAACCATGATGCGATCCCAGGGCGAACGATCACGGTCATTTTCGTTTTCAAACGACAACGACAGCATCAGCAGAGGAGAAAATAGTACTGACGAGAGCCGTAAAGTTCTTGGCGAGCACCAAGGAGCCATATCGACTCGCAAGATTTACCCAGCATTGCTGTCAAAGGTGGCGGAGATGCTGCAGGAACGTATCACTGTGACCAAGAAGGTGAAAGACAGCATTGAACACAAGGATGTGTTTGATGGCAAAGAGGCCGTGGTAAGTGCTATTGCAATTAGATGATACCCACATTCATCGTCACGAGGAAAGGAGACAACGAACTCAAACATGATCGTCATGTGCGTTTAGGACAAATTGGTGTGGTTCATTGGCACCAAGGATAGAAACCTTGCCTTGTTAGTCGGTCGAGCATTGGATGCGCAAAAGTTCTTCCACGACGTCAACTATGAACATCGTCTTCGCGATTCACCCAACGAACTCTACCAATTTCGACACCCACCCAACTTGCGACGGGGTCAACATCGTTTTCCGGGCGAACCCGAGGAAGAAGACGAGGAAGATGAAAAGTCGGAATTCAACTTTATGGACAATGTTGGCAATGACGATGACCATTTGCCCAATGGTGTATTCACAATCTTGACGGACTGTTATTCGCCTACCTGTACTCGTGAAAACCTTTGTTACAGTGTGTTTTGTCCAAGACGTCTAGAACAGGTAACGTTCTTTTGCGGGATTACTTAGTTTGGGCGTGATTGGGTGCATTGTGTGTTACCATGGGGAAATCCCCATTTCGGGGTACACGTGCCAACAAAACAAACTTTTTGTGTATGTGTGTATATATAGCAACAAGTCAAGCAAAAGACTCTACATCGCTCTAGTAGCAAGTCATCGCTGGTGGAACGGGTAAGTTACTAAAATACAAATACTTGCCCAAAAAGACGTTGGTGAGGCTGACGTCTGCTTCTTTTTTTATATCACCTAAGGAGGATCGCCTTTGGATCACCACTGTACCAAAACTAGTATCTAGCAAACTCTCCACAGAAGAAAAGAAACGACAGGAAAACATTTTCGAGCTTATTTACACTGAACGAAATTTTGTTGACGATCTATCCTATGTGCAAAAGGTAAAAACGATATATAGGCTCTGCATTTTTAAAAAAAATCCACTAACCCTTATCGTAATAATATTTCCATAAATCACTTAGCATTGGATTACTCCTTTGCTTGAGGGCGACTATATACCCGTGGAACGACGTAATCATTTCGTCCAAGAAGTGTTTTGGAACATTAGCGAAGTTTGCGAAATGAACAGTATGTTGGCAACGGCTTTGGAAGAACGACAAAAGGCTTCTCCTGTGGTGGATCAAGTGGGTGATATCATGCTCCAGCACGTCGCTTCGTTTGGACCATTTGTTCAGTACGGCTCACATCAAATGATCAGTCGGCACGTCTTTGAAACGGAAAAGGCAACCAATCTCTTATTTGCTCAGTTTGTCGAGGTAAGAACCTAGTTTACAAGAAGATGTCAGATTTGCAAGAATCTGGAACTGCAGATAATTTATGCAAGTATGGCATCTTAACTCTCTCTCTCTCTCTCTCTCTCTCTCTCTCTCTGTGCTATATATGCATGTATGGATGTACATGGGGCTATCATCATATTTAGACAACCGAACGATTACCTCAGTCACGTAAACTGGAGTTGAATGGATACTTGACCAAACCTACGACACGATTAGGAAGATACAACCTGCTACTCCGAGAAATCCTAAAGCATACCCCATCCGGTCACCCTGACCATGAGTATATACCAAAAGCAATGAACGTGATTTCTGAATTCTTGAGCGACGTCAATCATGAAACTGGCAAGATCGAAAGCAGATTCAACATTCGATTACTCATAGAGAAACTGTCATACAAGGCCCCAATCAATGTGGATGAAAGGTTTACCGTAAGTTGTTATTTTTGTGTACCGAGCTTCGAGATAATAGGGACTTTTTAATGTCCAAAAAATCAAAAGAGTTATTCTTAAAGAAACCGAATGGTCGATCCTATTTATAGAACCTCCATCTTGATGCGGAGAACCGGGAGATCATTATGAAAGGCCCATTGAAACGTAAAGGTGCCAGTCAGTCTGAATCTGCCGATCTCCAAGTATTTCTGCTTGATCACTGTGTCGTCATAGTCAAGCAGAAATTTGTGAATAACCTCGAGCGATACAAAATATACAAAAAGGTACTTTATTCCAGAATGAAATGGTTCCGTTATCATGAGTGTATATCACTTAACACTGAAAAATCTTGACCTACTATTGTAAAAAAAAAAACAGCCCATACCATTAGCATTGCTATCTATATCATTCCCGGATCAATCTTCACGACGAGGAAGTTCGATTCTACCCTATGGAAGGCCTAGTCTTTCCAATTCAATTTCATCTCTCAACAACATCGACGCAATCACAGCAGCCGCAGCTGCTGCTCCTCCATCCAGTCCCGTTGCTTCGAACAAAGGATACCCTATTACATTCAATTATCTAGGCAGACGCGGCCTTAGTCCGATCACACTTTACGCGGGCACGCTTCACAACCGACGACAATGGGTCGATAAGATCCAAGGTCAACGACAAACATTGATGGAGAAGCAAAAAGTGTTTGACATTCGAACTATCAATTCTCGCTTCTTTAACTCGTTTAACCGTGTTACTTGTGCTGCATCCTATGGTTCGTTTCTTCATACTTTTCGCGAAAAAAAAACCTTACTCAAGGTCCAACAACAACAACAACAACAACAACAGAGTGTGCTAAAAAGGTTTTTCTTCTATTAGGTGACTCTGTCGTTATAGGTAGCAACCAAGGCGTGTATATTAAAAAGGACAACAACAGCGAACATCTTGTTCGTTTGTTGGCCACCGACAAGGTTTCCCAGATCGATGTATTGGAACCGTCCGGACTGATACTTGTGCTCGCAGAAAAGATTCTGCACACCTACTCCATCGACAGCTTACTGGTAGAAAATTCTGCCAAGCGAGGCCGCAAACTCAGTAGCCACGTATCATTCTTCAAAGTGGGTACGATTTTCCAAGGCACGCCGTCCGAGAAAACACTCGTCTGCTTTGTCCGGTATAATACCATCACATCGACGATTCGAGCATTGGAGCCTCATGCTGGTACTGTGAAAAAATCTAAATCTAAGTTGGGTCGGTTGATGCGTGGTTCTGGTGAAGGATTAAAGGTCTACAAAGACCTTTATCTGCCAGGTGAAGCCCTCTCGATTCAATACTTTAAAAACATCATTTGCGTTGGAAGTGCCAAGGGCTTCCAGATGGTTGATCTTGCTTCTACAGAAGTACAAAGTATGTCTTATCTTGTTCAATTGTGATATCCATGTATGTGTGTGTTGAGTTAAAGCTTACGCTGATGAATGGCTGTCAACCTTTTTAGGTGTATTGGATCCAAGTGACGATAGCCATCATGCACTGTTACATCGCGAAAATATCAAGCCTATATCCATGTTCCGACATCCTAATGGCAACATTCTCTTATGCTATAACGGTTAGTAAGACAGATCCTGAGTTGTCGGTAGACGCGTTGCTTAACAAAAATCATGTCAATTTTTGCAGAAATGGCCTTTTACATTGATAAGAAAGGACGTCGCGCTAAACCGGAGTGGATGATCCGATGGGAAGGACAACCCACTGCTTTTGCATTAAGTTACCCATACATTGCCGCATTCGACTCGACATTTATCGAAGTGCGCCACATGAAGACGGTAATATTTCTTGCCCAATCTCGTTCATATAACACCATTATCATTATCTTTATCTTTCTCTCACACATGACTTGTCTTCTTTCACAGGGCGATCTTGTTCAAGTGATTCCCGGTAAAAACATCCGCTGTTTGAAGCCTGACGCTATGGATACCATCTACTGTGCCATGGATGATCCAGTGCTGGGCTCTGAGTTGGTGTTCGAGTTGACGCGGACAGAAATAAATTAGTGTCCTTTTCACATATTTACTGTAGTGTTTTTTTCCTCTTTTGTTATGATTTTGATTTTGTTCTCTTTATCACCGTTATTATTTTTACTATTATTTGCATTCTTTTTATTATTATTATTTGTATCACTCTCTCTCTCTCTCGCCTTCATCATCATGTTGTATATCGCGACGACATATATATATAAAAAGTTTCTCTTTCCTTTTTCTTCCAACCATATCATCACATTTATATGAACAGTTACTGTAATAAATGATTTGCTCGTGCGAATAAGACACGCTTTTAGTGTGATTGTTGTATTAAGTTGCTGTTCTACAGGTGCTGCTGATCATTAAAGATGGAAAAGCGTAAATCAAAAGTTTACTGATAGTACGATCGCGTGTCTTGACTACGAAGATGCACCAAGAAGAACAGATATCGTATATTGGCACTGATTTAATAAATATGCTACCGGGCTATCAAACGAATGTTACTCCTCTCGCCACCCCTTCCTCCCAAAGCGTTAGACATTTGAACCCTTATCCAGCCTCTCGGGGTCAAATCATCATTCGGATTCGGATAAAACTGGGCTTAGTAAACAGAGCCCTCCTCCAATCAGACTTCGTTTCTCCGCAAAACACGTAAAGGGTACCTTTTCTATAATCAACAAACGACCCCCATGGCAACGGCTGCAGTGAAAGAACATTTGACAATGTTCATTGTCGTTCGTAAAGATCTGACAAAGGTATGAGATTCACTTTCAGCATTCGGCTTTGACAACTACTGATCAACCTTGGTTTTTTCTTTTTTATAGAGCTTGAGCTGGAACACAGGAAGGTAAAAAAAAAAGTATCAATTTTGTAAGCAAACCATCATTGGGGTTTCTGATGCCTTTTTATAGTGTGATGACGCAGGCTTGCCATGCTGCAACAGCAGTCTTACACGTGACAAGGAACGATCCGGATACAGAAGAGTATTTGACCGATGTCACACGCATGCATAAAGTAGTCCTCGAGGTAATCTCACATTCTTGTCTGTTCTTTTTCCGGTTGGTTCTCGGTCAGAAAAGTGTCGTTTTGCTGACTGATATCCATGTGAAATGACGATGGTGCTGTTTGCAGACGAAAAACGCAAACTCGTTGGAAAAGCTAGAAGCAGCTTTGAAGGAGCATCAGATACCACACTACAAGTGGGTGGAGCAGCCCGAAGATATCCCTACGGCACTTGCAACAGCGCCACTCCGCGAACGAACACCTGAAGTCAAAGATGTGTTTAAAAAGCACTGCTCCCTATATCGATGATGATCGAAGAAGATGATCGCTTTCTGTGTTTCGTGATAATGATAACGGTGTTTGGTTGTTATCAGGAAAATAAAAAGAAGAAGCATTCACCTTGTAATAAAAAAAACGCGATGGATGAGATCCATCAAATCTCTCTCATTTCTCTCCCCTTCTCTCGTTTTGGGGGTAGTAATTTCATGCGACGCGGCCATTTTAACTTGATTTGGGAGAAGGAAAGGGGATAGATAGGTAGGGGGAGGAGTGTAGATTTCGAAACGAGATATCGACGGAGAGAAAAATGCTGCCAATTTGGAGCCTTAAGAAACTCTCAGCCAATCGGCATGATTATCGCCCCCCACAAGGTTTGCCGTCCGTCTTTTCCTTTGATTTTCCCGAAAGTGCCCGCGTAAACTCTCAACGGGAAACTAGGCGGAAATTTTTTTTTTTGGGTTGACGGGAAAGCTGGGGTTCTTTTTCCTTTTCATACGCGTCAGTAACAAAACAGGGCATAAAGAGCGAGCGCCAGGGGGAAGCACACACAGAGAGAGAGAGAGAGAGAGAGAGACAGACATGAGGCGAGTAGTTGTCCAGCTGAGCTGATTGAGCCAATGATAATCGATTCGGGAAGGCTGTGGAAGTTCCAGGACCCCCGATCAGCGAGATAATAGATCAGCTTACTGTGTGTGTGTGGCGGGTATGCGCGCGTGTTGCCGTGTGTTTGCCTGCCTGTCTGCCCTGCTTGGCTGTCGTCCAGCTGTTGCTGATTCATCCCGCTTACATCATCGTTTTGCCCTTTTGTTGGGTTTATTTACCACCCCTACAAAACCCGCCGGGTCCGCCTTTCTTCTTCTCTTTTTCCCCATCTTTTACCAACTGTAAAGAAACGAACTAACAAACAAACATGGTTGAAGCTGTGTAAGTAGTCCTTGTCTGCCTTTTCCCCTCTCTCTCTGTTGAAGCGCAATCCCGGTACGCTGGCCACTGACATGATGCTTCTCTCTAATACAGTGCTGATATTGGTCTCATTGGTTTGGCTGTCATGGTAATTTGAGAAGGAATTTTTTAAAGACGCGTCGTCGTCGTCGTCGTTGTCATGCTCTCCTCAGGGACCGAGCCGGGACTAATCCACTGTGATACGCGTTTAGGGCCAAAACTTGATTTTAAACATGAACGACAATGGCTTCACTGTCTGCGCTTACAACCGTACCACCTCCAAGGTTGACGCATTCTTGGAGAACGAGGCCAAGGGTAAGAGCTTGGGGCACATGCAATCGTTAGTTCTCGCGGTCTGGGCTGTTGTTCACATAGCCAACTCCCAGATTACAGGGTGGACGATGGGGCCTAAAAAGGACGCAGGACCGTGTGGAAACAGAAAAAAGGAAACTCGGGATATGCTTGTTCTGGTACTGTTCGTGCTGTTTACTGACGATTCTGTTTGTTTGTTTTTTTTAGGCACCAACATTGTCGGAGCTCACTCTGTTGAGGAGTTGTGCGCCAAGTTGAAGCGTCCCCGCAAGGTCGTCTTGCTTGTCAAGGCTGGCTCCGCTGTCGATGCCTTCATTGACCAGCTCTTGCCCTTCATGGAAGAGGGTGATATCATCATCGACGGTGGTAACTCGCATTACCCCGACTCCATCCGCCGTTGCGCCGATTTGGAGAAGAAGGGCATCCTCTTTGTCGGTTCGGGTGTTTCCGGCGGTGAGGAAGGTGCTCGCTATGGTCCTTCGCTCATGCCCGGTGGTCACCCTGGCGCTTGGGAAGCCATCAAGCCCATCTTCCAGTCCATCGCCGCCAAGGTTGACAACGAGCCCTGCTGCGACTGGGTCGGTGGTACCGGTGCCGGTCACTACGTCAAGATGGTCCACAACGGTATTGGTATGTATTGTGTGCATCGATATGTGTATATATACTGTGGAAATAGACACGTGTGATACTAACAATCGTATTTAGAATATGGTGACATGCAGTTGATCACTGAAGTCTACCAAATCATGCTTGAGGGTCTTGGCCTTACTCACGACGAGATGGCCGAAGTCTTCACTGAATGGAACAAGGGTGAATTGGACTCGTTCTTGATCGAGATCACCCGTGACATTCTCAAGTTCAAGGATACCGATGGCCAGCCCTTGGTCGAAAAGATCCGTGACACTGCTGGTCAGAAGGGTACTGGCAAGTGGACCGGCATTGACTCGTTGGACCGCGGTATCCCCGTCACCTTGATCGGTGAGGCTGTCTACTCCCGCTGCTTGTCTTCCCTCAAGGACGAGCGTGTCCGTGCCTCCAAGATCCTCTCTGGCCCCAAGGACAAAAAGTACACTGGTGACAAGAAGGAATTCATTGCCCAGCTCGGCCAGGCCTTGTATGCCGCCAAGATTGTCTCGTACGCTCAGGGCTTCATGTTGATGCGCCAGGCTGCCAAGGACAACAACTGGGCTTTGAACAACGCCGGCATTGCCTTGATGTGGCGCGGTGGCTGCATTATCCGCTCTGTCTTCTTGGGCAAGATCAAGGATGCTTACACCAACAACCCCGAACTCGAGAACTTGTTGTTCGATCCCTTCTTCCAAGAGGCTACCGCCAAGGCCCAGGATGCCTGGAGAAACGTCATTGCACAGGCCGTCATCATGGGTATCCCCACTCCCGCTTTGTCGACCGCTTTGAACTTCTACGATGGTCTCCGTCACGAGAAGTTGCCCGCCAACTTGCTCCAGGCTCAGCGTGATTACTTTGGTGCCCACACCTACGAGCTTTTGGATGCCCCTGGCAAGTGGATCCACACAAACTGGACCGGCCGTGGTGGCAACGTCGCTGCTTCTACCTACGATGCTTAAGTAAAGATGATTACCCACACATTTTTTCTCCAACTATCACCCTTCCCCCACCAACAGACACTCTCACGATTTACATTCGATTTACTTTCTAGTCTCTCACTCACTCACTCTCTCTGTTTCCTTGTTATCATTCGTCGACACTTTGCATCTTTTGTTTGTATAAAAATTCTCCCCCCCCATTCAATGCAAGAAACACTGTTACTTTACCCAAAAAAGAAAAGGTGATATAACATATACGACTTTCATACGGATTTGTGTGGGACGTTAATGAGGTAGAAAGGCATGGGCTGACGTTGTTCAGTTAGACTGGGATGTACTGCGATAAGAACGCGTCTTTGATCATTACTTGGTTCGAACATACATTTCGCGCTGCCATGACTACAAAGCAGTCGATGCAGCTACTCAGAAATAAATGTATCTTAGTGATAAAATATAACAACATTACTTATAAGCAAGTATTATATAGGTTGCGTGAGTTAGTTACAGGTACAGTGTGATACTGTATGCTGATAACTGATCGTTCGTAGATACTAAAGTTCAGACACACTTTTTACTGTAGCATGTAGCTAGTATTGCTACATCAAATACTGTATTAAGACATAACGAAGCTTTAAAAAATACGATGTGCCACAAAATTCGTGGCGGGATTTCAAGCCATGGTTCAAGCGCGTTTTTTCCCCCTTTTGCCCTTTGACTCTCCTATTCCTTCTCTTTTCTTGATCGCTATGAGTATACCAGATTCCCTACGCGCTATTTTACAAGAGGGACGAAACCAACAATCGCATCACCACACATTTGGAGAATCTTCACGCACACCACGGTTTTCTACTGCGTCTTCATACCGCAGCTTCTCAGGCAACCACGACAACAGTAATAACAGCAGCACCAGTACTTCTACGCTCGATCGCCATACGGCTAAAACGCTTCATAAACTCATACAGCGATTCGTCCAAACCAATCCAGACAATGCTCAAGATCAAATACACTTTGACGTTGTCTATGACAAGTGTGCGCGATTGCTGACCAGGTGGGTTATATTAAACATATCTTGATTTGTTATTTTCTTTCCCCAGTAAATACGAAAGACTAACTTAATCGAGCGATCGTTTTATTTTCTTTATATTTCCTCCCTCTACCTTAGCCAGCCTTCACCATCAGTAGTAGAAGACGAAAACCATGTTGCAAATATGATTCGACGAAAACGTATTTTTAAAAGCTTATATCGGCGTGGAGGTATATTTAAAAGACTTACAATGTACGTTATTCTCATAGTAACACGAGATCCCCAAGACATGAACAAAGCGACGCGATTCGGTCACTTGTATAATAAACTAGCTTCGCAGGTATAACGAATTGCAAGAACCTATGAAAAGGAAAATACATTCCTTAACTGGTGCTACTGTATTCTATAGTCTGTTCTTCAAAACAAATGGTCCATTCTTTACCTATTGTCCCTCGTTAGTGAAGTGGACGGTCCAGCCTCAGCTCCTTTATCGGTATGCATTGAATTTGATGGTTGATCCGTTCAAATATACGCACGCGAAAAAAAAAAGATTTAACAAAATTGATATAATGTATACTGCTGCCACTAGCCTACGAGCTCTCCATTGGGATTGTCTAGTGTATCGCCACAGCTACAGCCATCAAGTTCACGACCTTATGATTTGCAACATGACACAACAACATCTTCACGGAACACACGACGACGATTAGCGGATGATTACTCTGAAAGCGATCGCATGTTACCACCCGCGGTACAGCTTGAAAAGGCACGAGAAATGTATCAAAGCTCATTATCAAACAGTGAATACGAACCAGGTAAAGCAATCTTTTTTGATAGGGATTGAGGACGATGAACTAATGAAATATAGCGACATGATAATTGACGTGTTTTTTTTTTTTTTTTGCCGACATCTGTTACAGTTGTGCCTGAATCTGAGCTTTTACGTGATCTCATATTCATTTTCCAAGGCATTGATGGCCAATATATCAAATACGATTCCAATTCTGATGTATATGCCATGGATAGTCAGGTATCAATGCAATTCAAGGTCCACTGGCTGTCTCTGTCGATTTTTATCTTATGCGAAAAATGGTTTGATAATGTACATAGATAAACGTTCCAGAACCTACAAAAGATCTGGTGTATCGACTAACTGAAATTGGATGGTTATATCAACGGATACAAGCATTTATTCGAACTCGATGCAATGATCCGTCTGCCGGGCTTGTTGCTCAGGTTGGTATACATAAATGATTGTATGTAATTGGGATGATTGAACAATCCGGATTGATGATAAGTATACGTGTAAACATAGGCTTTCTGCTTTGCTCTCCAACATGAATTGACGGATTACTACAAACTGATGGCAGTACTTGAGGCACAAATCGAAAAGCAGACGTCCAATTTACTCTCGGTTACAAGTGAACATACACTGACACTTAGACGACTGATTTTATGGACTCGAGAAAGCTCTCAACGACTCCGTCTCATGAGTGTTTTGGTTGATGTTTGTAAAAGTAATGCTTCACAAAGAAAACACTAAAGTGATAATTCGCTTTGTAAGATTTTAAAATTACTAATATCTGTTTTAGATCAAAAGGGCGGAGCTCTAGTATCGACGATGCATAATTATACAAAACACGGCGACCCATTCATCCAAAACTATATAAGGGCTATGTTGGAAGAGGTATAAATTGTTCCTGTACACATTTGATTTGGGGACATGGAGAGGTTATTCATGAGAAAAGTGCTCGTTTATAACTTTGCGCGGTCTTTGATAGGTTTCCAAACCATTTTATGAAATGCTTCAACGATGGATCTATGAAGGCGAGTTGGATGACCCTTACCAAGAATTCTTTGTTGCTTGTGATCCAAGCGTATGCGAAGAAGAACTTTGGCGAAACAAGTATACTATTCGTGAAAACATGATTCCCAGTTTTATTTCAGGCGAACTAGCACAAAAGGTAACTTGACAGAGCTAAAAAGATTCTTCAGGGAACAGTCCTTTGTTAGGGTTACTAAGTGAAGATATCTCGATCGACAGATTTTCTTGATTGGAAAGTCGATTAATTTTATTCGCTACAGTTGCCAAGATGACGCTTTCGTTGTAACAAATCATAACGCATCTGAACCATCACGTACGTGTATTATACAATATCATCTGCCTTGGTCTGCCAACAGTTTAAAATGCAATGACGTCGTTGAGTGGGAGAAAAGTATGGTACTAAAGCAATAAAAATAGCTGTACAGACATTCAAGTATGGAGACATACTAGCAGTTGAACGGTCCATTGATGTGACATATCGAGAAACTAGCAAGCAATTGATCAACCTGCTCAAGCACAAGTATAAGCTGATGGATCATTTGCGAGCTCTGAAGCGATATTTACTATTGGGCCAAGGCGACTTCATCCAATACCTGATGGACACTTTAGGGTAAGTCCATATCTACTCACCAAAGTAAATGTGATTACACAAAAGACCATCAATATTCACAAACGTTCATACAGTCCTGGATTGAACCGTCCTGCCAACACACTCTTCCGGCACAACTTGACTGGCGTACTAGAAACCGCAATCCGTGCTTCAAATGCACAATATGACGATCCTGAAATCCTCAATCGGTTGGATGTGCGGCTTTTGGAGGTACGTTTGTGTGTAGTAGGGACGTGTGTCTATGCTACCAGAAATACTTGGAGAAGGAAGCTGCTACGAGAATGAAGATCATCGATGAGAAATTAAAATTGATGTTCTATTCTTTAGGTTTCTGCCAATGACTTGGGCTGGGACGTATTCACGCTTGATTATCATTTAGACTCGCCTATTAATACTGTGTTTAGCCCGCCAGCCATGCACCAATATCTTCGCATGTTCAACTTTTTATGGCAATTGAAACGTGTCGAGTATACCCTTACAGCATCCTGGCGACGGTGGAGCATAGCATCCCGGGACTTTGCCTCAATTACAGAAATGGCACAAGATTTACATCAAGCACAACTATGTATCAGTCGCATGATTCATTTCATTTATCAATTACAGCACTATTATCTTTTCGAGGTAGAACTATTTTCCTTCTGGTCTGCGTTTTCTACCATTCTATACGTTTTTGAACAGATTTACAAACAGAAAATAACTTTAGGTGCTGGAATGCTCTTGGGAAAAGCTTGATGACCATATCAACAACAAATGTATCGACTTGGACTCTATCATCGAAGCCCATTCACAATACCTGTCTGAAATTACAGAGAAGGGATTTTTAAATGGGGCAAAGAATCGAGCATTGTCGATGCGCCTTGGCTCGCTATTTGAAACCATCCTCGCTTATAAATCAATCCTGGTGTGTAGACTGGATAGCTAGAGAGAAAGAGACTGTATAGTACTATAGCTGCATACGTTCCACATGTTGACTAATGCTCATCGCATCTCCATATACAAATAGGATAATCTGTACTTATTCGGCTCATCATCTTTTCGGGACTCGGAAAAGTTACTGAGGATACGCAACAAGCATAAGGACATGGAAAAGAAATTTCAAACACAAGTACTGGAATTTTTAGATGTTTTAGCATCATACCATGATGAAGATTTGCGATCTTTGTTAACGAGACTTAATTACAATGGATATTACTCGTCAAATTAAAAAAAACAAATCAAAACAAATGCTCTGTGCTTTTGAAAATGAGGGAAAAAAATGATACGAGACACATATATCTTTGCGATGTGTGTGTATGTGTGTGTGTGTATGGATGTAGTGACATGGCAAGTAAGGATGAAGAAAAAGGAATAGTAAGGAACAAAGGGGGGAGTGACAATGATAAAAATAGGGAGGATATGTAAGGTGTGTGAGCGCAAAAGTAGCTCAAACTTTGCTTTCTGCCTTTTCTGGCATTTTGCTCATTTCTCCAGTTGTAAAAAAGTCTTCCAGTAACCGATGTAATTCGTTCAGTGGACTTGCATTTTCTCGAGATTTCGGCGTCGCAGGCAACACGTCGTTAAAAATGACTTGATAGATCTTGTAAGCTTGTCTGGGATATGCGCGCAACAATCCACGGCCAGCAATTTGAAGGAAACTGTGAATAAGGCCAGGCGTGATAGGTCGAGGTGGAACATTGCAGATACGAGCCAGCCAAAGCCAGCCATTTTCGATGCCATGCGGATTGGGCGGATCAGAACCGAGCTGTTGACCCATTTGAACGAGTGCGGCAAAGAACATGACGTATGAGTATTGATATAAGTAATGCATGTCGATTGTTTGAAACTCTTTCTTCTCGTCGTCAACGTGCTCGTATCGCTGAAGTCGTTTTATGTCATCGATGGAAACGTCCGAACCATCATGATAGTTGGGAATCATGTAGGGACAACGTTTGTATAATCGAGCTAGTAAGTATTCCATGAATTCTGGAATGGCTGCGCCCAATAGCATCGCAAAACGTGCATAAAAATAGGCACCCCAACTAATAGATGAAATTTCAGACCGTGCTTGTCGCTATAGCAATCCGGTGTTGGTTAGTTGAAAGACCAAGAGGAAAATGTGCATTTGCACAAAATAAATGGTGTCGGGCACAAGGTACTTACCAGAAAATCCTTTGCTGTGTAATTGAGTAGAATGTGAAAGGCGTCTTCTGACTGGCTTCTGGCGGCCAAAAGACGGTCTCTAATGGCTTTAAACTACGCATAAACAAAGCATTAGTTTCCAAGTGCACGAGAAATCACTAGTCATTGATTTAGCCATTACCCGCTGATCAACTACTTCTCGCTTAAACTGCAATTGCTTCAAATATCGCTTTATCGGCATTCGCTCTTTAAACACAGTTGACCGGAACTTTTGGTCCTGAAGTTTTGGCTTGTAGTGTTCTCGGTAGTACTAACGACAGTATACACATCAGATTACAATTGATAACCTTTATGCAATCTCATATCTAATATGCAGTTGATGGAAATACCTCGATTCTTTTCATGTATGTAGCGTATAATTCAATACCGTTGACTGATGCCGACGATTGTTTGGCCTGCTTAAAGGTTTCATGCGCATACGTCAAAATATTCAGCATTTCGTTTGTCACTCAATCAAAAAGGAATACCATAAAAAAGCATATACCTGCATGCGCGCCTTTTCTTCTTTCTCCTTTCTAGCTTTGTCGGCTGCTTCGGCCTTCTGTTTGTCTTCTAGACTCTTTTGTTCTTTCTCTCTTTGTGCCTTGGCTTCCGCTTCTTTCTGTGCTTTCAGCTTTGCTTGCTTCTCTTTGTCTATCTGGATCGCGTTTTTGACTCGCTATTATCGGGGATCTGTTTCAGTATCTTACACGAACCTGTAGTACATCCCCTATCTCTCCTCATTGGTTCCTTAGCAACAATGGATTACCTCGCTTAATTCAACCACATACTGATTATACTCTTCATCAAGCTCTTTTTCCAATGTTGTGCTGTGTTTGTTTGACAAGGAGCAGTAAGTACATGTATGATCTGTCTTTCAAAGCTGCAGGCTTGTATCAAACATGAAAAGAAAAAGAATACGTACAATTTTACATCCAAACTAGATAGACCCATACGAATTCTCTCCAGGTCTTCTTCGATCTTTCTATTCTGCTTTTCCAGTATATCTTTTTTCATTTGATCGAGTTCTTGTTTGTGTGCTTGCTGCTTAACCGCAGAGCTTGTGTCAATGGCCCGCTATACAGTGAGGAAAACAGAAAAGTTTGGCATTTAGAACGTGAACAAGGACATATACACTTCTCGGCTGATCGGTTTGTGCACAGAAACAGACACAAGTAGTAGACTACAATATACTCACTTTACTGTTGTTCTGCACTACATTCAGTTTATATGCTTGTAAAATATCCACTGGCAGAGCTAGAGAAGCAAGTTCTGGGACTTTCTTGAAGTTTGGGTTTCTGTTTGAAAAAAAAAACGCGCAATTAGATTATTTTCGATTCTCCTTTTTTGACCTTCAACTGGATTCACGTTGCTCTTATCAACAATCGCTATGCCTTTATAGACCAGAAATTTGAATGAACGAGACAATGAGCCGTACTTTTGTTTAAATTTTGTTGCGGTGTCCTCCAAGTCAGAATCGTCAGAATCTGAGGGACAACTGTACACGACTGAATTCGTAATTTTTCGCAAAGGCATGCTAAAAACAGGAAGAGTGGAATAAAAGATTTAAATTAGGTAAGTGCCTTGATTCAAGGCTAGTTTTTTCAACGTATATGATTTTGATCTATACCTTCGCCTTGCAGTTGCTGCCATTTTGTCAAACGAAAAGTAAGTGATAGTTTTAGTCACACGAGAAAAGAAATCCGGGCAGGAAAAGAAAGTGGGTCTCGGAATCTCCGCCGAGCGAGCTCTTCTCGCGTTCTGTCAGCTAAAAGACTGGGAGGTATTATGCTTGTTCGCTAGTCACCAAACACTCTGCTTTTTGAGATGAGAATATAACTCGCTTTTGACAGGAGCTTATAAAGCTGCTCACTGTTTTTTGATACACTTACCTAGTGCCTTGCCAAAGGAAGAAAGTGCATGCTGGTGACAGCAGTCCGGTTGATTAACCGGGCAACTAACATTTAGAAAGTTGCATAGTGGTATCAAAGCACAATTATTTGTCATTGATATATGGTTGTTGAGCAACAACTGCCGAAAAACTACTGTGGACCCGGGATTTGAGATTTGTATACAGTGTCTCTTTATCTGCCGCAATACGCTTGTTTAACAACAAGTAAACTACTGCCACCCTCGTCCCTCCATAAGTATTATTGCAATGATAATGTATGTAGATAAGACTTATACACATAGAGGTAATATGCACCGTGTTTTTAAAATAGCTCACATCCGTACACAGGATAAAACGCCGAGACCCCGTGTACCAAGAATATCATAGCATCATGCTGTTGCTGTTTCGTAGATCAAGTAGGAAAAGGTTGATGGACCGCCTCTCTTCTTGTGTCTTTGAGAGAGCGCTCAAAAAGGACATTAATCGTCCTAGGAGAGAAGAGATCTTTTTATTTTGAACCAGCCTTCTTTTCCTTTGCCATAACAGTTAGCCATTCCGCTTTTTTTTTAAGCTAATTTCATAATTTGCAAAGTGAGTGGTGGTAGTGCACATGCGCACGGTGCCGCCACTAAACAGCACAAACTTTGATCCTGCAGCAGCAGCTCATACTGCATGCATATCATGCCACATATTGTAACTTTGGATCGTATTCTTCAGAGTTCCTCACTCGTCCTAATGTACTGTTGTACTTAGCATAGACGTTCCATACCATCCACAATGTCATATAGTCTTCGTTGCTGGCATCTCTTTGTATTACTGTAACTGTAATATCGACAAGAGAGATCTACACACATCATTTTGACACCCAAGTTCTTACTTTTCGTGTGTATGTAGCAGTAAGCTTGGTCTGTTTTCGAAAAAGATGCCAAAGACTTTTTATCCGTATTACATGATGTGGGTTTATTTGAGAGCTAGTAGTATACACAGAATAATAGCAGAGAGGAGGAGGTGTGAATGCAAAGAGAGAAGAAGTTACCTCATACTGATTGCTACGTACAAATCTAGTCAGTGACAGATTGTTCTGTGCAAGCACGGTAATACTATTGTTGTCTGGTATAGATTCAATGCTTGTGTCTCCATGTGCTGCTACAAGCCTCGAAGATGTCCATTAATCACCTATGTTTAGCCCGCGCTACTCCTGCCAAAACTCTTTTAGAAGATACCCATGCGCGGGGAAGAATAAAAGTACTATCTAGTACGTAACAGAACGCTATTTATGCAGTATGTACAACTATGGCAGAGTACTTTTGCTGCGTTACTGTTCGTTTACATTAAACTATTCATCTCTAGATTCTTTTATATCACTTGATAGAAAGACTCTTGTAGCCCAGATGAATGCATAAATTTTACGCCTTATATATTAAGCAATGGAAATAACACGTGCTTTACGCTGTTGTTGTTCGCTATCTTTTAAAGCTATTTTTTCCCCGGATTCAATGCTGAAAAAACACTCACCCTTGCTGTCTCTCTTGCAGACTATCTACTCTGCAATTTGTTCGGCTACAAGGTGTTTCATCCATTGTTCGATACATAATGGGGAAAGGGCACGTCTCGCTTGAGCGTCGATGGATACCGCAAGGCGTAATTATCAGCGTGTCCGACCACGTACAGGATGAAGTCAAACTTCCATCTACAGTAACAACATTGAGCGGCATGTATGATCGATGAGATGATGGTGCAAAGACGGGAAGCACCGTATTTAAAAATGTAGATGATAGCTGCCATGGTTGTCTTGCCCCAATATACGACGTTTCTTTTCCAATGGCTGTTGGAGATATTCCATGATTATCCTCATAATATTTAATAATGATTCAACCCAAGTTTAGATGTTGACCATCGTCGGCAGATCACGTTGTGATTTTCTTATTTCCACCGCCCATCTTGTTCCTTTGATTATGTATTTTGTGATATGCTACTGTCCACACATTTATATGACCAAACAATTCTCCAAACATCATAATCCACAGTTGGGAAAACTTCCATTGAAATGTAGGAATTATGCGTATTTCTGTTAAGCGACGATCCCTATTGGAGGACAGATACTCATTTCGGCGCTCATTATCAGTCGTCGCCCACGGTATGCAATGCCCTTGAAAGCGATCCAGAGACGAAGTCCTTCTTGGCCTATTGCTAAAGGTGACATGAGCTTGGTGAACATTTCCGTACACTGACCGGATCAGTGGCTCAAACCAAAAACGTAGCCTTGGAGCGTCCATTTTACGGCAAGCCCTACATAAAGACGCATGTAGTCCAAGAGCAAACACATATTACTATCCCTGCCAACTTTAATTGATATTCCACCTTGCCACCAGTCAATGCACCAGTTGTGAATGGAATTACTGCTGGGCGAAGTCTTGTAGTGAAGAAGCTGCTCGTCCCCAGCACACTTTTCTTTGGCATCTAAAGACAAGACATAGTAAAAATAAGCGGATCGTAATTCTTACCAAAAGGGACTATATATTAAGCTAAGTGGGACGTAATGCACAGTAAACGGTGCTCTTGACGTATATAAAAAGCAACTGCAAAAGAGCAGGACTTTTCTCTCGGGCTTTATTATAACATCATTAATTCGGCAACGACAAGTAGTCTGCAAAGAGACGACCAGAGACACAATGTGGATTTTGCTGTGGGAATAAGTAACAATAGGGGAAAATTCGCTGCGTCTCTCTTTTTTTTTATTATCACATAACGAAGGCTCCGATCACGTACGCACACACCCACACTAACGACAAGCATAAAGAATGTAATTCAGCAGGAAGCAAAGGTAGTCCATGAATGAGGAAATCAGGGAGAGCGCAACACAGATCTTTCTTTTGTGGATAGTGACGAAGTTACGCGTGTGTCAAACCTTGAACGTTCCAACAGCTTTCCCCTGAAACGAAAACTATGTAGAGTGAAAGCGTATTGTGACGCAACGATTTGGCCAATTGACTTCGCACTCGAAGTACACAATGGGATGGCGAGTGAAAAAGGTAATAAATGGAGCAACGAATTACGCGCAGAAGTGGCAAAAGTTGGAGGAAGTCATCGTTTGTAGTGTTATTCTTCTGATCGTCCCCATGGATCTTGAACGCTGCTTTAAAAGAACGTAGAACCGCACAAAAACAAATGAACCGATTTACTTTATCAGCAGGCAATGAAAAAAAAAATGAAGGATGAGTCGATTTCACTAGCGGCAGCGGATACTGATTATGAACGGGTCAACGTATCTGCAGCAGCACATACTTGGGATGGAGGATAGAACTTTCAGAGAACTGTTGGCGGATAGCGAAGATGGTAAAGCAACAGTTGACGAGCACGGTTAAGCATAGAAGATACCGGGTCTTTAATATGCACTGCAGCGATGGGGGCATCTTTTTCCGCACACACACAACATTACGTGCCACACACACAGTCCAAAGATAATATTAAAGTACTGTAAACTACGCTATATACACACGCTGTTTGTCTTGTTGGGTGAAGGAATGTAGCCTGGCTGCTGGGTGGATCGTGTTTTCAACATTCACTGATGGTAAATTGTCTACTCTGTCAGTCACTCCTATTCCCATCATTGACTGCTCACAGAAAAGCATTTCTTCCGTGAATGTACATGCTCATTCGCATTCGTGTCTTTGTTTTCGCTTGACACGGTGCCGTGCACGGCCCCACTCACAAACAAGCGCCGATACCATCGGAGGGTACAGCTCCGCATGGTGAGAGACACGTACCACTACCGCCGCAGCACATTTGTTTAGATGACCATTAAACACACCCCCTTTCCTTTCCTTTTGTGATAGTCCCTTTGAGCCATATCATATGCTGAAAGCCATACTATTGAGCAAAAGCCAATGAAAATCCATGGAACTTGGTGGAACTATTTGAAGTCCCGAGCGTGACAGTCAAAAAACGTCTATATAAAGCGAGCAGTTTCGCTTTTCCTTTCTTTTTCTTTTTCTTCACTTTAGTTCGTTTTGGAAAGGCGTTGGGCTGTATGCGCGGGAGTCACTGTCCGTGCTATGATCAGTTCCGTGCCAGTGCTGGCGATTGTTCAGAGTCTTCTGATGATTGGATGGGCTCAGTGGTCCGCCATGAAGAGATGACTGCAATGTACCAGTGCGGGTCAGTGGATGGTGAGGAACGAACAGATTATTATTACTATTATTTATTACGCACATTATTACACACAAATAAGAAATGATAAACAAAATAAAACAATCTTTTTCTTTTCGCACTCTTCTCATATACGTTTTGCCGCTTTATTTATTTTTTTTGCTTTGCCTTTTTTTCGTGTGCTTGACAAGTTCCTTATTTTTTTTGCCCACCCACAGCTCCGTGCTAAACAAAGCGGGGAACAATGACAGACGACAGTAACACGATCACAACGCGCTTTATCACACTTTGACACGCGTTTTCACTTTCTGTGTTCGCCTAAATTGCTTGTTACCGCGGATATGGTGCGACCCTTTTTGTGAAAAGGGATTATTTTTTAAGAGGCAACACCAGAGCATACGCCAACAGGCATGTATAACTGCCAGATCTTTATACTGGAAAGTCTACTTTCAGCTGCTCGTCTCTCTCTCTCTCTCTCTCTGTTTTCCTGCACGTAGCTTATCACAACAGGATTTTCTTGTCATTTTGGTTTTCACCTGATTCAGATGCAGAAAATTGCGCCTGTTTTTAAAGCGTGATTTTTGAACCAAACGTCACTTCCAAGAGGCGAAAAAGAAGGCGATAAGACTTGCGCAATGACCGTGCAAATAGTTCTTATGCATGTTGACCGCGTTGTAAACTCTTTGGTCTGCTCGAATTTGTATCCTTTGCGTAGATCGATGATGACGTCTGTATTTTAAATGTAGTTTGATGTTACTGAGTGGTTCTTATGTCAATGTGGTACGAAGATAAAGAATCGGCAGTGCTAAGGTCAATCATAATGAGTAGATCTCACTTGCATACTTTGATTTATGCATAGATACCTCCTTAATGGAATCACTGAAGTTTGTAGGGCGCAAATGGACGCCTTCAATGAACGGAGCCATCTTGCTCGCCTTTTCCTATTTCTTCTTCTTCCAAATGAACTTTCACCTGATAATATGTGATTCCATTACTGCAGTGGTATTATCGTTGCTGTCTGGATTCTTCTAGTTGTTTTGCTTCTTAAATTGAGCTATCATCGCTACCATCTGATAATTTATAAATTTGATCATATGTAAGCTCGCCACATCATTCACCATCATCAGGACAAATATGACACGTCTTTAGAAACCACAGACTGGTAATACATAATGCTATACAGTATTCAGACTGCGTGTGAACAATGATAACGCTACCTTGCTGCGATTTCATAATGATGCACCCGATAGGATCTCCTACTAAATGTTCAGACGCGCGAACATTTTCTGCGTCATCTAACAGCGGCAACATTAATACATACAAGTTGGGTTGAAAGAAAGAAGTATTGTGTACATGTGTCGTTTAGCCATTTTACCGTCCAGTTTGACAGAAACAACAGCCGGCACAACTTTGACAACAATGTCAGCACCGTATGGATCGGGTGCTAGTGAACTCACTGTATAGTGCGTACTCTACGCCGGAACGAAAGAAGAAAAAAGGCTAACCTGCTGGCATTTATAAGTATGAAAAGTTACATATCATAGGAAAGCGTGCGTGTGGTGTGGCAGCGAAAAATCAGGTATATACTGTACGTGCCTGGATTCAAATTGTGCATTATCACCAATTTCGTGCTTTAGGTTTATTTACTGAGAACTCTGTGCTAGAGTGGAAAATATGTCCTGCTACATTACATATATTATTACAACTACGCCTATAGTGTTAGCAGCAGCAGCATCATCAACGGATGGTATCACGGTAACAAAAACGATATTTCGCTGATTAAGCAAAGTATGATTTAGATGAAGTTCTTGTCGTTTGCCTTGTGCATCGTCAACTGCACAAGGTCCCAAACTTACTTTAAAGTATCGTAAAAGGTCCTCAGCTTATGACCAAGCTCTTTGTCAGTTCAAGATGTCCCCATTGGTATCGTATTGCATAGCAAGAGCTGCAACTTACGATACATGTAGCAGCCCATCTTTGGCAACAGTGCCAAGAATGACCATTTGGAAAAAAAGCTTTGCGCATGATACACACTCTCTTTCACTTTTAACACCTCATCCCTCATCCCCTTGATTGGCTCATGTGGTGTCATCCAGCACCTCTGAAAATTTTGATGACAACGGGACTTGTTGCAAAATATTATACATGCAAGCACGGGCCTGTATGGTACAATAGTGAGTGAGCAACAGACCGGTTAAAGCATGTGGATCCTTACGGGATAAAGTGGTTTGATTGATAACAGTTGACCTCCTATTTAAAAGGCATGCGATTTTCGTCACAAAGAAATATATGCCTAGATGAATGTAATATCGAGGAAGGATAAGAATCTCCCATAAAACGAGGGCAGCACATCTTCCAAGGGTATGTCGTGGTGTAGTAATCACTCGATCTACCGTGGATACTGCAATATACTATCGAAACGCGTCTCTGTAATGGTGTGTTTGATCATAATAAATCTGTGTATTTTGGACTAGTGACAAAGTTTAATAATTCTGGCGTATAAAATTTGGGTAGCGATGCTCTAGCTGGAATGATAGGATCCAGTGCTGCATCCACGATGCGTCAATGGTTGAATAAGGTACGGCTTCCTTTTGACCTTTTCGGAACAAGGTGGTGAACAAAACATGGTGAAATTCGATATGACGGAAGAGGAGGGAACCGGGAGATCACTTTCCCTCCAATGACTCTGAAACTGATTTGTCGATGTGGGAAACAGGCTGGAGGGTGGGAAGCTTAAAGAATTAAATTTAGTGATCCCAAATAGCGCAGCTCTTACTGTGCTCCCAAAACAGAATCTCCTCTTTGACTGCAAAATGGGGAACCCGTTACTCATTGTTTGTCAGTTCAAGTAACTGAAGCTGTTGCTTTTACAAAATGGTAATACGCATGGGATAGAAAAAATGAAGAGCATATTACTGGGTGTTCCTACATAGAATTGGTAGATGTACAGAGGTGGGGGACTGAATTAATGACAGCGTGTGTACCAACGCAATTCAGCCTTTGTGTAACCATACCGAGGCTATGGGAAAAAATGCATTCGTTCATTTCGGGGAAAAATGCTTACTTTGAGGGTATATATACAAGCATGTACGCAGTTCTGTAAGCCTGGATCTCTTTTCTTCTTCTTTCCTTCTTCTCGTAAAATATACATCATGCCATATGTACAGCGATATCCGCGTCAATACGACTATAACAACGTAGTCGATCTTGTATTCAGCAATCCTAACAACAAGCCGGAAAGCCATCCATGCTTTATTGACGCGGTTACTGGACGGTCTATCACTTTGTATCATATGAAGCGATTGGTGTCATGTATTCACGCCGGCTTGTTGAAGTTTGGACTCAAGAGAGGGGATTGCGTCTGCGTTTACTCGCCGAACAATGTATGCAACAATACCGTATTTCAAATTCTAGGTTAGGTAATGATGGTGTCATCACTGGTAACTTACAAAAGGGGTCTTCTTGTGATTTCTTGTCTTACTGTAGCTTTACACGGCACCTATCTACCTTGGTACCTTGTCAGCAGGTAATATTGAGTGCAGCAGGTTTTTTTTTCTGAAAATTGTGATAAGAGATGGTGCGAGAAAGAGACAGATTCATTAACTTCTTATCTTCATGATGTATAGGATGCACTCTCTCGCCTGTCAACAGTAGCTACGTGGCTTCGGAATTAGAACGTCAGCTCAGCATGACGAAAGCCAAGCTGCTTATTGCTCATCCATCCACGATGGACGTTGCTCTTGAAGCTGCTGCTGCTGCCGGTCTCCCAAAATCAAGTGTTCTGTGCATCACCGAGAAAGATCCCCGCGCAGCTTATTTTATGGACGTGTTGGTTGATTATAATACTGTGCCTCTAAGACCAGTCCAACTGACACCTCAGGAGAGTCGAGAAACCGTTGCCTATCTGATTTTCTCAAGTGGTACCACTGGTAAAAGCAAAGGTGTTATGTTAAGGTACGAAAAGCTACTCAGGGATATTTTTGGCGCTCTTGTGCTATGTATAAGCGCTAGTGCAAGAATGCTAACATAATTGTTTGTTTAGTCATTATAACTGTATTGCTATGGTAACCGAAACATGCGAATATACTGGCGCATGGAAGAACCCAGACCAGCGCGTTACCATTACCAGTTTGCCAATGTACCATGCTGCTGGTCTTAATCGCTCGGTCACCACAGGTGTTACAACAGGTTATATTCAAGTTGTTTTGGAAAAATATACTGTCGAAAATCTGTGCGCAGCAATCGAGCGGTTCAAGATCAACGACGTACCTACAGCACCACCAATTCTTTTGCATTTGCTGAACCACCCTGCTGTCGCAAAATATGATCTGTCTACCTTGAAGTCCTTAAACGTGGGATCCGCACCAGTTAGTCCTCAGGTTGTCCGAGATATCATGAAAAAATTCAATGCTGTTTGCACCCAGGTACGTGGCACTATGACTTGTCGGTTTTTATCCAAGAAACAAACTTTTCTCATGCGATGACTCTGTGCAGGCATACGGCATGACAGAAATTTCGCCTATTGGCACAATGCAAACCAAGGAGACATGCGTTCCTGAATCTGTTGGTCGGTTGCTCCCGTGTATGGAAGGAAAAGTGATTGATCCTGAAGGGCAGGATTTACCATGGGGATCAGTTGGCGAAATTTGCTTCAGAGGACCCACAGTAATGATTGGTATGTAACATCTATAAAAGCGTCAAGTCATTTTAATGGTTTGTTCGTTAAAGATTATCACACCATCTTTAGGTTATCTTGACGATCCCGAATCCACAGATGCTACGATCGATAAGGATGGTTGGATACGAACTGGTGATCAGGGTTTTGTTGACAAGGATGGTAACTGGTTTATCCAAGACCGTTTGAAAGAATTGATCAAGTACAAGGGTTTCCAAGTTGCGCCTGCCGAGTTGGAAGCACTTCTATTACAATGTCCATTGGTCCTAGATGCTGCCGTGATTGGTGTATACAACGAGCAGCAAGCCACTGAGTTCCCACGCGCATATGTTGTATTGCGCCCAGAAGCTGTAAATGACAAGGATGCCCCACAGAAGATTGTGCAATGGACACATGACCGCGTAGCTCAGCATAAGCGTTTGCGAGGTGGTGTCAAGGTGGTGAATGAAATTCCCAAGAGTCCTACTGGCAAAATCCTGCGAAGAACGGTTAGAGATATGGCTCGGAAGGAAGATGCTTCAGTGCACATTGGCGCTGCATCCAAATTATAGAGACTTAGAAAACAAACAGCCTTGTAATAATGGCTAAACCAAAGATCCTGTACATTATTTGTAATAAAGAGAAATTACTTGTCTATGTATGTGTTAGATTAAAGAAAAACGGAACGTATTTAAGCATGTACGTTATCGAACACACTTTATAAACCCCATCATTAACGTCTATTCTATAGTATCGTGTACAAACGCATATAAAGAACTACATAATAACAAGATCAAAATTAGAAGATTTACTTTAGGTGTGCATATTTCCCAATGTGGACTAATTGTCGAGGTACAATATCTTAACAAGGTGGGTGATGTATAACAATAAAGGAAAGTAACCTCTACTGGAAAGGCTATATACATATGACGGGATCATATGTATCTAAGCAAACTATGTCCCGTGCATGTAGTACACACTTAATCTATACATGCTGTCATAGGGACTCAATTAGTAAGAGTAGATATGTGGTGTTCTCGAAGATGAAAAGACGACGGTATTGCGATATGTAATACATTCATACAGCAAGCAGAATATTATGGCGTACGTCAATGCATCTTTATTTAGCTCGTATAGATCAAAAAATCCAGTAAGCATGTATAATTTTTATGTTGAAACAAAAAGAAAATGCTGCAAAAAAGTGTAGGGTATATGTACAAGAAGTAAAAACGAATTAAAGCTTGTTGCCGTTCGGGGGAGAACAGCATGATGTTGCACTAGCATTGGCATGAACAGACTTGTTGGCGGCCTCGTTGGTGGGGGGCACGTCCAATGCAGGGTTTGCAATGAAGAAGTTGGCTGGCTTCATCATAAAACCGATCATTTCAACAGGCATGACTGGGAAATCCTCGACGCGTGGCAAATGAGTAATTCCAAACGTGAACCAGACGACGATATCCTTTTGGTGAACACTTTGACGCTCGCGATTGGCCCATTTCTCAACGCTGTCCCGGCCATCCGATTGATTGCAGTAGAAGCCACCAGCGAACATTTGATCCTCGTCATACGGAGTAACCCACAAAGCCTTCTTTGCGAACGGAGCACGCTCAGCGACCACAGAGTCATCACCAGGGAAGAAGGGGGTAACATGGTGCGACATGAGCTTCCAGCCAACGGGCGACTTAGTGTAAGGGTGAATATGATCCTCGTTGACAATCTTCCAGAAACGGGCAGTATCAAAGTTGGCATGTGATTGGGCCTCGAAAGTGTCCTTGAGAACGGTTGGCTTGGCATAGAAAGCATTGCCGTACATGTTGCGCTCATGGCCCGTTGGGAAAGGCGATCGGTAAGTGTCGTACTGGACAACCGAGTTGTTGGGGCCATCAATCATAGGGTCGATACGCATGGTGAAGAAATGTTGGTGGTATTGAGCACTGATCTGGGGAGCCACCGTGACACCATAGTCGCCGGGCGTTTCGTCTTCGGCCATGACGTGCGTGTTGAGCTCACCCGTGGCCTTGACTTCGTATTCAAAGGTACCGTCTTGATAAAAGTAATAGTACAAGCCGTAGTCGTAGTTAGCGACAGTGACAATCTGCGAGATCACAAGACGACGGGATCGGACAGTGTGAGCCCGACCGTTCCGATAATCGGTGTGCTTGAACAAAACCCCATGGTCTTCCTCGTGGAGGCACACTGCGTTGGGCACGTGGAAAGGCTTGCCATTGTGGTCGTTGAACACAGCGTCAAAATAGTAGATCGAACCCAGACAGTCGCAGCCCAAAGTCAAAGCGTTGGTGCAGAGACCCAAACCATATTCACCAACGTCAAAGGCGTGCTTGCGGTGGTGGGGCGTGTTGGGATCGGCATAGGGTACCACCATTTCGGACAAGGCGATGCGGTAAAAAAGGGGACGGATCTGGGCGCCATCACGATAGCTGACATTGTGAATGACCAACCCTTCACGGTAGTTCATGGAGATGCGCATGTTCCACTTTTGCCAATCAATTTCAGTACCCTTGACCGTGAATGACACGCCCTGAGGCTGCTGCACAATGATAGGTTTGATATCCTTGCGGTAGTTCTCCTCGCCAACAAACTCGGGCAAAAAGTTGTGCTGCTGGAGCGGAATGGTAGGGCGAGTAAACTTACTGTTGCGAGGCTTGATACGCTCAATGGAAACAACCTTCATCAAACCCAAGTCTATGCAGAAAAGTAAATGTCACTGATCTTGTTAGTGAGTGCCCATTGTTTTCTGCCTTTGTTACCCCCCCCCTCAATGTGCCCACGTTGGCTTTGCTGGTTCTTACCAATGACGGGAACAAAGTCCAATGGATGAGCGTACTGGTTGTCATCCTCACAGGTACGCATATACATCAAAGCTTGCATCATGCGCTTGCTACGGCCAGGATAGTTGACGTGGCGAGCAATGGCCCAAGGATCCGAAAAGACGCTTGACATATCAGTGATGCCTAATTCGGCGCATTCGGCACGGACACCTTCATCCTTGAGCACCAATTCCTCGACTTCAAACATTTCATCCATGGTGAGAATGGGCTGGACATCAGGAACATACTTCCACGACTTGACCGAGTTGGTATCCAGCGAAACAACGGATTCATAGACCTTCATGGTAACCTTTTCCAAGATAATCACCAAAGCTTCACGCTCGACGTGGGTAACACGGGGCTTGCTGGCATCCCAACCAAGGAAAGACATCATGACTGGCTTGGGAGGTTCCTTGAGGGTAATGGTGTTGAAAACAAAGTTCATACCAGCCTTGGCTTCACGGACAATCTGGGCGACGTGGACGACTTCATCACCTGAAAGCTGATCCAAAGGATGGAAGTGGGGGCGTTTTGTAGTTGCGGCAGTGGCGGTCTTCATTTCTTTGGCGTGAGTGGCCATGATAACAGATTAAGATTGGTTGAGAGTTTGGGAGAGGAGAAGTGTGTATAGAAAAAGTGGATAAGCACAGTTATGACATTTTTGAATCACATTAAACTGGTATATATATATATATATATATATATTCGTTGAGTCTGTTGCCCTCCGCAACGTGATAACATATCTCTTGATAGCACCGGGTGGCGGGATGTGGGAAAGTTTAGCATGATTTGTCATTGCTAGCCTCAGACCAGACTACCTGCCTCATATATACGTTTTAACAAGTATGTAGCCACAAATAACATGGAAAACAGGGTCGCTGTGGAGGTCAAGTGAGACATAACCAAAACATCAAAGAAAATAGCATTTACAAAATGGTATTCTTCTCATAATCTATTGTACCAATCGTGATTTATCACATCCTTTTGTTGTCAGTACTATTCATGCACGATATACTGGTAAGAGGACGATCATTTACAAACCTGAGGATTGGTGCGGAGCGATAGATTGCACGAAAATAAGCTTGAAAAGCTGAGAGTCCACTGGACGGTTTCTGACAAAGATTCTACCAATTTTGGTAATAACACGTAGCACAATCACTAACAGTAGGGCGAATAGAATCTCAGCGTCATTGTTAATTCGGTCAGCAAATCGTTCTTGTCTCCTTCGCTATTGAACCCGTGTGATTTAAATGTTTCAACCGAAGGAAAAAAATGGAGCGGCACCCACCTCACCGAAGCGATAGATGGGGGTAGACCAGAAACTGGCGGACCTTTCAAATTTCTTTTTTCGTATATCGCACGATGACAAAGAATCCCTAGTCAGTCGCGATGATGAAAATGATGCATATTGATGTTATGTTAATCTATCATTTTGTCAAGTTTGAGGAGAAAAGCTCTCCCGGCATATTTACACAGATTTGTTTACGGCCGAATCATTCCTACTTTTGTATCACGGTTTTTGCAAACAATGTATCATGTTTATTTAGCAGGCATTCTTGCCGCAAAAGCGTGGGATAAAAAGACAAAAATGCAAAACTTTATTCAGGACCAGTGTACTTTGATGTCTGATCATCCTCTTATTACTTTTGCTCGGTTGTTGACGCCTTGATTAGTATCTTAATGTCTATTTTGCATGGCATCAATTTATATTGTAATCACTCTTGGATTTTGTAAAGCCGCTTTGATCTTGCTTCGGACTACTCTCAAAGGTGCCTTGAAAGTACGTTCATGATCTATTACTGTATAACTTAATCACGGTAATTCCTGTAGTAGCTGATATCTGTGTAAGGAAGTACGAAATATGCGTACACATCACTATAAGACTACATAGTAGGAAATTAATCTCTGACACTCATCACGACTGAAAATTCTTCTGTGTTTAGTCCTCATCTCTTTGGGACGACAATGATGCTGTCAAAACCATACATTTATCTACTACGCTGCTATTGCTATACAGTTATTCGAGGCGAGCGAAATTATTTCTTCTAATAATATGACCTCTTTAAAGAGAAATTTAACGATCCACTACCACTATTACCTGGGAGAGTACAGGAAAGATAAGATTACCACATTGCTAAGCTAGTATGTAATATAGCCACTTTACCTATTATGACAAGCTAGAGCTCAGTAGTTGCGCCTCTGGTAGCTTGAGACACTGATACTTTCTTTAACAAAAAAAATGTACTAATTTTTTTCACTCGCTGGAAACTATGGCGGGGGAAGAGGCTAGCATGCCGACGATATATCTTCCATAAACGGACAATTTCTCTCCGTCGTACTAATCAAGTGTGTTTACCGATCCATGCTTGAAATGACGAGAAATTGTCGCTTTAAAAAAAAAGGATTAATGCAAATGGTCTCTTCATGTTCCGTCTCGTCACTAACTTTAGTAATGTATATGACTAGCGATGCTACTTAAAAATTGCATAGACAGACTTTTAGAACCGACATCCTGCTCATTATAACAGTATAATTCATAGCTAGTCACAAAGACAAGCTTCATGCTGATCGATGACGTACATAATAAAGAGACTATCTACGTGTTATGATAGCAACAACAAACGAGCCTTTGAGCTATCCTGCTTTTGAGTACATTATTAGTATGATGTGTATATCAACATTAAAGACTGCGATGTACTTTTTCTCATCTTCTGTGTATTTTTAAATGCCATTGCACGTGTTTTATCTCTTTTTTTTTGCATATGAATCTGGAAGACTTTATCTAATAACAGCCAAACATATTTGTGTAGATCGTCTTGGCTTGTGCAAAGTCAAGCCATTGAACAATGAAGCCGTACAATACGTATGCGCGCCCCATGTTTCGTGTGGCATATTTAGTCCCTAGTTTGAATTACTGGCAAACAGGCACTTTCGACTAGGTAATCGCTTAAAACGCATGTGGAACCCCGGATGCTGCCTGACTACTGTATGCGTTTTGGTCCCCCGTACGCATACCCTACTACCCACATTGTAGTAATGCTCGTGTAAAAAAACAGTATTAATGATCATTATCAATGGTCGCCATTTTTATCCGTTACTTTGGTTTATCTACATACCGTGAAAATCGATATGACAGATTCATTGACGATGACACACTCTTTGAAAAATGTATGGAAAATACCTTTGCTTAATATGTAATACATAGCTTGCTGTAAAAGTAGACATCGTCGTCTAAAAGCAAAGGAAAAATCGGTCAATGTAGCATACACATATATTTTGGAACTATAAGTGCCTGGTAACGCATTAAGACACGGCTAATCACTCACGCGCATGCAGTAAATGCCAAAGTAACATAATAACGTCCAAGCCCCACTAACAAAACGGTCATGGGCTGGAAACATTTTGATACCAGTCTTGGGTTAATCACTACAGCTATACCTTTCTATATGTGATGTCCACCTTTCAAATTCAAACAGATAAATCAAAAACTGAATATTATTTATTTGACTAAAAAAAAGTCAGGCACGATCTGATGCATTTACGTCAAGATATTCACTTCCAACGTTGAAGCTACAGTACAAAAAAAACATGAGCAAGTCTTAAACGTCAACCTCGCATATTATATCGTATATGTAGTACTACCTTACAATCGATAGATCTTGTATATTTTTGACATCTTTTGGTTCAAAGCCCATTTACACGTCTTAAGACTATTCTTCACACTACAAACATATTTTTGTTCATCGAGATTAGAAAAGTAGTATGTGAAAAAGATATATATTTGGAGAACCCCTTATATCTTGATTAGGCCCAATGCACATCTTTGCAAGTTCGATCATTGTTTGGACTGAGAAGGTCCACTTACAGTAAATGTTATGTGGATCCCCACAGATTTGTTTATGTGCCTCTCATGAGCTCGTTTATCTTTATTGATGGACCTATAAATTAAAGTGCAGATATACAAATATTTATGCGGGTTGATTTCCCCCACATGTGATGACAACAAAATTAGACGCTCGCAAAGTAGTAGTATATAGGAATTTGAAATAATATAAAGTGTGCGTGGTAGCAGCCTGGCCCAAATATTACGATTTACCGGGTGCCAACAATCAACGATTGCTGATGACAACTCTATGCAGCTTATTATTCTCCAATATAAGTTGTCCGTGGTCAGCGTGCTGTATAATTTACTCACAGCTTTCAAGGAAAATCATCATCATGCACGTCAACTTCATTTTGTGGATGTGGATGTAATAAGGACTTTACCCTATCATTGGAACCAACCAACAACTCAGTTAATATTAACGTCTCATTGTCCGCGCAGATGCCGATCAGTAGAGGAGTCTTTAATATCCGACTCAAAATCTTGGGCGGGTGGTATTTTAAGGTACTAATGTACAAAACGAAGGTCGGTTCAGAAAAACACTATTATTCTGGTCTTTTTGACATAGGTTGATTTAAGCATTGGATGTGAGAAATTAGGTTATACACGCACACACACACAAAATAAAATAAGCGGTCCAACCCGATTACCCTTTTTGATACGCCAGATACTGAGCCACAGAAGAGGTTTTGGTTGGCCATCGTCGTAGTACCATACACGTGTATTGGCTATGCACAGAGCGTCGTACAGATTATCTCAAAACCTTGCACGACAATCGGCATTTTCAACGGCTGATTTCTTGGAGTCAGCAAGTAGCAAGCATGGACATTTGAAGTACCAGTGAGTGGCAGTGAACAGTGGGCGGATGCATGCTCGGCACACAGTAGTTAGCCAGGAGGAATGGATATAACCATAGCAGCAATAGATCAAGGCGCGTGCAGACTACTTGATGGAGAACAAAAAAGCTATCTATCATAAAACTGCTCTGAGGGGAATACCCCGCCATACAGTGTGTACGTCTTTGCTGCCAAAAAAAAAAAAAAAAGTCCGCGAGGATATTGCACGACTCTTTCTATGGTCGTTTGGGCCTAGTTTTCCCCGCGAACCAAGAGACAGCAAACAGCCATCAATTTCTTTACTTTCTTCTTCCTGTTTAAAATAAACAGTGCTATACACTAGCCCATCCGCCTATCTATACGCTCCTTAAGACACACACACTCTCTCTCTTCTCGCAACATCCCCCCCCACCCCACCCCACCTCTCCTTCCAACACTCCCTCATCGTACTACCACTCCCCTAAAACCTATCACGCGCTTCTTTGGAGAAAAAAGGTATTGTGGACTAATATATCGGCATCAGCATCACAATGATGATGATAGCAGCGATGATGGTTCTCGTTGTTGTTGTTGTTGTTGCTGATAATAGCTATAGCCGACCGCTAATAAGAGAGCACCCCTTCTTCTTCTTCTGTATTATACTGACTGGCTTCTCAATTCAACAACAACAACAACAACAACAACAGATCCCCGTTTTAAGGTATAACATCGAATTCGGCAAAAGTTTTCTTTTATATAATCTTTGTGTAAGCCTTTTTATATACATAACACACACACCCCCCCCTCCTTCCTTCCTTCCTTCTTTCCTTGCGGGCTGCTAAAGTTGTTGTTGTTGCGTGGGTGCGTGTGGTTTCTCTCTTTCTCTCTCTTTTTTCTTGCTTCTTCCTTTCTCAAACCAACTCCATTGTGGGTCATCATCTCTTCTTCTATTCCTTTTTTTTTTCTTGTTCCCCATTCTCCCTATCGAGGACCTCAGCCACGAGTTTCTTAGCTACGAGCAAAAACACCCGCTCCACACATTAGAGAGGTGCTTTTCTACTCCGGTCGCTTTTTCCCTTCTCTCTTCCACTTTATTTCTTTTTTTTTTTTTTCCTTTTTTTAATTTCTATTTTCTTTGGACTTGTCTTCATCTAATTTGCTATTTGTAATTCGCCTTTGTTATAGCACACAAGAAACAGACACACATCATTATTAGTACACCATTCGAAATCCTTCCTTTTTACCTACGACCATCCATCCAACCAGCATTTCACATCCGCTCCGTCAAAGACGAAAAAGAATAAGAAATAAATAGCAATGACCGGAAACCATTCTCATTCCTCCACCGCAGCGAATCCATTTTCCTCGCACAACGTTGTTGGTGTACACTACCGAGTCGGCAAAAAGATTGGCGAAGGCAGTTTCGGTATTATCTACGAAGGTGAGAATGACCAAGAACGATTGGACCCTCTTTTTGTACATTGTAGACACTTTCCCTGTCAACTTTTCTTTTCCCCCCCCTCCTCCTCCTCCTACCCTTTCTTCTTTTCCCTTTTTCTCTTCTCAAAAGGAAACGTTCTGTCACAGTAACACAAGCAGTGTATTTTCTTTTGTCCATATCATCAAGGCACCAATTTGCTCAACAATCAACCCGTGGCCATCAAGTTTGAACCAAGGAAAAGCGATGCACCCCAGTTGCGCGACGAATACAGAACGTATAAAATTATGGCAGGCTCAAGTAAGCTTTCTTCGATTCAATTGCTTCTTCTTCTTCTTCTTGGGTGTTCAATCGATCATTAACATGTCAATACATTATCAGCCGGTATACCCACAGCCTATTACTTTGGTCAAGAAGGGCTTCACAATATCCTTGTTATTGATTTATTGGGCCCCAGTTTGGAAGATATGTTTGATATTTGTGGTCGTCGATTCTCGACAAAAACTGTTGCCATGCTCGCAAAGCAAATGGTAATGACAAGGACATGTGTTATGTGAGAGAGAGAGAGAGAGAGAGTGAGTGAATAAAAGGATGTGTATATCCAATTCATGCTAACCTATTCTTTCTTCATTTACACAATCCCCCCCCCCTCCTCCTCCCCCCCAAACCTGCGTTTGTACAATATCATCACACATACTTCCCCTAACTCCTTACAGCTGAATCGCGTGCAGACCATCCATGAAAAGAATTTGATATACCGGGATATCAAGCCTGATAACTTTCTGATCGGCAAACCTGGCACCAAAATGGCAAACCATATTTTCATTGTCGACTTTGGCATGGCCAAACTGTACCGCGATCCAAAGACCAAGCAACATATTCCTTACCGTGAACGCAAGAGTCTTTCCGGCACTGCACGCTACATGAGTATCAACACGCATCTAGGTCGAGGTATGTGGGCGATGTTTAGAATCTATTTCTTCATCCATTGAAACGCTTTTGGCTGATTGTTGGCCCTCTCATCTTTTCCAGAACAATCGCGCCGTGACGATCTGGAAGCACTTGGACATGTCTTTATGTACTTTTTGCGTGGCTCGCTCCCATGGCAAGGATTGAAGGCTGCCACAAACAAGCAAAAGTACGAGAAGATTGGTGAAAAGAAGCAGAGTACTGCTGTCAAGGAACTTTGTGATGGATTCCCCGGTAAGCTTGTTTCTTTGGGTTTGCTTCTTCATTGATTAACTAATGCGTTCTTGATTTAAATAGAGGAATTTGGTATCTATCTTCAGTAAGTCAATGAAACCTTAATTCCGTCTTAAAAAGTGTGTATTATAATGTGATTTAACGTATATTGTTATTTCTTTCAAATAGATACGTCCGCAAACTCGGATTCGAAGAGACGCCCGATTACGACTTTTTACGAGAGCTTTTCACAAAGGTCATCAAGAATGCGGGTGAGGTTGAAGACGGTGTCTACGACTGGATGCTGCTCAACAACGGCAAGGGCTGGGAAACGCTCTCGAAACGCCAAGCGGCTCGTCAAGGACTTCCTGCACCTGCCAAGAAGGTTATTGCGGACAATCAGCGCCAGATGACCTCGGGCAAGCATCCCGAACCCCAGACGAGGGAGCAGCAGCCAGCTGCAGAAGCACATCACGCTTCGGCACAAGCAACACAACGTCATAGCCAGCAACAACAACAACAGCACCAGCACCAGCACCAGCAGCAGCCAATACTCCAGCAAAAGAAGCCAAGTCTTCTGGCAAAACTGACGTGTGGTCTGTGTCAGTGACCAAGAAAAGGTCGATTAGGGCATGCGTATTATTCCCTGGACTAGAAGAGCATTTTACAAAGCAGCAGCAGCAGCAGCAACGACCACATACAAAACGATTCTCTTTTCTTACTTATAACCTTTCTGTCTCTGTCTCTGTCTCTCTCTCTCTCTCTCTCTCTCTCTCTCGTTTCTTCCCCTCATCGTCTTTCTCAATACTCCACCCTTTCTTTCTCTTCTACCCTATCGCACACACACTCACACTCACACTCACACGCGCACCCACTCATTCTCGCACGCAAGCACAAGCACACACACACACAATCAATGCGTTGTTGTGGTACCCGTACTAGCAATTCTCTATCAGCACGCACTCACTCACATTCACAATCTTGATTTTCTTTTCTTTCTTACAATTACTATTTTGCAAAGTTATAATTTACGCTCTTGTCACCTTTTTTTTTCTCTTTTTTTCTCTCCCCTCAGCGTCTTCATCTACTGTTCATCTCTCCCTCTCCCCCTCCCCTCGAGTTTCTTGTCCTAATCAAATCAATGAACATCCTCTCTTTTTTTTTTATAAACCATAGAAACTTATTATGAAAAAAAAAGAAGTTTCATGTTGCATTGGCAGCATGTGCGAGTGACTGACTCTATAGTGCAGTTAAGAAACTCGCGTGGCACACATACTTGAATGCATACGCAGCTTATTATCCTCAAACATCGACAATCAAGGAATGTTGCGGTTTTGTTTGGGAACACTAAGCTAACTGCTTCGGTTCCCCCCAAAGTGATAGGGTATAGTAGTAGTAGTAGGCTACTCATTAGTGTGTTGGTGCAATCCAGGCACCTCGTTGTTCTGAACCCTGACTTGTACAGCCACAGCATGGCCTGCTGACTCGGTAATTTTAATAAGGTTGCATGACGGCCATTGTTTTCAATAGATTATCACAGCACACATCGTTGATCGCCATCACGATGAGAAAGGAAGAAAAAGAGATCCTTGATGGCGTTACATCATTGTTGAGGCATAAGGTACGCGATAAATTAAATAGATGAGAGATGATGATGCATATATACACACCCCAGCTGTCCTCCCTCATTTTCTGTAGCCCGACCGTCACGTGTGTCCGCACATCTGTTCTTTTGCATTGATAGTAAGTATACCCAAATTGACAATTAGCTGTTCGTGAGTATGTATGTAGTAGAATCTACATATGTACTTACCTTCACCCTCCTGCACTTTACACCCTTGTTGGCGACACGAGTATGCGCCGTGGTTTTTCCAGTCTCGTAACGTTTAGTCTTACCTCAATTCTCATTTTATAAGTGGTTGCTGTTGTTTCTGAACCATTATTCTATAAGCTTGTTTTGCTGTGTTAGCATTACTGAGCTTGCGGATGCATAACACTTATATGTAGCTTAGCACGATAAACAAAAGTACATACTAGCCTTGTCTAGAGTTTCGTTCCTTTCAAATTGCTGTGTCTAAATTGACTTCACATGACAATGCCAATTCCTTTCTTGTCAGTGTGGCCGTATGTTCCTATATCTATATCACTGGAGTACCCCATAAGGATCTGATACGAGGAAATCAGGATTCTTAAACTAAAAGAACAGTATTTTGAAGATTCCGCTGATGATGTTGACTCTTTAGTGCTCTTTTTCTAACTGTAGCTATTATGGATTTGGCCACGTCTTTGCCATGGTCCCGAATTTGAGCATAAGAAATACAATTTGGATTTTGATTCAACGAGCACTATGCTAAAGGTTGGATTGCAATTTCTGTCAAAAAAAAAGTTAAATACTGCTTATTATTCATTGAGTGGTGCAGTTGTTAGTATCACTCAGTTAAAAGTGCTTCCGCTGCTTTAACGCAATCCTTGTTACCACTTCTTTAGTGCCTTCTCTATTATTCAGCTAGCTGTAATCTCTTGATTGTTCATGAGTTTCAAAGTATGTTTAACTGTGGAGGCATAATGTTAACGGCGAGCAGCAAAGAGTATCCCGGTTTGTAGCAGCTGATTGTCTATAAGTTATAGTAAGGAGGTTTCAATCATGAAGGACGGTGAATTCTCAGGTGTGACAAGTGATTTCGTGCCAGCTTCGCCGGCCCGTCTTTACACTTTTGCTTTGCGTGCTCAACAGATAACTTTTAAACGTTTTCCCTCAATTTTTATGCATCAAAAACCCCCATCCAATGCCAGGTAAAATCAGGAATTAACGTTCTAGATTGAGTGCATTAATTAATAATTCAACAGGCAATAATCATAAACAGAAGCCATCCGATCGACGCGATTCGCTGAAACAACAACAACGAAAGAATTCAGCCGGTAAAGGAGATAATTTCAAGATGGGAGGATAGAGAGAGAGAGAGAGAGAGAGCATGTGTGTATTCATTATGCTTGGAAAGATGAAACGGGCTAAAATGCAGAGAGTCAATCTAGGCAAACAAAAAGAGTACCAACAGACAGGAACCGGAGGGAACAAGACGAGTAATACCAACAATACCAGCAGTAGCAGCGGCAACAATAACATCAATAGCAATAACAACAACAGCACCAGCCGGACAAGTACACCTCCAATAGCACCCGCACCCGCACCAGCGGTGGGTGCAACGCCTACACCCGTAACACCACACACATTAGGTGTGAATGGATTCAATAGCGCAGAAGTTGTGCAGTTCTTAAACCAACGTAAGTACAGAGGAGGGGGAGGTTTTAACTCAATGCAAACGAGTGTGTCTGATTGGGAAATTTACCATGCTATACAGGATTTTCAGACACGTTGACAGCATATCACGACACAAATGCCGAGGCATCGACGAGACCGGTCAAGTATGAGAGTCAGGAGAAGGCATGGGGCGGCAAAGGAGGACTACCGTCAGTATGGGGACAAAAGAGTGAGTTTCGGCTTTCTTTTCTTTTCTTATGGATACTATTTAAGAGAGAGAGGATGCGGGGTATATACATTTATACACGATAAGAAGAAAAAGGCAAGCAAAAATAGATAACAAAAATTTGGTTTGTGGGTGTTGTATCATAATAGATGGTGCCATGGCAACTGGAGCTGATCTGTTCTCAGAAATGCTGAAAACACCGCATCAGCAACAACAGCAGCAGCAGTAGTAGGATGACGATGAGGGATAGCAATAGCAGTTAGAGTAATAGGAGATATCAGGTTGTCGTTTTTGACATGTGTGTAGTTTGATGATAACAGTTATTGGTGGCGATCGGAAAACCGGGTTAATGCGTACAGTGTCGATGCTTATAGTGTTATCGTTTCTTCTTCTTCTTCTTGTACGTTTAATAATCATCGTCGTCATCGTCACTCCATATATTTTCTCGGGATACTTTGGATTTTTCGACAATATATCGGCCTTCCTTGTACTTTTGCGGTTTCTCGCGCGCCCGCAAGTATTTCCATCCGAGTTTCGTGCGGCATACACTGCAGGATATATCAGCAACTGTATGGACGCCTGTCATCAACAGCCGCTCTTCTTTGACTCCCACAATAACGTTGACGACTTTACCCACAAGAAATGCAGGTCCATGCTTGTTTGAAGGAAAAAAGGAAGACTCTTTAGTTTCTTTTGGGCATAGTGTCATAAAGGGAAAAGAAGACTGGAGCAGAGATAAAAAAAAAAGCCATCTATTATGTAAAGTGCTTGCTTACCCTTCCTTGAAATGCTCTGGACATGATGGCATCGTGGGTTGTAATGTGGCAGTGACAACTAGAGCAAGTGTAGACTCGGTTGCGAGTTTGAAGGTATGCCTGATGTTGCTGCGATTGTCTTCTGCTCGTCATTATGATCCGAACAATGGCCAAAAAAGATAAAATGACATTGCGTAGCTGGGCAAACAGTTTTGTCTTTGTATTAATATGATAGAAAAGGGGGATGTCAGGGATTTACCAAGAGAGAGGGAGAGAGAGAAAAGTGGTGTGCGAAGCGTGCCCTGTCACATGGTCATAAGATGTGGTGTGTGGCCGTTCTCGTGGCAGGATTATGATAAATACGCCATTCTTTTTCTAACAGGCGGGTGAAGAGCAATACTAATGAAGAACTGTCCCGTTTCTTTTTTCCTTGATTCTTTTCTCTCTCCAGATTTGCCTATCTATCGTCTTCATTATACCATCTTTTTTTTATTCTTTTTCAATCATTACTATCATCATGGGTCACTAATTATCATGAATGGCTGGAATTTATATAGCGAACGTACTGCATGATCCGTCTCGTGCAGAATTTGATCAATGCACAGGGTTATGCAAAAATTTTGGTCAAATTGATCAAGAATGTTTACACTTTAAGTTTACTGAAATACCTTTATTTAACTATTATGATTACCGTCGTCGTCATCATCATCATCATATTGCCGCCGTCACTACATCAACAAATGTGGTCTAACTGCACGACACTAACGATCTGTAATGCTTCTCAAGTGATCACTCGAGCAGGAACAAGAATTAATCCGTTGTTTGTCAAAAACAAAAATCTATCACTAACGTGCATTCGTTGGCTCAGCAATTTGCCCTTTTTGCGTCCGCTAGTCTAGTGTATTATATACCAGTGAGTGATGCACACATACTACATCATAATTACTATCATTGTATGATTAGCTTATTAAGCAGTGCCATTATCACATAACAGAAACTAATCATATATCTCCTATCTACACAAACCACTTTTCATGTCATACGTCTATCAAGTGCTATGAAAAAGGATAATTATAATCTCAGGCACAGTACTTTAATTCATAGTTCACACATGAGTGACCTGAAATCATCATGTATTTCAATCACCAAGCCAGTGTTATTCCGCAAGGAGAAACATTCACCCAAGCATGCTCCCTCTTGTGACAATGACTTTAACTCGGGACGACGCTCCTTCTTAAACGGTATTCATAATATGCGCACATAAAAAAAAAGAGAGTATGTAAACGCTACGCTGAGAAACACATCGTTGGCCTTATACACTGTACTTCTGAAGCAATGTGGAATTTTTCTAAACTGCATATTACACAGATGTCTAAAGCATATGCGACTATATAGTAAGTGTAAGACCTTGTGTATTTTATTTCGCCAAAACGGTGCTGTCACAATCGTGCTGCGATGAGTTGCACGTCTAACATTATCCGAGTAGCTTAAATCAGTTGAGTCTGACGAAATCGTGCAGTATTACTCATGCTTTGTAAGTGAATACTCTTACTTAAACAAGGACCTTTAGTTCCGTGTCGTATGTACTTTTTTTCAAACGATTACGCATGAGGGTTTCCATAGCACATTGTCCTTTATGTGTGTCAACTACAGGCTTTCGTGATACACAAGACGATCAAATTGTATTATTTGCTGTTGCAGATCGGTATAGTATAGGCCTATGAGAAACCACAATGACAATAAAGGTGATGCTGGGAGTGACAAGGAAGGGAGGGACTCGAGTTACTTTATGTCACATAAATACAGCAAACTTCATACAAGCGTAACAAAAGGGTATTATGATTATATCCATATTCCGAGCACTCCACTCGTGGGTAATAATTATCAAAGATGAAGAAGCTGGTGTTTTGGTACGTGAGTGTTTGTGAAGATTGCTCATCCACTCCTGTGGTGCCTTTCTATTGTGCTACAGTGGTCTGTCAGTTGACGGAGCCAGCCAAAAGTATACCTGCTCGACGACATTGCATTATACGCTTCATTTGGAAATTTTGCGTGTCATTTGATATGTTAAGCAGCTTTTGACTCTTCCCATGTTACTGTTGATTCTTGTGTAATACCTAAAAAGAAAAGGCTTTCTCTTTTCGCGTTCAGAATGGCCTGCTTGTACAGGTTCGTTGCACAACAAGGGCGCAACATATGTGGCTGCACCAGAACCTGGGGTAAAATTTCCATGAACAAGATATATAGAGTTTCATTGCAGCTATTACACTCTAAGAAAGATCGTATTTGTAAAGCAACTGCATTTGCATGTGTTTTTTTATCTTTACTTTTTCGTACGTCTTGTGATTGCTTTTTACCTCTGCAATTCGCATTGGTGATGGTAGAATGCAGGGAAAAAGAATGATGGTTTTATCAAATTGAAAGGCATGAAGCAGCCTGCTGCATCATACTTAAAGAAGCAAACAAAGGAAATGTGATACTAGGGATAATCTGGACCGCTGAAGGAACAAAACCAAGATAAAAGGTCATTATTATTATTGAGGTTACTGCTAGTAGCACAGCTTCCTGGATTGCTGGTAATTAAAAAACAAAAGCTTTAGTTCTAAATCTTCATCATACTCTACAATTTTTGCAGAAAATCTACAGTAGCCACTATCATACCTGCTTTACTATATAATATCGCGCACTTGTAAATATTAGCGAGGAGTTTACATAGTATGATAGTGGCACAATGATAGAGCAGATAGATCAGACACAATGTACAAATCATATTCAAATCCTTTAGCTGGACACAATTTGTTTGTTTTGCTGTTGGAAAAGAACAAGACTGCAGGAACAACTAGGTTGAGAGTACTGTAAGAGGAAGGATTCGGTATGGGTAGTGATCACAGTCTCACTCTCCGGTCATTCGGAGCGAGCTGTATAAAGAAAGCAGAAGATGACAACATCGTCCTCTACGCGGGCTATGAGCTTAACGCAACAGGGCGAGTCTTGGAGCGAACAGCCTGTCGCATGATAGAATGTGCTTTATATACCAGTGACTCCTTACAGTCCAGCATATAGTAGTTGACATGAACGACATAAAAGCATGGCAGTTTTCTCTTTTATAATTTTGGGTGCATTGGCTTGCCAACCCAAGAACTAAGCGTGTCCATGTCACAATCGATCTTATTTCGGCAGTGTGCTGCAGGTCAGCATTGGCCAGTGCACTAAAAATAATTGAATGCGAGCATCATGTAACACACATGGTACACAGCCTATTGTGGAGAGACCCCCAAAAAAAGCGAATTGGCTTTACAGATTTACTCAAATCCTTCTATGGTATAGCTGCAACAGGGAGAACAAAAGGACGCAAAAAGTAGTGTGACAGTCAAGAGGAGCCATCAGCCCTTCTTGGTCAATCTTTCAAGATGTATACCGAGGCACAGTGATCTTTAAACAACACCAAAATTCAGTATTCTTTTTCAACAATAGCACATGTACTAGGGAGTGCTGTGATGAAAGTGGCGGAGGACAAGATTTATTTGTCGTTGAGAAAAATATGCAAAGAGGTACCCATGGTAGCTTATTAGTTGGACCAACATCAATATCGTTCGTTCTGTGTAACATCAGAGCTGACTGAATCGTTTTCCTTCAACGAACATGATACTCCCACTATGGGAACACAAATGGCTTCTTTTAAATTCTTTTCCGCGCTCACACATTTTCCGTTTCTTCTTTCTCTCCTTTAATTATTTTTAATTTTCATATCCTCCCAACAAAACACAATGAGAACACTAGGCAACAGTATTCGAAGAGTCCCACCAGCTGCAGCCGTCAAAATCCTGCGTCAAGGCTTTGTTCTCCCAACACCTGCAGCGCGTGTGCTTTTCAAGGACATTTTGAAGCCCGAGAAATGGCACCGCAAATGGATCTACAAAGTGCGCTGGAATCAAGCGTGGTGGGGCGGTTGGATTGGTGAAAATATCAGCAAACTGGACCACGACGGCATGATGAACCGGGTAGCGAGAGCAGATATTATCTTTTTCCATGTTCACGGTAAGTTTCCACTGTTGTTTGCTGGGGTTTTGTCAGCTCAGGTGGTAAAAGCTAACGACAAAACACTATAAATAATAAATAGGTGGTGGATTTCGCATCGGCAAATACAACATGTTCATGGACACCTACATCCAGCTGCTGCGTGTGCTCAAGGTCAAGTTCAATGTGGATGCCCTGATCATGTCAGTCGAGCACAGGTAAAGGAGAAGATTTTTGTCTATAATGTCGATTTTCCTTGTTTGATGGATTGTCTTCCAAGAGGGTTCCCTCCGACTAAAAAAATTGGGGTCTATCCTCCAGACTATCGCCGGAGTACAGATATCCCAGCGCAACTGAAGATGTCGTACACGCATATGATCACTTGATCAACACCCTCCACGTCGACCCGTCTCGAGTGATTGCCATGGGCGGATCCACAGGCGCTGCGCTTATCTTGGAAATGCTGTTTATCACACACGACCCTTCAATGTTTGAAATTCAAGCAGACAGTATCGAAGGTGGATCAGCAGAAGCCATCGCACCCGAGCTGCCGCGGCCTGCTTCGCTCATCATCAGCTCACCTCTAGTCACCGAGCAAACAACATCGGAATCCTGGCGCACCAACACAAAATACGATTACATTAGCCAAATCACCGCGAAAAAAATCATTGATGAATACTTTGAGGAACGCTCTCCCGACGCACCACCCGAAGCCTGTTTGCTTGGTCTTGCCGATATGCAAACCGGCTACAATGCCTTTTTACCACAAACACTCATGTTTGTTGGTAACAAAGAAGTCCTTCGTGACGATGCCCTGGATTTTGCTCACAAGGCTGAACAGGGTACGCTGTTTATTATCTGATAGGGGGGCCCCCTCTGTACGTACCTTGTTCTTTTGTTACTTACTAAACCATTTCTGTATTTGTTTGCGCTCGTTTAGACGGTGTTCCGTGGGAAACGATCGTGGAAGAGTGCTGCCATGACTTTTTCTTTGTTCGAGAGGTTGTCAAGGACAAAAAGGTGTTGGAGCGTGCCGACGAGATCTTTGCAGACTTTTGCTATAGGACAGTGATTGGCCCACGCCATGCAGAAGAACGATCTTATCGACGAGCAAGTGAAGGTTTGGCCGCGGTGCCTGAAGAGCAACACGATACCGAGTCATACGTAGACGGTTCGTCGTCGGAAGACGAATTTCACGAGGCATTGACCATGAGCGTGGATTCGAATCAGTCCGGTACTACCGCAGTGTCAGAAGAATCATCCAAAGTTTCGACTGTGTCATCAACAAACACTTCGTCTACCAAAAAAAAATCAATGACAATTTATGTATAAATACAATGTAACTCGAATCGACTTGTTATATGTTTTTAAAAGTCCTTAACTTTATCTCAACACCTTTCTCTCCTTTTTTCTCTTCTTTTGCCGCAGTACTATATTATCTTCTTTTCTAGTGGACGAGCCCTGTATACCAATCATTTCTGTAAATAAACTCTTCTTTTATCAATATCAATACGACTGTCTACTACTAGCAGCAGCGGCCAATGTTTTGTATCTGCCTTTTTCTCGTCAAAAAACGTGGACCATATCGCCAAATAAACGCCACAAGTCTTATGCAGCAACATTAAGAAGGGCGAAATTGTGACGGACAATAAGTTCATCTGTATGCTATACCCTATCGCCCAAATCAACTGATATCTGTTACATCAAAAAGTGCTTAAGCGATAATAAACATGGTGATACTAATCAACGATACTGCTGTAGAAAATTGTTTCTTTCTCAATCTCCTGCAGGAGGCAAAGTGGTGTCAAATCCCACAAAAATAACAAAGAAATGTGGTGATATCTGGTAGATGGACTTTGAGGCCATGTATTATGTATCTACTACACGTTCTAAACCATTTGTTTGCTTGTGTATATAAACAATTCCTCATTGACTGAAGCTGAAAAATCGTGTGATACATGTTTTTCAGGCGGCAACAAATCAGTCCGGTTCATATCGGACGATTGAACGGCCCGTATAAAACGTTACAGTGGACTCCCTTAAGACCACCCTCGGTAAGTTCAATCCTCAATAACATCAACCCTCCGAGGGATGCCCCTCTAACATCAACTTTAACCACTTGAACCTTGTTGAAACTAATTGAGCCAAAATGTGTCTGCTTAGAATAAAAACTGTGTACCTATGTTTTTCTTAATCTTTGAAAAACCTTTTTGATACAATTGTTGCATCTACCATTTCTTGTTTTTATGGTTATTCAAAGGTATAAAAATGGGTGTCATAGGCAATGTAATAACGTGGTTATCTAAGCAGCTTAGAAGAACAAAACAAAATCATCAGATGGCAAAATCCTATATAGTATGTAGATATTCGATGGCTTTCACTTCAACTAGGATACTACTAATATTTATCTGTCATATTACCTCAACCTCCAACTATTTCCACCCTCATTGCCTCTGCTCCAATCCTCACTTCGTTGATCTTAACGAGGGACAGTTGTAGCTTCTGTGGTATGCTTTCTTGAGCATCTGACACAGTTATCATATGTTGAAATATGGTTAGACAAACTAAAAAATCCGAGAATACAATGCAACATACAAATTCAATTTATTCCATAAACGGATAAAAAAAAGTGTTTTTGGCCTAGTAATTGCCGATGGCAGCCACATCATGCGTGTATACGAAAAGGGTAGCGCCCTTGTTTTGTTGATGTGGGTAGTGATACATAATTTCTTAAAACAACAGAACAGGAAATCGACGCCTAATACTTTGCCTATATAAGGCATCGGTCTTATCAAACAAAGTTAAAGTAAACAAGTATAAATTACAGGTGTGAATCAGTCAGAAATGTATCTTACTTATTATCTTCTTTCTTTGAATAAAAAGAATCGTACAACATGCCGTCTTCTAGTACAACAGCATTAGCAGGAACGAGTGAAACCAAAAAGGTCGTGTTAATCACAGGAGGTACAAGTGGACTTGGACGTATATCAGCGCAAAAGATCCTTTGCGATGGTCATACCGTGGTTATTACTGGCCGAAGCAAAAGTCGGCTTGATGAAGCGGTGGCATGGATAAAGCCTTCCGCAAAAGAAAAAGAACGACTCCATACGTTGATCCTTGATCTCGAGAGTCTGGAAAACATCCGTAGTTTTGTCGAATCGTTCAAGGCACTTGGTCTCACTCTTGATGTTGTGGTCAACAATGCCGGTATAATTCCCTCCAGCCACGAGTTTGTTAAAGAAACCATGGTGGTGGAGAAAACATTCTGGACGAATATTGTTGCCCCATGGTAAGCTTCAGGGAACAGAATACCAAAATATAAAAGACATGTAACATGGTGATTAACTCAGTCATACTGCCATGCGTGCTCTTGCGTATGTATATTCGTTGTATTGACCACACTTAGGTATTTAACAATGCTACTAAAACCCCTCCTACCCCGTGGCGGTCGAATTCTTTTTGTTACCTCTGCACTTCACGATCCAAACTTCAAGGTACCTTCAGCCGCACTTGGTGTCGATTACGTTACGACTCCCAACTTTTTCGACAATCTGGACGGGAACCAAAGATTCTTGGGACTCGGCTTTTACAAAGCCAGCAAGCTGGCTATGATGTGGATTGCCTATCTCTTGGCAAAGCAAAACCCCGAATTGGTTGTTATTCCTTTTGAACCTGGTTTTATACCTACCACGAGTCTCTCCCGTGAATCTCCTTGGCTAGTCCGTCAGATTCTGAGATACATCTTGCCTTGGTTCAACCATGCATTGACGTCAGAAGAAACGGCTGCCCATTGGTACTTGCAATATGCAACAAGTCCGGATTTTAGTGCCGCCTCAGGACAGTACTTTTTTTCTGGCAAGAAGCTGGACAGTTCAGAACGATCGCATAATATGGAAGAGGCAACAAAGTTTTGGAATATTTCGTGCGATATCTGTGAAACACCTGGATATCGTCTCCCGTAGTAGCAATAACATGTAAAGGGTAGATTCATATGAATTACGCTCAATATGATTAATACAATGATTCAATAATACACCTTTTATGACCTCAAGTGTTGTCAATTTGAGTCGAAAGCGGTGTAATATTCAGACATAAACGCTACGTCTCTTTTCATGTTTGTGCCATATAATAAATGTGCTCGTTATATATATCGTTGCACGACATCATATGTTAAAGAAATTGAAATGTGTAGAATTATGTACGCTGCACTGCGACGAAACTTTTGCAGCGCGTGTAGTTATTTTTTCTTTAAAAACGACAAAAAGGCTGAAGGTACGTCTTTCGTCGCTCGATCGGACCAACGTCATGGAGAAGAGTTAACAAGTATGCTGACGGAATTACTCGGCGTAAAGCTAACGCGATATCTATTTCTTACGATCTATTGATCTAAGGTATTGTGTTTTGTAGGAATGCTGGAATTGTTGAAGAAACCTGAAAAAGAGCTTCATACTTGTAGCGATAGAGTATGCCGGTCTCAATAAAGTTATAGACGGTTTACTACTTTTCATCAGGTACCCTTTAACAAAATAGCACTGACTGTGTTTATCGTTTTATGTAGATGAGTTAGGTGAACTGGTCACTTCTCCAGAAATCATCCCAACAGAAGAGCAAATATAGGTCTACCGTCGACAACTAGCTCGTGGAGCGACACACGAGTATCTTCTCTTTCGAAAGGGGGTGGGGACGATTTGCTTATTTATGCTCCAATTTATTTACTAACAATGATATACAACAATGCACGATTCTTCGACATAAGTTAAAGATAAAAGATACGTCATGTTAACTTTAGAAATTCAAATCATGATCAAGTTGATAAACCACAATGCTTGTTTTGCTTTGATGTGTTTTTGACAGCTGATCTATGCAGCGATTCTTTTATTATTACGTAATAATAGCAGTAAGGTGAAAATATAAGACTTTGCTCTTATCCAAGGCTCGATAGAGCTTCATTATAGTTTTCTTCGAAAGGTTCTAGCTTTTTGTGATCAATTCGCAGAGGTTTAATTTGTTGCAAATGGCCAGCTTGCCGCAACATGTCTTTGAATGGCCTTGCTTCTTGTTTCTCTACGAGGGAATATGCTTCTCCTTCGCGACCAGCACGAGCAGTACGACCCACACGATGGATATACTTGTCCATGAAATAGGGAACATCGTAGTTGATGACAACAGCAACATTGTCCAAATCAATACCACGTCCGATGAGATCAGAGCAAATCAATCTATGTAATACATGCCGACGTGTGAAACACGAACGGAATATGGTTTAGTATCCTTCCATCTCCAATGACCCTATTTTGTCAAGCATAAACTTACAGATTGATTTCACCGTCTGCAAACTTTTTGAGTAACGCCTTTCTATCTGCCTTTGCCAGTTCACTAGAGTAATCTGCAACGACAATCTTGTCATGATCTTTTTGTCGAGCCTCATAAGCTTCTACTAGCATTTGCAATCGTCGTGTAGAGTCCGTGGACCGGGTAAAGCATAAACATGAGCGAATATTGAAGTGATGTAGGAGATAAATCAAAGTGAGTGGCTTGAGATCGCTGGAGCACACGGTCATGAATTGCTTCAGGCCTTCAGGCGTCGTGTAGTCGGGTGCTTGCTCGGTATCTGTTGATCGCTGGACGGAAATGTATTCGGGCTCTGTCAAATGAAGGCCGGCGATCTTGGCTGGATTCTTTGTCAGCGTTGCAGAAAACAACAGTTTTTGTACCTAAAGATTCGACTTGCGTAAGTATAAAGAAATACTGTCATCACCTTCGCCTCCCGAATACTTCTTCTCTGCCAAGCAACGTACCGTAGGCACTTTGGCCAAATCCACATCGGTTTGTGGCAACTCGAAGCTCGATCTCAAAAAGTTAGGCGCAATAGCGTCTGGTTCTGGTACACTGTTATACACCTTTTCGAGTTAGTATCAAACTTTCAAAAAAGAAAAAGCCAGCACACTCTTGGTTTTAACATTTCAAAAACTAACCCATTTTTATCCGTCTTAAAACTGAATGGGATATCACATTTGTCGGCGACTGGTCGTGTGGCGGCCAAGATTTGATTTAGCCAGTCATTGTAGCTCTGATTCAGCAGCTGATCAGCTTCGTCAATGACCAAGAAACGCAAGTGTTGTAGGCTGAAATTGCGCGTTTCCTTAATATGATCTGTGAGACGGCCTGGCGTGGCAATTAATATATCAATTCGGCTTTGGCCACCTGGATAACTACCGATGAAAACACGTCGTCGTGTTAAAACTCACTACATCCATTATGCGAGCACGAGCGTGATACACATGTAACACACTTACTCATCTGTGGTTTTTCCAACCAACATTTGCTGTTCACGCGCCATGCTCTGTTGACCTACAGCAGCGCCGACACGAAGATTTGTTCCCTTGACAAAAGCCTCAAAGGTCTCTTTCACCTGAATTGCCAATTCACGCGTAGGCAAGACGACAAGTGCCCGTAATCGTGTTACGACGCGTTTGGAAAGAATATCAATGATAGGCAGTACATATGCCATTGTCTTTCCACTACCAGTAGGTGCAGAAACACACAAATCGCCTGGCGGTCTTCGAGTATCGTATAATGCTTGTCGTCTCAAAAATACCGGAATTACTGCGAGTTGCACTATTGTCCGTTTGTCGCATGTTAGCATCGTACCATTTGCAAAGAAAGAGGTTGCATAAATTCAAAACATACCTGCAAAGAAATTGGAGAACCCTAAATCCCGACATCTTTGCACAAGACGATCTGAAAGCCCTGGGAGCGCTTCCAGCTCACACTTTTCGCTTGGAGAAATGACGGTTGGCAGCAAAAGCCAGTCAGGAATACCCATGTTTCGTAACAGTTGGATATCCTCCTGTGTTCGTTCGGTCGAGTCACCCAACATGTCCGGAAACGCCATGATACCTTCATCTGCATCCTTATCGTCTCCTTCCTCCTCAGCATCCTCCATAGCTTCAATCTCGTCTTTGTTGCTATCTGCTTTATCGTCGTCGTTGTCTTTGTTGTCGTTGTCGTCTTCATCTTCCTCTTCTTCCTTTTCAATTATGCTTGGTATAGTGTCTTCTGGTTGCTCGTCGTCAGCGTCAGAGTGGTCGTTATCTTCGTCAATACTCTCTTCATGTTGGGTGTCTTGTTCTAACCGTCTTTTTGTCACTTGAGTGCGTTGTGATTCGTCAGTTGTTGGTTTGTTATTGGCAGTATCGTTTTTTCGTCGTTTCTTTTCGCTCTTTTTCGACGCTGGCCGATCTTCTGTGGGTGGTGGCGGCTGATCGTTGACAGCTTTGCGTTTTCGATTAGCCTTTTCTCGAAGTTGTTGCAAGCGCTCGTTCTTTTTCTCAAAAGTACGCTCCGATTTGGAACTGTCGTCATCGTCACCCTGGTATCGTGCAATCGAAAACATTTCTGCTTTAAAGTTTGATCGATGAACAAAAAGTTTGGTCAAAAGAGTGTTGAAAAAAAAAACTCAATTCATTACCCGCTGGTAAAACTTCTAGTATTTATATTATTTGTTGTGTGTGTGTGTGTGTGTGTGGAGATGGATGATGTGATATGTTGTTATTTACAAAACTATTGGTAGAGTTGGTATATCTATGGTATCATAAAAGACTATGAAGAGCTGCTGCGTAACAATGGAGTGCGTTCATTGCCTTCACGATGAGCATTATGAGAAGCAGTGGTACTGTTGTTGATGGCAGGCGATGATGCACTTTCTTCATCGTCGCCTGAGGGATAGTGTTCGTCAGGATTGGTGTATTTGGGAACATTGTTTGAATAGCTGCCGGCCAGCGCTGGATTGACCTTGACGATGGTATCCACGATCCAAAACTGGACTGCATTCATCACCAAGGGGAATCTGTTTCCATCCAGGTTAGTTCTGGGATGATCAATGGTAGCACCAGCCATCAAGTACAAGAGATAACTTACATAAACATGACAAATACTACTTGGTAGCGATGATTGCCACGTGTCCAGCGCAGTGCCCAGTTGCCGACATTGAACAAAAAGGGACACAGACGGAACAAGCCCAACACACACAGCTTCATCAGGGCTTCGGATACAATAAAGACAGCGGTCTGTCGTGCCCATGGCAACAAACGGCGACGCAGTGGTGGAGGACCATACTCCCCACTTCGAATGTATCGCACATGCAAGTATCGTGCAAGTATCCATTGCAGCGAGTGAAGCCAGAACCAGAGAATACCCACGCCAATGGTGGTGTCCACGAGCACGTTGAGAAAGTACCATACGCAGAGATTCGTTTTGGGGCCATTCATAGGCCGCCCCACCAAATAGCTCACCGCCAAGTTCAAGAAATGAATGACACCCGCGCCCAAAAACTGTTTGCTCACATCCAATGCCCTAGGAACGAAGAAAAAAATAACGAGGATGTGGTCAGTCTCCGCACTCTTGCCATTAAATCCCCACGCCTCTTTTAAAGTGCTCCATACCACACAGGCACTGGCCGTTGCGGTCGCTCTCTCCACCGCTTGTATACAAGCACTAGCAACGCCGTGGTTGCCAGGCATATTTGAACAAGAATAGCGAAACTGTCAAGCAGCTTGCAGCCTTCTTCGTCGCCCGATCCGGAGCAGCCGACACCATCAGGAATGCTGCTTTCTGGAATGGGAACGGAGATCGGCTCCGATGGAGCCATTTTAAGAAGCCTTGGATCTGCGAAAAATAGCGGCGGATGACGAGAGGTTAGGACAGGCAAGAGTAGCATCTGCATAGTGGAGTGAAAAACGAAAAGAGGGAGGATAAAATGCTGAGAGGAAGGAGTAGGAGAGAAGGGTTTCGTTCTAGGCCTTTAGTTTCATCTTATTGGTTACCGCGTCACATTGGAGTGGGGTATTTCGCTTGCACTCTCTTACTCCATTCTATTCGGGGCTTGCGAAAAAGGGAAAACCAAGGGGGGGCAAGGGGGCGGGGGGGTGGAGGAGCTGACATTGGGTCGCATGAATTTTTTAATGCTATTGTTATGCTGGTGATCCTGTGAGACGTTTCTTTGGTTCCCCATATGATGTAACATCAGCAATAGCAACGATTGACTCACTCTGCTGGGATCATGTAAAAATGCCGTGCATACCCTGTGACGATGACTGTTAGTCACGCCATTAAAAATGCTAGTTCTCTCCCCGGCACCAGATGCCGAGCGAATCTATCAATTTCCGTTGTACTTGGAAGGTACATGTTATACAGCCACATAAACTCCAAGCTACGAACGATCAATACTACATGTGTTGAAGGCCAGGAAACAATAGTGCCGTGATGTAATACGCAGCAATGTTGTGATGACTATGATTGACCACAAATACGCCGCTGATGATGCGGGGTGGAGAGCCAACAAACAAACACTTCGATGTTTTTGAAAAGCTCATCCCACGACACAACAAATATAGTATATTGCATTTAATTACCAAGCGTGCACGTAATTGTTATAATTTATATATTCTTTATAAGCGTGATATTGACAGCCGATTGATTACGCGTATGAGTTTTTTTCATCCTGGTTATACGTGTGTTATTTGTTAATCTGAAGACCGTTCAAACAGCTCCATAGGAAGTGGAAGCTTCATAGGAAATTTGCGCATTGTACTTTCGAGGACTATATACTAAAAAGACTATGATGATCTAACATATTAAGTAGAAATAATACTGAGGATAAGTACTGGTTTCCTACTTCATTAACAAGACCAATGCTTTTTCATCGAAACATTGCGCCTTACATACATTTCTTACATTCAAATAATCCTTGCACCCAAAATAGCCATTTTACTTATAGCTGAAGATCTGGTAGAAGGATAGAAGGAGCAAAACTCTAAGTGAATGGGATCTGATGCAGATAGAAGGTGTTGGAGATCTAACGTCCTTTAAGCACGAATTCGCATGCGGAAAAGTGCATATTTTGGTTCCATTGTATTTCCAGAAACGTATAAATAGTACTTGACAGCTTTTTCATTACCTTTTTCCCAATATTTACTTGTTGTAACGACCCATTTGTGTATCGCTCCTCCATTCCATTTCTATTTTTCTCTTTGGAACACAATTACCATTATCATATCCACCTTATCCTTACTCTCGCATGAATTAACGTCTTAATTCTCTTATGTATGCTTTTGGCTTTTACCGTTTATAACATAAACATCGATTACTGACCACAGTAGCTTATGCTAAAGGGATGTTTTATACGTCGAATAAAGATAAAGAAAACTCGTATGTACGCTTAAAAGAGCGCTGCCCAGAGTTCTTTTTAAAGTGATTGTTACCTATGTGGACTCGATAGAAAACTCCTTGCTTGATTGGCATCCTGGGATTAAGCTTGGCGTGCTATCAAATATTCGGAAAGAAAAAGATGTCACTATAGTGGGTAGGCACACCTCTCGCGAAAATTGTGTCGGCGCTACAATCTGCTGCGCACGGCGACTGTTAAGAAAGTGTTGCCTGCCCAACCCACTGGTCTTCTTCTTTACCAGCTTCTTTTTACTACATTCTGTCGCAATGATCACCGTATCTGACGCCCTCTTCGCCAAGCTCGTTCTGCTTTGTATCTTGCTGTGTATCTTTGAGGAAACAGTGGCCGCTATCTACCGATATGCCCTGTCCCGTCCTGTCATCGCTGTTTCCGTTGCCCTTGTGGCCTTTGTCGTCCGTGCCGAGTGTTGCACTCATGTGCGCACATGGATTCTTGATGCCCCGTTCAAGTTGTTGTTGTTCCTCTCTTGGCCATTTCCGCCATTAGACTTCCCGCCGCTGCCTCCGCCTCCGCCGCCGTTGTTCACGCAACGTGCCACCACAACTTCAACTACTGCCACTGAACCTGTGCATGCGATCCGTCGGCCAAGTGTAAAGTATGGTGGACAGCCTCGTTCTTCTAATCCGGTATGTATTTATCATTGCTGGGATATTGACTGGGAGATTGACTCTGATGTTAATCGTGGTGTTCTGACAACCGAGTACGTGCCCGCGCGACGTGCTGAGCACCTGGGTGCAATGAGGAATCCTGAGCCCCACGCGTTGCTCCCGACTGCTGCTGCGGCTTCCGCTCATGTCTCTCAGCCGCACCAATCAATAACAACAGTCGATAATGCAATTACTGTGAAAGATGAGCACATGGTTACGGTAATGATGGAGCAGTCTGCGGCCCCTCTGCTTTTGCATGGCTCCCGTGTTCCTGAACCTGTCGACGTGGATCAGTCTGTGACCCCTCTGCTTTTGCATGGCTCCTGTAATTCTGACTCTACTGAAGTGAGGATAGATCAGCCTGTGGCCCCTCTGCTTATGCATGGCTCCCGTGTTCTTGAACTTGTCGACAACCACGCGATGCCTTCGTTGTCTGTTCCAGATGCGCATACGGCCGCTTCGGCGTGCTCGTCCCTGCCATCTTCTGAGCAAACCGCTGCTTCGGCATGCGCGTCCCTGCTAGAGCAAACGACCGCTTCGGCGTGTTCGTCCCTGCAAGAGCACACTACCGCTTCGGCGCGTCAGTCCCTGCTAGAGCACACTACCGCTTCGGCGCGTCAGTCCCTGCCAGAACACACAGACGACACGCTCTCTGATCGAGATGTGCAGATGGAGGATCCATCGTATGACTTTGTGTCGTATGATGTTGGAGCCTTCAATTTAATGCCTTCTTCGGCTTTGTTGGCGGACGGTTCTGATGTGCGGCATGAAGGTGATACTTCTGTCGAAAATCCATACTTTTTCGAGCATACGACCGCTTCGGCGTGTTCGTCCCTGCAATATGAGCATACGACCACTTTTGTGCGTTCGTCCCTGCCATCACGACAAGAACGATCGTGGCATACCGCCTTGGGCGTGTCCCTGCCTGATCATGGTGAGGAATATCGCGCAGCCGAGGACTCTCCCGAGGACTCTCCTGCCGATTTGCAGCCGATGGAAGTTGAGGGTGAATCCCCAACTCGGTCTGACCTCCAACGCTATATAGCGATGACCGATGATGAGCTTTTAGCTCTCATCAACCCCTCCCAATCTGACATCACCACCGACGCCGTAACCACCACCGCCACCCCAGAACCCGCCGCCTCTTCTCTCCCGCTCCTCACGTCAGAGGATCTTGATGCCATCCGTGCTCAAGTTGCCGCCGAGGCCGAGGAAGATGACAGTGGTTCCGTCTCTTCTCTCCCTTCTCTCCGTTCGGAAGATCTTGCTGCTCTCCGTGCTCAGCTCGACGCTGAGGCAGAAGATCTTGATGATTTGGTTCGACGATTTGATTGGTAAGTTTTTTACTTGGTGATGACACGAAATAAAGGGTTGTTTTCTAATGATTTTTTTCTGTTTCCTTTAGTTGACCAGTAGGTGTTGTCCTGCGCGCTGCTGTGTGCAGCTTGGTGCGATGTGGGTGTGGCAGGTTCTTTTTTTTTTTCGTTTCGGTGCTTCGTGTTTCTGTCGGGTTTCTTCTCCTCCTCCTCCTGATCCTCCTCTTCTTCCGTCCTGGTGTTCCTGTTGTTCGTTGCTGCTGTTGCGTTCTGTGCGTGCTTTTCTTCCTTTTTTGGCGTCTTCCAGTGCGTCAACTGACGCGATGGTGTGGAAAGCGTTTAGGGTATGTATCTTTAGTGCGGCAATTACAACCAAACCTATTATCAACATCTAATCATTTTCCATTATATCTCCCATATTTAGGCTGTTTTTTCTTTCGTTTCGGTGCTTCGTGGTTCTGTCGGTGTTCTTCTCCTCCTCCTCCTGATCCTCCTCTTCTTCCGTCCTGGTGTTCCTGTTGTTCGTTGCTGCTGTTGCGTTCTGTGCGTGCTTTTCTTCTTTTTTGGCGTCTTCCAGTGCGTCAACTGACGCGATGGTGTGGACAGCGTCAGGGTATGTATCTTCAGTGCGCAAATAACAACCAGACCTGTTATCAACATCTAATCATTTTCCTTTATACCTCCCGTATTTAGGCTGTTTTTTCTTTCGTTTCGGTGCTTCGTGGCTCTGTTGGTGTTCTCCTCCTCCTCCTCCTCCTGATTCTCCTCTTCTTCCGTCCTGGTGTTCCTGTTGTGCGTTGCTGCTGTCGCGTTCTGTGCGTGCTTTTCTTTTTGGCGTTTTCGATGCGTCAACTGATGCGATGGTGTGGAAAGCGTTCAGGGTATGTATTTTTAGTGCGGCAATTAACAACCAAACCTAATATCAAAATCTAATCATTTTCCTTTATACCTCCCGTATTTAGGCTGTTTTTTCTTTCGTTTCGGTGCTTCGTGGTTCTGTCGGTGCTCTTCTCCTCCTCCTCCTCCTGATCCTCCTCTTCTTCCGTTCTGGTGTTCCTGTTGTACGTTGCTGCAGTCGCGTTCTGTGCGTGCTTTTCTTTTTGGCGTTTTCGATGCGTCAACTGACGCGATGGTGTGGAAAGCGTTCAGGGTATGTATCTTTAGTGCGGCAATTAACAACCAAACCTAATATCAAAATCTAATCATATTACACCTTTCTCCGTATTTAGGCTGTTTTTTCTTTCGTGCTTGTGTGTGGCTGGCCGTCTCGTCTCTGGATGGCTTTGGAGATTAGTTCGGGAAGGACATGAAGGTAAAAATAAATGAATGTAATATCATTAGCTCAAATCTCTCATGCGTGCCTCTTATTAGTCAATATAAAAAAATAGGTCATGGGCTGCTGCGGCCTTCGTGTGCGTGCTGCCGCCTGCTGCACTCTGTGTGTGGCGACCGTCTGGCGGGACGGGTTTGGAAGACACCTCAGTGGATGGTTTCCTCGGGTAAAGGTAAGGGGTGGGTGGGGCATTGGTGGCACTGGCTACAGCCACCGGGGGTGAAGGGGTACGAAGAGCAATGGGGATAGCGAGGACGGCACAGTCGGTGGTGGGGAGGGGAACACCGCTCTGGTTGTTTGGGTATTGCAGGAATACCATCCACATGAGCTGGAACTGACTGAAAAGACAACCCAAGGCGTCGGGCTTGTATGATTACGGGAAGTACTATATTTTCTTTAATACTCAATGAAAGACGAACATCTCAATAAGAAGAGACTTACTAACTGATAATTCTTTTTCCATTCACTCTTCCCTTCTTCATATCGCATTCAACTCGGATGTGGTGTGAAGAAGGCGAAGAAGCATCCATTACTAGGAATTAATCCATTCCTTCTCAAGGTTGTCTTCAGTCAGTTCCAACTCATGTGGATGGTGTTCCTGCAATACCCTTGCAACCAGAGCGGTGTTCCCCTCCCCACCACCGGCTGTACCGTCCTCGCTATCCCCATTGCTCTTCATATTCTGGATCTCCCACCGGTTGTAGTTCAGTGTTCCATGTAAGTCCCCGTTCATTCCCTTGCCTTTGCTTTGGGGATTCCTGAAGCTGGGGTTGTCCTTCTTTTGGCGGGTGGTGCCAGTGATGGTTACTGCCAGCCTTTGGCGGCTTGGAAAAATTTTCCTGTGGCAAGGGAAGTTTTTCCGCACGGGAAAGTGGAGAATCCCGTCTTCAGCTTGATCCTGGTTTCTTGGAGGCGAAACCTGGGTTTTCAAGGGAATCTTTTCCACTTGGAGGAGTGGAGAATCCCGTCTTTGGCTTGATCCTGGTTTCTTGGAGGCGAAACCGGGGTGTTCAAGGGAATCATTTCCGCTTGGAGGAATGGAGAATTCCGTCTTTGGCTTGATACTGGTTCCTTGGCGGCAAAATCCGGTGCTCTTGAGAATTTGCGCCTGATATCCAAACGGTCCGAACCTATCTCTCTCGAGTGACTCTCAAAGAAGCCAAGGGCGTATTTATCGTGTTGATCTTCGTGTGAATCGCTGCCGCTGCTGCTGCCATTTTAAACCGGGCGAAACAACATTGTGACGTCCCGACAAAAAGGTACCATGCTACGACAATCCACAAGAATGTAGCACCATCCCAAGTTTTTGGCATACCGTCGACTATACTCAGGACGTGAATTTCTTCGGACAAACAAGGCAATTCCAACAAGCGGCATCGATCCATGTGGTCCCTACCTATCTATCCAAGTCAAACGGAACTTTTGAATCCCGAACCAAAGTGGCATGGTCAACGATGCTTTGAGCAAAAGACAGCGACGCCTACCAAGCACAAGACTTTCTTGCGGGGGCTATCGATACATCAATCCCACGATCACGATTGGCAATAGTGCGACAACTATCAAGCTGATTGCCATATATCTCACAAGTCATCAGACAACCAAGTTCAACCTCAGGCGGCAAATGGTAGTCAAGGAGAAGCTGGATAACAAATCTGTTTGAAGATCGGACAAGTCTTGAACCAACGTGGACGACCATGTTTCAGTCTCTTTCGATCACTCAAGTCAACGGACATGGTCAATTTCACTATCCATCTTCAAGCGCGAAAGCAGAAGGACTCGGCCATGGAGGAGGCACATAGGGTTTGGCGGCCCTTATGTGAGGCTGCAGTTACCAGGAGCAAGCAAGCGAGCAACTTTGAATGCGACAAACAATGGATTGACCCAAAGTGTACCAATTTGGTCAACAATAAGCGACGGAGCACCCCCTTTCAACATTGGATACAGCAAGAACCCATCTGACTGGCTACACCATGTCAAGGCCCATTCACAAGCAACAAGCGATGAAGAAACAAGAAAGTTGAGCAGCACACACGGTACGACCATCCTGGTGAGCCACCATCATCAATCAACACCGCAACAAAATGCATGGAAGAGTTTATCTACGTGGCTACCTACCACCTACGACTCGATGGCGGCGGCAACAAGTGGCAGTAACTACCAAGCGCTGGAGCAGCAGCACGCACAGCCATACAAGCGATTAGCCCGATTCCGAAAATACTACCTGTCAACACACGGAAAAATTTAAACACATGCCATTTGGGTCTTCTGGTGGCTGGTGGCAACAAATGACAAGCCTACAGATATAGCGTTGGGCACGCAGCACACAATACAAGCCAGGAGGTGGATCGCTCGTATCAAACCAACTTATTTTGTGCTGGGACGATCCACATACTCAACAGTCATTGGATTTTTGGCGGCAACCATCGATGACAAGCACCAACATTGCTAAGCAAGCAGCATATCCAATAATTGCGGTCATCATCGAATCCAGCAACACGGACAATCGATCCGGCTATCCTTGATAATCAAGACAAGCGGCACACGCAATGGTCACGGTTTTCAGTAGTTCCCAAGCCAAGCAGCAGCAGCAGCATCAGCACCGAGGCTATCGCTATCAAGACCCACAAAAACCATACAATGTCAACACGGTGACAAGAAGCTGTCATGCTCTTATCAATGATCGAGGCACATGCGTGCTCAAGAGCTACCGTTCGGTCATGTCCAGCCATCGAACTGGATGTCAGCAAACGAATCATTCTGGATCCCAAACCGACAAGACTAATGGCCGCCGTGTGCGTTGGACGTGTGAAACCGCTATTATACGCGATCAAAAGTGTTTGAATTCTGCAGATAAAGTGGTAGGTTAAGATTAGGGAGGCGCTGTTACTATGTGACGAGTATACTAACTATAACACACTTTAACAAAATAGACAGAACCTTTGCCTTCGAAAATACCATCCATTTGATCTTTCTGTCACAAGAACCTACAATCCATATTTTCCCAATTTCTATTTCTTTCTTTCTTTCGTTGTTTTATCACACATGTTCTATTTTTCAGCTCCAAGTCGTCCCCTCATTGAGTGGTAAGTGCAACAAATGATTGGAAAAACTAATAGTGTATGTTTTTAGTAGTTTAGAAAAAAATATCCGTTTGTAAGTCAACACAACACCTCGACGGCACACGCGGGATGCATCGGCACGAAAGCTTACTGTCAAGACCTTACAAGATCATCCAAGATATCCAGACTATATTACAACCTGCTGTCGGCTTCAATTATCAAAGCTAACAGCGCAGAAGAGCTCACAAAAAAAAAACATCAGGTAATGATTAGAAGATCTTGATTAGGCCTTCATCAAATCCAAAATATCTAATGTTGTTTATCTGTATGTACACATAGAAGCAAACAAAAAAAGAAAAGCGAACCTATATCAAGGCTGTTGTTCAAAGTCGTTGGTTCCTGCTGCCGCACAGGCACAAAGAATCATAAAGTCGTAAAAACGAGTTCGCAATAAGCAATCAAAATGGGTCATCCGTCAGGCATGTAAAAATAGAGCTTTACATGAAATTCTATCTTCTAGAACATACGAGTGACCCAAAGACTAATATGATGTTTACTTTTTCACACTGACAGGAGCTCTACGCGAAGACATATTACCTGCACACACACTCAAAAAGACAAAACAAAGCAAGCTGGTCATTGGTATCTGCTTGCATCGGCGATGACGAAGGTTATCAAGCTGTTATTGAATCATTCACAGTGCAGTTTCCGTATACAAAATCAACTACCATCCAACATGCCTACGACCGTCATCCTTTGATACAACCGTGTGTGCCGTCCGTTACCGTACCACTTCCTCATATATCATGAAGAAAAAAAATACCAAAAAAAAGGAGAAAAAAGAAGAAGAGAATCATATAATGGAAAAAAAAAGAGAAAAGAACAGTAAAAAAAAAAGAAGAGAAAAAAGAAGTTAAAATGATACTAATCCATTCTGTTTGTAGCACAAATCACCGATGAGGGCAATGACGTTGGACTTTTTTCATATTACATATTACGTATCACAGTGTAAGGTCGATTACATAGCATATACATCCCCATTTTCCTCAGAAAAATATAATAAATATTTGATACATGTATATACTCGATGCTTTTTAGTCAATGGGGAGAAAGGGAGGTTAATTGGATATACTACGTTGGAAGTCGAAAGTGGTAATCGTAGGAGGACATATGGGTATGCTGCTCAAAATATCCTCCCTCGTTGCGGAGATCAGAGTTACTAAAGGTGGGGCTATGTTAAAGCCAATGCTTGCTTTAGTCTGGGTAGCATGAAATACTTCGGCGTTTGTATGATAACGACGCAATCCGTTATTGTTCGTTTAAACACGGTCGTAATCTTCTCCTTATCTTTATTCCTCAAGTCATTTCACGCTAAAGTACAAACTCACTCAAAAAGACACGACCTCGAGGCCAGAAAAATCCTCCAAATCACAAAGCGGGCAGACTAAAAATGAAAGAAAACGCGGATCCTAGTCAGTCTCTACTGTCTTTCCGCAGACAAGGAGAACAGCATAGTGATACTTCTTCATCTAGCAGCACTGCGAGTCTCTCGCAATGCCGCAGATAAGGAAACAGAAAGCTCTCTATTCCTAGCCGTGTTTGCTACAGATAGCCATGAAGCTGAAGCTGCTTGAGCAAAGTACACCAGTACGGTGACGAGCGATTATATCGATCCAGCAATTTCTTTGACAAAAATGGCTTTAGCATCTGCGCCTACTGATCGTGGATGAGATGGAAGGCTCTGAAGACAGTAGTGATGACGAAGGCAACGATGATGTAGTTGAAAATAACGATCGCAATGGTATGCGAAATGGTAAGAAGCAAGCACATTGTGCGGGCGGTATATAGATCCATTTGCCGCGCTTGATCTCTTTCTTAGCAATTGTGCACAATCGCTCATCGACACTCCCCACAGTGATGATTCACTATCAATTACATATTATGTCGTGCAGTTTATAAGTATATCATTCACGCTTTGGCAATATCGTTATATGATATTTGATTATCCATATCGCTATTAAGTAACTCGTGTTTTTTCAAAAATTATCGTCGTATCAACATGCCTCCAAAATATACATGTAGTTTATGGAGTGATATGCAATCTTCAATCATGATCACAAAGCCACTATGTAACTGCTGCGGTTGTTCCTCGATTGGTCGTGGTTTGTGTTGTGGGCCGTTGAAATGAGCTGTTTCTTTTGTCATACGTTTTTGTCGTCTCTAGCATCCTTTTATGTACTATACACTGGCGACATGGGTCGCCAAAACAATATATCCGTTTGTGATCATGAGCTCATAGCGTGTACCGCTGCATACAAATAGATATTTTAAACAGTGTTCGAGATGATGGATCCGCTGCGCGGAAGTGTCGTTGTAGATAAACCAGCTTTTGGAAATTGGCATCATACTGACAGGCTAAACAGATACTCATGGGTGTGATGATGTTGTGATATATAATCCAAGATATGTGCTAATTATACATGGACTCATTGCAACAATCATTGTAAATCTACCAGAGCATCTACGGTACGGCTCTCAAATCTTTTGACTCAGCAATTCGCCTTGAGAGATGTAGACGGCTTCTTAGCTCACTAGTAAAGCATTTTCTCTTTAATGCTATTAGATATACACAGCAAGCGTCAAACTCAACAAGCAATACCCCTACGCTGAACAGTCCCGCAGGTCAAAAAGTGGGTTTTAAAGTGGTACGAGAGAATAGAGCTACAAGCGAAATTGCTTACCTAACAAGATTGTCAAAATAAACAGCATTTGGGGTTTTACACTCAAGAATATATTCATACTGTATGCTGATAATCATCAGCCAAACATCCCTTTATTTGTTGACTGCATAATCCTTCGAAAGGCTCATAGAGAGCAACATATGTAATAAAGTTAAAGCAGATTTAGTAGTATCCTCAAAGAACCGCTATTCGGCTTGCAAAAAGAGAACCATCGTCTATAAGTACTTCTATGTGATCCTCGAACTCATATATAGCTCTGTCAGATTTAGTGTGCACGGCTCTACTTATAATGTGGTCACTCGGTGAGCTACATATTTTGTATAGTAGGCAAACCATTCTTGGGCCGGCGCTTTATCTGTTCTTACTGATAGAAACCACGTAACTTCTAATCCACAAAGCTATGTGATGACTACATATACAATTTGGCTTTTTCTCACTCGATGACTCGTTTTGGCTAATCTTTCAGTATGACCAACGAGTAATACCAAATGCGGTTCTGTATTTTTGTATTTTCGATAGCGTAATAGCCAAAGCGAAAAGATAAAGCCGATGGTTCCCCTGAGCAAAGCGGCCACTTACAAAAGAGCCACGGTTACACATATTGAATAATCGCTATTTCTCTTTTAGGAAAACACCTTTCGCTCATGTGGGGATTTGAGTAAAAGGACACATGTGAAACAGCCAAGTCATCATTTATTCCACCTTTCTTTCCTTTACTCCCATCTGCTCTCTCTCTCTTCTCTCTATCATCCTTCACTTTACTGTTCACACAACATCGCATAGACAAACCACCCTTCCCTCTATATATTTCGCCCCCCTCCCACAACTTCTTTCCTCGTCAAATGTCTGATCTTCGTAATAATTACCCACCTTTGCCCGAGTTTTGCCAGTTGAGTGAACGAGTTCACCGTGTTCTTGGACTCAATCCCAGCGCATTCACCCTCCAAGGTATATTCTTGCAACAAAAGCTCCGCATAGCGATATATATGAAAAATTTTCTGCTTCTTTTTTAATTGCTTTTATTGAACAAATATGTCCAAATAATTCAGGCACAAACACCTACCTTGTTGGTAGTGGCAACCGTAAGATCCTCATTGACTGCGGCCAGGGCGAGCCTTCCTATGTGCCTCTTTTACAAGAGTCGCTCAAGCAAATTTCGCCTGATGCCTATATCTCCGATATACTCTTGACACACTGTCATTTCGATCACTGGGGCGGACTGGGAGACATTTATGCCGTCGACGACAGTATTCCCGTCCACAAATTTCCACACAGACCTGGCTCCTTTGAAGACCTGCACTTTATGGACGGATTCCCTTCGTATGTCCAGTTACACGATCTATATGATGGCCAGGTGTTTGAAATAGACAAAGAGACAACGTTGCGAGTAGTCCATACACCAGGTCACACAAGCGATCATTGCACATTCTACCTCGATGAAGAAGAGTCGTTGTTCACAGGCGACTGTGTCCTTGGCCACGGCACCGTCACATTTGACTCGTTGAACGAGTACATGGCCGGACTCAACAAATTGCTGGAAATAGAGCCGCAACGGCTATACCCAGGTCACGGCGACATTGTCGAGGACGGCGTAGCCAAGATCAATGAATATCTGGAGTTCCGCTATCAACGCGAGCATGAAATCCTGCAGTTGATTCTCTCAGACCGTTCCAAAGCGTGGACACCGCTCGAAATAGGTACCATCTTACGCGAGAACAAACCAGGCAATCTTCAAGCGGCGTATCTACGTGGCATTGCCTTGCATCTCATGAAGCTCGAAGAAGAAGGCAAGATCGAAATGACTGAGCAGATCGAAACCCGACCTAACACAAAGGTCATCCATATGGTCGACTTACTCGATTTGCTTAACAAAGAGTGGCGTTACGTCGAAGCCGGTCGCAGTCGCTTATAGCTGAGCTTTACCACTATCATACTTTCTACTGCTACCATAATGCAGCAGTAAGGATACGTAAGGTAGACAGAGAGGAAAAGACGCTTTTGTACATATTTATAGCATGATCCACATTGTAGACTCGTATTTATTTTTGTTCCTCTTTTCAATCCCGCATTATTCTTTTTATACTTCCATTTGATAGGAAAGAAATGTGTGTGTGTTATGCACACATTGTACAGAAAGAACCTCTATTTCAAACCACTAATAAAGCTATCAATATTATACTCCTCTTCGTAATCCTTATCATCCCACAAGTTCTCAAGGTTCTCTAGTACTGCCTTCGATTTGCCCATGCCGTCGGCATCCGCTGCTGATGTAGCTACAGCTGCAGTGTCCTTCTTCTTTCGCCGGCCGTCGCCAGCACCTTCGGCCTCAACATTGAATAGATCGAGAATCTGGTCTGTATCCATGCTTTGCAATCCAGAGTTTTGTTGATTGACGACGGTATTTGCAATGTTAAGCTTGAATTTCTGGAGACCCATAATCTTTTCTTCAAGAGTGCCGCGAGTAATGAGTCGATACACGTTGACGACCTTCTTTTGACCGATGCGATGAGCACGATCCATAGCCTGTAAATCTTTCATCGGGTTCCAGTCGTGTTCCACAAAGATAACAGTATCAGCACCTGTGAGGTTGAGACCAAGACCACCAACATGGGTTGTGAGCAGTAAGACGTCAATCGATGGATCTGCGTTGAACTTTTGTACAATCTCGTGTCGCTTGCTCGCATCCACCGAGCCGTCGAGTCGCATGTAACTAACGGTCGGCATGATCCGTTTGAAAAGGTCGTTTTCAATAATGTCAAGCATGGTTTTAAGTTGGCAGAAAATCAGGGCACGATGCTGGCTGACAGCTCCCACTGCCATGGCTGCAGGATCTGATTCGGACTCAGGGGTGGTTGTACCAATACCACATTCACCCAGCAATTGTCTATTTCATCGATCAAATATATTAAATTCATGTATCATTTCTAGAAATATTCGAGGCCATAGCCAACGATGGGTACCCAAACAAAAATTGATTAGAACGTTGTATACATACTTGAGCGCTTGTAATTTAGGTGCGTTTTGTATATCGTGCAATGAAGCGTTGGTACGTGCAAGATCCCTTTTGATGGTATCATAGCTGGGATGCTTTTCGTTCAATACAAGGAGTGGATGGTTGCAAAGCTTGCGTAGATACTGCAGGGCTTGGAAGATGTGTGTTGCGGATTTGCCACCTTCGGATTTGGTGACGGCTGTGCTAGTGTCCTCCTCAAGACCCTGTTCGACTGCATGCTTTGTTTGTGATTTGGCAAATTCTTCGTATAATTTTTTCTGCAAGTTTACATGTGTTAATAAAAAATACTCTTTTAAACACTGCTATTCAGCGAGAGAAAACTGTCCCTTTCTCTTTTACCTGAAGATCACTCAAATCGCTGTAGTAGTCCTGGATAATCTTGGGTGGTAAATCATGAAGCACGTCTTCTTTGAGTCGTCGAAGTAAGAACGGCAAAACTTGTTTGTGGAGAGCCTCCAGCGCCAAAGCGCCTGCTTCTTGTTCCTTTGATGAGCTCTTGCTGTCACGGCTGGAGAGGATTGGCTTGCCGAATCGTTCATTGAATAACTTTTCACTTCCAAGGAAACCCGGCATCAAAAAGTCGAACAGTGACCATAATTCAAGCACGTTGTTTTGGATAGGAGTACCGGAAAGAATTAATCGATGGTTTGATTTGACAGTCTTGATGGCTTTTGTGATCTTGGTCTTTGCGTTCTTGATGATGTGGCCTTCGTCCAGTATACAGTAGTTCCAGTGAATTTGGGACAAGTCGTCAATGTCATTGCGAATAATATCATATGACATGATGACCACGTCGTGCTTCTTGATGTTCGCTCGTATCCTGCGGGTAAAGAGAATATGCTTTCATTAGAGAACATTGATGCGCAAATCGATTGCTCTATTCTCATTTCTCTACAAAAAAGTTGCTTACCGTTTACGCTCAGCAGGACCACCCATATATAAGAGCGGTTTTAAATTCTCACTGTATTGCAGCACTTCATGGTACCAATGTCCTGTCAAGGTAGGCGGACATATCACAAGTGATGGGCAGTGAGCCGCATCGGGTGCCTTGGTTGCTTCGTGTTTTTGAGCCCGCATGTAGTGGTCACTTGCAAGGATACAGATAGATTGAAGCGTTTTACCAAGACCCATGTCTATCGAAATACGTATAAGTATCATGCTCCGTATACTGCAAGCAAAAAGACACCAGTAAACCTTACCATCACACAAGATACCATGAAGATGGAACTTGTTAAGGAAAGCCAACCAGTTGACACCTTCTTGTTGATATTTTCTGAGCTCTGCCTTAATTTTAACGGGGATCTCAAAGTTCTCCACCTTGGAACTATCCAGAAGCTGTGACAAGAACCGTCGTTCCTCGTCGCGGTGTGCGAGAAGTTTCTCTGACATGCCTGGGGGATCGGGTATACCGGCTTCCAGAGGAACCAATCTGATAAGAAGGGCAAAGCAGTTGGTGCAAATCAACCGCACTGCATCGTCTGTGTCGCTCATGCGACCTAGCACAGGAACGATTAGGAAGATGGTGTATGGTAAAATTCGGGTGTCCAGTAGTTGCACAAGGTAGTATATGAATTCTGCGGTGCCTTGCCGATGTAAATGATTGACCGTGTTGCCTAACAAGGGCAGTACTTGCTCGATTACAATTTGCATTGTTTCCGGGGTGATTCTGTTAGCGATGGTTGCAAGGCACCGTGCACCGACGTATCGGATCACCTTGTAGCATGACTGCAAAGTCTTTCCGATAATTGGCACTACGCCTACAATCTAAATATCAAGTAATAGCTACGGTTAGTGTGTGCCAAAATATTAATCAAGTCTGCGACTCAAAAGCAGGAAACGTACCTTTGGCCAGAGGTCGGATGACAGGTACGGCACTACCGTTGTCACGATGGTGAGAGTATCAATGACTTCTTGGCCGACTGTAAGATCAGACTGAATAGCTTTATCCGCCAGTGAAACACCGGACCCTTCAGCATCTTGTCCAAATACCAATTGCAATTTTGCGACCATACACTCCCACAGCTTTGGCACGATATCGAAAACGCGGCCTTCAAACCGATCGCATAAGACTCTTAATGCGATCTCTGCACCTCGTTTCATCAGCTGTGATTCCTTTTGTGCGGCCGTAGGAGCTGCAGCTGCCGCTTCTTTGGCAGATCCACCCTTACCGGTGTTGCTGCTATCTTCTTTTTGAATCGAAAGAATGCCCGATTGGGTTTGATTGTCTTCGAGCACAGGTGTTTCGACTGTATCGGAACATAGGAAAGTGCACAGATTTTTGACAATTTTATCGGTAGGATTGACTCGGTTAGGATTACGAGAGCACAAGGCAACCAAATCGGCTAATGTAGCTGCAGAACGCTCCTGGAGGTCAGCATTTTCTTCAAACTAAAATTGGCAACTTGTCAGTAAGTAATCCAAAAACAGCATTGACTGAATAAATAGCAACCAAAGAGGTCATCTACCTTGATGCTGTTCATCACACTGCGGATAATGGGATTTAGTTTTGTAGGCAATTCGCCAAGCTCGACTACAGCGCCTGCTGTACTGGCATAGACATGAATTTCGACCTTTTGCTTCAATTCTTCGTAATAGCCAATCGATGCAATTACTCGTTTCTGTCGCTCTTCGAGTGCGCTTAGAGCAGCAGCTTTTCCTTTGCTTCGCGGAACTCGCATCAGCAACGATTCATATGCTTCACCTACGACCCAGCTTGCTGTCTCAATACTGAATATTTGTAATTCGGGCGCTGGAGCCGCTTCGCCGAGTACGAGTGTTGGTAATGCCGGCAAGGCAGATGCAGGAACCTTGGCATCAACATATCCGTTCAGAAGCGCCTGACATTCACCGCGGATTCGTTTGAGCACATGCACAAGTTCAAAATAGAAGCTTGTCGTCTGGCTAACACCTGTATCCAAACTGGCGACCATGGCCTGTGATAATGTCCGTGGGAATTTGTGCTTGGCAGCAAGGATGGCATCGGGCGGTGCATGGCTGACACAGTCAGCGTTGTATTGAGTTTTCAGGATGGCCTTGGCCCACTCCTCGACTGCCATTGCGCCCAACTGACGTTTAATGGCCCACTGTGAATTGATAAGTGTAAGCAGTACTTCTTGGTACGACAGCTCCATCGATTCGTCGGGCCACATGCTCATTGCCATACCGAGCGCAGCTGCACATGCCACACGACAACGCATCACCTGCTCGGCTGTGACCAACGAAAGGTCCTGCGAGATCATCCCAGCGTCAAGGTTGTGACCCGTTTCTTCGTCTCTGTCATTAGCTGGGATACTGCTAGCGCCAGGTTTTCCGTTCCTTGCTCCTTTCTTGCCAGATGCCCTTTTGTTGACACCGCCGCTCACGGTATCAACGGTCACTTGACCACCAAGTCCAAACGCGCCTGGGGGTTTGTAAAAGTGCTGTGCCACATCCAAGGGCTGACCGATGGGTGTCATGGCAACTTCGAACCAACTGCCGAGCCAATTTTGAGTGCCGTTCAACACTAGCTGCGTATCCACGCGACCTGCAATCGTAAGATCGCGCCATACCGCCAGTGTTTTTTCCAATATCGGTGGCTTTTCCTCGACGACCAGGTTCTGGAATACCAGCCGGTATACGCGCTCGTCAAGCCATTCGGCTGCAGTGCCGCATTCGAGGAACGTCAAGAGTGTGTTGAGAACTGCAACGCGAACACCCGTGATTGTGTGACGGAAGAATGGATACAGTCGAGGAACGAGATCGGCAAGTGAGCATCGGCTGCGCACGATATCCATCACGCCCGGCTGCTCGAACATTTTGGCAATTAAATCCATCACTGCGCCTGTGGAAGCGGTCAGGTCGTCTTTCAGATCGATCAGGCAGTCCCAGAGCGTTGTAATCACGTCGCGCACTCGGTCTTGGCTGCTCATGCGTACAAATTCGGCGGTGATAGGCAGCAGTGTTGATGCGCTGACGGCACGGACGTCGTCGTCAGGATCGCGCAAACCTAGGATTACAGCGCCTGTGGTGCCGTCGACAAGCATTTCAACGAGATCTTTACGGACTGCTACGGCATACTTGAGACCCAGTAGACCAGCATGTCGGACTTCCCAAATCGATCGACCACCGAACGCTGGGGTGTCTTGGGCGATCAGCGTCAGGAGCGTCTGGTGGACCCTTTGCACGCCTTCCGGTTTCATGTACTGCAAGACGACACCCAAGGTTTGAGAGCATGTCTCACGAACCGGACATACGACTTGATCTGATACGAAATCAGCGAATCTGTCGAGGGCGAAAACACAAAGCAAGCGGATTGCTACGTCCTCCAGCCATGCATTGTGTAATGTTTCGTTTGCTTCCTTGGAAACACCGACTGCATATATCATATTATTGTACATGTTAGCCATTTCAAAGACCGCGCGCAAAAGGATGCGTGAGTGATACCACTGGAATACATGCCTCGTCGTCCTGCGCCTTCTCCGTGTGCCTTGAGGATACTTCGCAAACCAATCCCTGCACCATGTCTGATTTCCCACGTTGGATCAAACAAGTCCATGCAGAGATGCTCGCAGGCCATCTTGAACGGCCAGTCGACAGATGTTTGCTGCTCGACCTGACTCTTCTGAGACGGAGGCGTCTTTTTGGACTCGACGACAAATTTGTTCGATTGCGGCTGGGCGGTCAGTTCGAATTCTAAACAAGCGGCAGCAGCGTGAGTAAGTCGCTTGTGCGTGTTTCTTTTGATTTCAGGCTGGAAAATCATTTTCTTCTCTCCGTTCAAAGCACACATACCATCCTTAGTATCTTTTTCCACTTTGACTGGCGTTGCGGTGGACTTGCCCTTGAGGTCCACCACTCGAACCCTGTTTTTGTGATTTTGCTCCTTATTTCAGTATCTCTGCTTTTTTTTTTGTCTCCTGAAACAAATTGCTGCCGCTAGTAGGAATGATAGCAGCAACAGCAGTGGTAGTCGCAGCAACCCAACTTACTTTTCCTTGTTTTTGTTCATTTTTGCGTCGTTTTTCATTTTTCGCTTGAGCATATTGCGTTCACGCGCAGAAAGTCCCGCCATGTTGATTTCAGTCACTGCAGGTGTGGGAGCAGGCTGTGGTGCTGCCGGTGCTTGTGCTGACGTGGATGGGGAAGGTGTGGGGCTGCTTTTGCGTGACGACGGCGCTGATGATTGCTGCTTTTTGCCAGAGGACTTTTTACTTGCAACCAAGTCTGCGTCGTCCACCAAATCCACTATCAAACGGCATAGAATCAATCAGACTATTCCTCTGAAAAGGCGCATATATAGAGAGACAGATTAACGATATATAGACCACCCAACGACATACCATCCATAAATTGACTTGTAAGACCCAACCGTTCCTTAAGATTACGCCGCTGCAGCTCCAACCTTTCTTGAGGCGTCATGTCGGAAAAGTCAATGTCGTACTCCTTGCCTGCTGATCCTAGCAAGAGCTTGCCGTGTGCAAGCACAGATGCTAAATCAAATTGAGCAAAGGCAAGCTTATGTACAGTGTCTTCGTCTTCTTTGGGACCCGCATCGTCGTCCTCTTGTTTTACGGCTGGTTGATCGGCAGGATTCCATGCTTCCACGTTGGCGGCGATTTCTTCCAGTGCAAGACCTGCAGCCCAACGCGTATCCCATGCTTTGCTACGCAAGTGAACGACAACCTACGGGTGGCCATAAAGCGTTGTTATATTGGGTTGCCACTTTTGTCTCTTTTTTTCGTTCAAAGCCGCCCACCCCTTCTCGGTAATATTATATAAGGTTGTAAACATACTCTGGAAAGTAGGTTGTAAAGTTCACCAGGGTGTTGCTTTTGAATCTCACCCAGCTGTTGAGCAGCAGTACGCCGAACAGAAGCAGTTGACCCAGTGTCCAACAGGAGCACCAAGCGATCGAGTCTTTACACGAGAGTGGAGAGTAGCCGTCGTCGTCGTCGTCGTCGTCGTTGTCGTCGTCGTTGTCGAGCAAGAGAGAGGGAGAGAGCAAGCGAGCATATACAGAAGCAAAGAGTTTGTCAGGGGAGAACATATTTGGGTGTAGGTAACGCAAAAGGAAGTTTTACCTTGTCGCCATATGAAATGTTTAGGTCCTTGCCTGAGTGGGGGGGAGGGGGTGAGTTGTAGGTGAGTTGTATGAGTATGAGAGAGCTGCTGATGCTGGTGCTGCTGTGGTGGCTTTGTTCAGGCGCATTACAATACAGGTGAAAGACCCAATATATACCTTTTTTTGTGCTGAACAACGCGGTTCTCTTAGAAACTCCGCAGCTGCTAGTTGCTGATTGGCTGATTCCCCCGTTTGGGTCTGGAAAGCATGCCTGGGATCAGAATACCAAAACGGGTAATCTGGTGTGTTACCAGGCCTACCAAGCCCATTCACTCCTCTGACTGATCTAGTTCGGAACCTATGTTGCAAAGAATACTTCATCAAGTTATTGTAATGCCTCTATGTGTAGGAAGACTTAATACAGCTTATCAGATGGAGGACCTGCAGTAGGACAGTTAGCGACGACTTGGGCTGCTTGATGGGGGGATGGGATACACAATCTATGAAAGAAGTGAGGCCGAATACTTGACGTTAAATATTCGTCAATGACCGCTATAGCATCGCCTTCAACAGAGGAAAAGGCACCCTTTAACCTTCTTGTTTCTCAACGATTGTGATATGAATGGGGCAAGAGCTTAAATTATGTGCAAGATACCTTGTAGCGAAACAAGAAAACTATGTACGCGGTACCCGTGCGCCAACACAGCTTCTCCAATGATACAGCGTCAATGTTGGTCACTAGCCGACGGTGAACTTTCTTGTTATGTCTTTGACGCGTCTCATTATTTCGCTCCAGGTGCGTTTCCACACAGAAATACCCTTTTTCTTTAAAACGCACACGCTTTCGCCGATGCTTGGTTGAGAGGATGCTGTACCATTTTGGTTTGGGTGGCACTGCTTCGGCTTGGGATGGTCCTGTACGTCAATGGCTGCGTTCTGGAATGGTGTGCTCATCAACAATGTTCATAATGCTTCTTCTTTGTGAATCCTCCAAACCACGAAGCACTGCACATCGGTTGATATGAGCATGAAAATCCGACATTGTTGCTCCTGTCATACTCATTACCACCAAAACCCGAACTTGCTCTAGATACATAGTGGTTTGATGCAAACAAATCGAAGCCGTTCACCTCTTCATCCACCGAATCCTATAATAAACAAGTTGTACTAAGAGAATTGAGGGAAAAGGAAGAACAAGTGAAAAATAAATCAATATTAACCAAATGTCTGTTTAGACAAGATTGCCCGTTATGATTACAGTTGTGAACGCAATGATTTCATCCGACATGTACTGTGCTCTATTCAATATACTTGTTGTTGATAGCTCGTCGTACAGAATATTTTGCACGTCGTTTTCCGCTTGTTGCTTCCCTTGTAAAAGTCTTGGGATCAGGGTGTTGTTTGATGGCTTCTTCGAGATATTTATATAGTAAGTTGGGCATCCATCATAATATCGATTAGACAACCTAACTGCTTTGCTAGGTTAAATTGTCTTGAAGCTAAACTCTTGACGCTTGTTAATGTTCGCGCCTTTTTTTAGAAAGGGTTTTTGTTGGTTTTTGACCATTGAGATTTTGTCCTGTCGAGCTGCTTATTCGTGTTTCACAAGTCGTTTCCGGAACCAACGTAAACTTCGCCTGTTTACATATAGATAAAACCTTATATTTTTTGGAAGGCTAATAATGACGGTATTTTTGTCGCTTCTTCGTGGTGCAGAGATCAAGGAAGAAAGTGCATAAGGAGAGAGGTGGTGCCTCAAGTAAATAAGAAATTACCCATCTCAAGAGCGAAAAAGTCAAGCCAGGGGAGATATAAGTGCAGATGTGAGGGTGGTAAAAGAAGAGTTGCCTATAGGTGCTATGAATGTAATGATAAAAATGAGGAGATGATGATGCCACATTGTTAGGTCTAGCGCTTATTCGGATGCCGGTTCCTGTTTACATATACAAGCTTGAGCCTCAATAGTAAGGGCACGCATGAAAGATATGTTGGTGAGTCGAGTTAGCGTTGAAGAAGGTGTCAGAAACCAAACTTTGTGTGCCTTAATGGCCTCGTGGTGGTTAGTGATCTCGTTACCTGTAGGGGCATACATTGTATACCGTCGATACAACGTCTCATACAAGTCTCTTCCAAACTTGAACCTGCAGTCCAATAATGACAATACGCGTTCACAAGTGCCGAAAAAGAGAGGTAAAATACGGTGTATAATGGTTCTTAGCCATCATCGTTACTCTTTGAACAAATGAACGCAGAAAAAAAAAGTTAATAACGACAACAACTGTTGCTTTTTCGGTTGTGATATCTTTTTTTTTATAATAAGTTATTTCTTGCACATATTGTGGCGTAGCCTTATGCTTCAATTTTGCTCTGGGTGATTAGAACAACATCGAGATGATAGCTTCCAGCGCCTCTTTGCTGTGCTTGATTTAAGTGTTGTGGCGCTCCTGCTGCTGCTCCCGTTCATCGCCTTAGTAGTGATATCGTTTTCGTTTTTTCGTCTTTCTCCTTTTTGTCTTCAAGCTTTCGTGCAACTGGTAAAGGACCCTGGGCGGGTGGTTCCTTAGACAGAATCCGACCCATCACTCGCATCTTTCTGCCTTCATTTGAAAAAAATTGTGTTCAATGATAATCGTCGTCATCATCAACGGTGTCACCATCGTCCTTGCTGTCAATATCCGACAAACTGATAGTGTCCCATGTAGCTATTCTGGATACCATTATCTTGTATGTACACCGTCCTGCCGTCCGAGAGAGAGATCAAAAGCATGTACCAATTCATGGTATAACGGGCATTGCCACTCTGGCAAACGCGATCCGAGATATTTTGTGTTTGCTTGTGTTCAACGGCGGTTTCTTCTTGAGCCCCTTTATTCCTTTTATAATTTGCAAATACTTTTTGTGTTTTCTGGGACGTCACCGCACTCGCAATAATACACACACTAGGACGCGCATACCATGTTTAAGCTGTTTATTTGACCGAAACTTACTTACTACAGGATTTAATTGGTTTAAAAACTGTCTGCAAAGATGCTTCGATAGGTGAACTTGCTTGAAGCTTTTATGTTCGATAGCTTATTTCATTGTAGAAAACAAATATACATAATACAAGCGCTCGGTTAAACACTTGACAGGAAATCTCGTTATAATGTCCTTGTCGCTTTTCCTTGGATTCGCTGTTTCTAAAGTAAACAGTTGCAACCGCTTGACTGATACGCGAAAGAAACGGCGTCATCTTTTTTTTCCTCCATTTTCGCAATCGCATCGTCGTTTGGCATCCATTACATGCGGTTTTTTTTTTGATCGTCCCAAATTTTTTTTGGTATGAGCTCTGGTGGACGTACACACCTGAGATCCTGCGACTCAGAGTAAGCCTTGGCATGTTGGTCATTTCCCGATCTACAGCAACGATTGGTAACAACTCAATTTATCTTTTCGTATTGAGCTCCATCGGGCAGCCACAAGTATGTCGGATTTCTCTATCATAGAAAAGTAGAATTAATCTATAAGCTCGAACGATAGCTTGTCTGTAGCTTTTACTCGTTCTGTATGATATTTGTCTGGTGACACCTCCAAATGCGAACATATCAAAATAGTCGGCCTGATATATATATCTTCGAGGATATCTCTTCATCATTCGTTCCTTCTTTGTCCACTTTCGGCGTCCATGGCAGTCTCTTCCTCTTCACTGTAGTTTCTATGTATCTTCCGACGCCTGTTCACGTAGAGACGTGTGTGCGTTCTCTCAGTCCTGTATTAATGCTGCATGATAAAGAATAGCAGGAAAGAAAATACGTCTTCAGAGTGCATTTCTTCATCTTTTAAAAAGTATACCGATCCGGGAACATAATCGATAAAATAATCAGGGGCATATTTGCTTCAATCTCTTTTTCCCATGCGTATATTGAAGGGCTCGAGCGCCTTTTGCACTTGGAACTGAGCATTAAAAGCGAAAACCTTCTCCTTGTCATACTTCATAAGGGGATCTTCTGCAGCCGCATCTCAGAATACGGCAGGGAGACGCTCACTATGCATCTTTTCGCGGCTTCCTAAGGTTTCTGAATCGGTATTATCTGCTGCAAGACTTATTTCCTGTACGTATTGCTCTCAGCATGAGTTTTCGCTGTAATTAATAGACTTATAAAGTTTTAACCAAGAAAGCTCACGGTATAACCTCATGCCTTATTTATATTTCAACGCTTCGACGGACATGTCTTTCTCTAATAATCTCTATCTAAATGCGGTCTGGGGGACATCGAATGAGCCTCTACTTTTCTATGGATAGAATCGCTTTTTTTTCCATCAAGGGTTTTCTTATAAAAGTGCACGCTCATGTATCCTTCTTCTTTCAAGCAAGCAATCGAGTTTCTTACTTGAGTATATCCCAATTCTTGTCTCTACATAGTGTAGCTTGCAAAGTCTCACGAAAATACACGCTTCTCTCACCATTTTGCATTATAATGCACGAATGAAATGATGATGCTCAAAACTGCTACATGAGCATTACTTTCATGCCGAACGGAGTTTAGCAGAAATGAAGCTATCATACAAGGCAGCAATTGTACTCGAGCAATGAGCCTTAGCGTCAAAACAGTACTGTAGTATTGTTGACGTTGTGCCTTCTTTCTATTGATCAATGATAATACACATATCACGAAGTTGTCAAATGAGCTAAAAGTAGTCCAGTTCTTATCGATGTCCTAGATACGCGACATATAGAACTAGGAGCGTATATGGCTGAAGAAGTGTCCTATACTTCGTTACGTAGGTATTTCTATTGTATCTGTTTGTGGTTCCAGGTACAACAACAATTTATTGTATAATAATATCTAAGCTGAATTTTTACATACCGTAGAGCAAAGCATCGTATGTTTCGGCAGCGCTCACTATACCGGAAACCAACACCCTCACGGCGGGCTTTCTAACTACTACTTTGTTTAAAATCAATTACTTTCTGCTTTCCTGTACACACCTTCTTCTTTTCATCCCTCTATTAACCCACTATGCTTGACAAGTATGTAGATGATTACACCTTAATGTTTAGTGCTTAATGTAATGTACAAGACGTCTTAAACGCTTTCCCGTGAAGGACGAGAAAGATTATGTGTAATATTGAACGTTATGCCCTTAGCTACATATTGATGGACTCAAAAATACATGCCTGTTTCCTTTGTAACACCAACACCAATGGCGTCGAATAAACCTTTGATATCATACGACGAATGGTAATGGTGGTGTTATCTACAGTCACAAGTCCAATATGACCTGTCATTTGCGCGTGTCAAGTTAGAAATGATAGTGATACTACGTAACGGATTGATACGGAAAGTTCTTTTAGGATGATCCTAGATAATTACTACGTACTTTATTCTAGTTTGACGCGGTGCAGATATCACACTATTCACTAGTAGAACATTGTTGTCGGTTGATGAAGGAGGTAGAAGGTGGCGGTCATTCAGTAAACATCAGCAGTAAGGCAAATTATAGAATTACCTATAATATCTTATTGGCGTGATACCAATGTCTTAAAACGATCATCCTGACACCACTACTCCAGCAGTTGTACACAGCCTTCGGTACTATACACCAACAAATCAAGACAAAGAGCCATATACCATCGACCATATCGTGAACAAACTACCACGTTCCGATATGGAATTGTTTCGCGGCAAATAGATAACGACCTGGCCGGCATTACTTTGGGTGCTGCTTGAAATCGACAAGTTAAGCCTCTCAGACACTGACTACGACACAAATGAACCGGCTCCCGGGGAAGCGGTAGAGTTGGGAAATGTGGCATCTTCATCATCCCCCACATCTCTCACTACACTCATAATAGCGTCTGTAGACAGCTCTTCTCACCCCATCTCTTACATCTTCACTTGTCTCTCTCCCCTATCTTTCATAATTTTTTTACCTTGTTACCTCTCCTCACCAAACATGTTCATCCGGACTTGCCTTTTTCCCTCTGTAGAAGTGGGGTTTTCAGCCAAAGCACCCACGTGTCCTATTATGTATTTGTTTTCTTCTCAATCACCGCATAGCAAAGGAAGCGACAAAAAATAACTTTGAAACTAACACAATCATTCTGCACTTGCATTCACAAAAGAAGATATCAATGCACAAGGCTAAGACCCAGTAAAAATTCAATCCTTTCGCTCTTGCTCAAACTGTTGACAAGTTGATGTTGCGCATTTGAAAGCGATGAAAGAAAAGAAGCAGACAACAACGTTTTAGTTTCTCTATAATGACTCTTTTTTTAATATTTGATAGTAAAGTAAGGTGATTGCTCGTCAGATATACTACTACCGTCCGACGCAGATCAGAGTTCTTTTAAAAAATTATGAGAAAGAATGAAAGGGCGAAAAATAGACATGGTTGCGTGATAATAGTTTAAGGTATGTCCGCTTTACAGCACCTTCGATAGTACATGCGATGTTTAATTAATTTCTACGGTGAGATGATGTGTACTCCCTGAAAATAACATATGCTCTACGTAATTGTTCAGTAACCTGCCGACGGCTTATTAGTGTCGACGATCGGTACCACCTGTGTATATGTACACTTCAACATGATACGGCTTGATTACGTAGAAGGATGGAATAAAGGAAACGATCAACACATTATTTAATCGGTGGTGCAATGAGTCAATTCGAGCCTCAATGGATCCTATTATACAATAAAGCTTCGACCAGAAGACCATCGTATACATATATAGCCCACTTGTCATTAGAACTCCAATAAATGAACGAACACAGTATTTATCTTGGACTTGGTCATTGCACTGTATATACAAGCAGTAAATAATAGCATTGAGTTACAGTATTAGAAGAGATAGCAAAATGATTGAAAGCTTTTGTCGTCAATCTGTGTGATAGCTTGTATCCACAGTCGTTCATCCTTGGATGACCAAAACCGAAACAGCTGCACTGGTTCCGGTTGAAAAACGCATTGAGTGGGACCGAAGATGTGTAGTGGAGTGGGGAAGGGTGGTCATCTATAGCCCTGAGGTAAAACGACGGATGGAGAAGTGTTAACACTACTTTTGCCGTCACACATAGTGAAATCCATCCAGACCATTCGTTTGGGTATCGACTCACCCAAACCAACCAACGGTCAAAATCTCATCTCTTTCTCTGATTAGGCTGTTCCACTTCCTTATCTATCCAAACAAGAGTGGGATGGAAAATTGCCTTATGGAGCCAAGGGATACAACCGCCCCAAAAGTAGCACAAAAGTGAATTTAAATTTCTAAATCAGCCAATATTTACCAGCCTTACTGTACCTGGCATATGTAACGATCCGGTACCAGCCTCTTTTTTGTTTTGCCTATTTTTGTCGTTTTGTTTCACCTGGTGGTGCTATCTATTGGATTATTGCTAATATTACAATGCAACCTCGTACAAAAGTCCGCTGGACGGTTGTCGTCGTTTCCGTTACCCACTGGTGTCGCGCCAAGTATTTGATGGATTTGACGTCCCGATACTATCAGCATGGCGCCCGGTGACTTTTTTGAAATTTGGCAGCTGACAGTCCGGTTGTGATTGATTATTCGAATGGTACACTAAATAAACAATAGTTATAAAAATTTTAAATAGCGGTAATAATCATAACATTGGTTCTTCGATTTAACATTTTGGTATAAAAAAGACTTTGCCATCCTTAACAATTCTTTAGATGCATGTATATAAATCTCATAAATGTCTATTCCGACCGTGTGTGTGTTTGTGTGTTTATGAAACATGCACACCGAGAAACTCTTACTGTTTTGTTTTCTAATAAAACCATCCATGGCTTATTTTGACAAGTGTACCGCAGTTGAGAACGGAACCGGCTACAACAAGCGGACAAGACGGGACAAGCCTCACTCATACAGTATGTGAGCAAATGATCAGATGATCACACACAACGCGCAAGTGTGTATGATACGCCGGGCTGGTTAGTATTACAAGTTTGATTATTTTTCGTTACCGATAAATTGGCTATTAATTAATCGAAAATATATGTGTGTGTATCAACCCAAATGTGGTGATTAAAGCAACGTCTCCTTAGTATGACCATTATTAATAAGCTGTTGTTGTGTCTCCATCCATCAGGATCATCATCGATTCCCAACACTTTAGAAATAAAGAGTAAATGTGCCAAGAACGAGTTGAGAGGCTTACAGCAAGACAATGACATGTCATTTGGACGTTAATGACTTTTGATGCTTCCAGCAATGGGAAATTGCGACAGCTATTATTATAACAGGAAGCATCGGGCTGCTATGTAATTGCTGTATTGCTGCAAGCAGGAGGCAGCGCGTGACCCCAAGTCATCATGCCTGCACATACATGGAGTCAGCAAACGCGATTGCCCAGCTGCTACTATCTATGTAAAGGATAGGGTCACATTATCTATTGAGAGCTGCCAGCAGCACGTTGGCGTGGAGAGATCGATGGCGAGCAACCTTTTTTTTTTGTGTTCCCGTCGTGTTCGTATCATGTGGAATGGTATTTTAGTTTTAGGAAACACTACTACTCCTCTTGAAGCTTGACATGGTATCTATCAGATGCATCATTCAAAAGAATTTATTTTTTTTACCCGTGACAAACCTGACCAAAGGATGTTGTTTTTATCCTGTCAAATAAAAACAACCGTTCCCGTGACACACAACCATAAAATGTAGAGGAGATTGAACAGCACCTAATCCGGTAATTTGCTGCGCACACTCATATTTCAAGGGAAAAACAAAAGTGAAATATGTCTTTCAATTTTTTATAGCAATGATGATATTCTATGATGGTTGAAAGGGTGTGTGCAAAGGGGAGGGGGATAATTGATATATGAATATGTGTCAACTAGATCTATATGATATGATATGAGATGCTGGGGGGGGATGGGGGAGTAGGTAGGGGTATGTGTATCATGGATGGTTGTGAGCTGTACAAGAAAAAGGTGTATAGTAAGAACAATGCGGGTGAGAGTGATGGGGAATAATGATTTCAATATACATGGAAGTGAAAAAAGTGAGAAATACAATTCATTGTGTGTGATAAAAGTTGATAATTGTGGGGGGGAATCGGCATTTTCGTCTACTCGATGTGTCTGTTCGCCAGGAACGGAAGCTGATATGTGCTTGCAGAGATAGAGCAGTAGGAAGCAACTGCTACTGTTGTGGGGCTGCTTTGGTAACTGTAAAGCTATGCTGTTGTCTAGCGTCGTAGGATTGGGCAAGAGGCTTCATGAGAAAACTGCGACACGTCCACACCACAATGCGGGCAGAAGGAGTACTGGAACGCTTGGCACACGGGGATCATGGAGAGCTGAGCTGCTTGCTGTTGTTGTTGCTCCTGGTCAAAAGTCATGGAAGAAGAAGAAGTGTTGTTGTTGTTGTTCTTGACGGCTTGGTTGTAATGGCTGCACATGGTGTTGGGACGTAGTAAGGGATAGATGTACTGAAGAAGAAGAAGAAGAAGAGAAAGAGGGAAGCGCGACAGTCGTTTGCTTTTTTTATAATTGGTTGAGGTTGCACAAATCTCGCGCATGCTGAGGTTCGCTGATGGGAGCACACGTTATTGGGTGGCACACGGGCACAATGTGTGTGAGCACACCATTGATAGAGGGCTGCTATGTGCTGCGGCACCTTTCATGGCAAACCCTGCCAAGGGCTGAGGTGCGATTACTTAGCAACAACAACAGCAACAGCCACACGTGCCGCATGCGGGGTAATCGTTCTTACAGGCAAACACACACTGCACCCCCCCCCTTGGTAATAAACAATAACCATGGAACTGGACCGGACGGAAGAATGACCGGGTCGTTATCCGATGACCCAATCCTTGCCTTATCCATCTCTCCCTTACACCACCCCCCCCCAAAAAAAAAAAAAATTGCCACGCGAAAGTTCTTTCTCCATTGTGCAACCCGTCTTTAAACGTTTTTCACCCTGCAGACAGCAGCAAAAGCAACTGGTTCCTTTTTTTTTTTATTTCTCCGAAAATTTGTATTCCACTCATCACCACCACAAACGGAGTGAACTTTGCTTAGCAAAAAACCGTATCTCTGACGTGGTACGGTTGGGCTCAGCATTTTCTTAATAGACCACCGTCGTCGTCTTTGCAAAAAAGAGCTTCCCCCCCAGCAGTCTGGAGGCGAAGAAAAAACAAAACTCAAAGATGGTTGGACTTTTGGGGGGCATTTCAAATCGTAAAAAGAGAAGGGATACAAGGGGTCGCGACACCGGCCGGAAGTTTGCAATATCAAATTGTGGTCGGAAGATCTATCGCACCGAATTAGACAGTAAAAAAACCTATTGCTTTCCGGTTCCCCCCCAAAAAAAAAAAGTTTAAACATACCAACGAGCGGGGGGTCTTTTTTTGGGGAACAAGTGCCCCGCACGCACAAGCTCGCGTCATTTTTTATATGTGCGGCACTTTTTTCCCTTGTCGACCCACTCACAGTATAGTATACACAGCGCTTACTACGTGCTTTGTTCTATGACGAGATATGAATCCTGCGCAATATCTACGCAAGAAGTAACCCGATGCCACACACACACGTTTTGAAACTTACCCCTATTGATCTAATTAGGGAAGAAATGCGTCGTCGCTAATCATCGAACGCGCGGGGTACCCGTTTCAGCCCCCCACCCCCCACCTTCCTTTAGTCTAAAGCACCTCTTTCCGGGTGCCCGTTTTCCAACACACGACAACAGGGCTCGTTCTTACTCATTATGAAAAATGAACGAAAACCGGTCCCTATTTTGTTATTCAATTTAAAAAAAAGAAAAAGAAAACAGGAGTTGTGTCCTCTTGAAATCTCGCTTGCTCGGACAAAGGACATCCTCCTTTAGTTTCGGCATGCAACAGGATCATGTACAGTCTAGGATTTAAGGTTGGCTGTATAGCAAAGCTGTCATACGCTGCATAAATAAATTTCAGCGATTCATATAATTGTACTGAGTTACTAAAACGTACAAAGGGTGTTCTCATCTTTTTAACACGTGAGTTTTTTTTTTTTTCATTGACAGGAGCTGATGAATATAAGCACATGCTAAGAACAACCTCTCTTGTTTGTATGATAGTGAAATTGGAATCGAGTATATCAAGGTACCCCCGGGGTAACTTTTAACAACAATCAAAAAGGTAAATGGTTAGCTTTTAGTAAAAGAGAATACCCGCATGGCCCAATGCAAGTCAATGGCAGGCATATCCAAAACCTGATTTTAGCAAGCTAGAGTGTGTTATCGGGTCGGGGAGTAGGGCCTGGAGGGGGGGAGGATAGCAAAGGTGGAACGGTTATATGGCATTTAAAGCAATTTAAAGTACCCCCTATGGAGCCACAGGTCAAACCTTGCTTCGTTGAGACAAACGAGATACCACGATCGTGACCTTTTGCGAGGGGGGCGGGGCTGATGGAAAGGGTCCGGGTAGAACTTGGTAGAAAAGTAAAGGCCATACATCGGGACAAGAGAAACAACTCTTTTCGAATTTGGACAAAACCAAGCATCGTAAATGAATCTGTCCCGAGATCCCCGGTCGGCTGGGAAAGATGAAAAGAAGCATCATACCTGTACGATACATGGTAGACATCGAACAATAGAACAACAACAACAACAACATGTAGACAACGAAAGATGGTTTGCGTTTTATATAATAAGATAGTGTTTCTCTCTCGTTTTTAATACTACGGGTTTACCACTTGTTCTTTCCTTTCTTCTTTTTCTTCTTATTGGATTGTCCGGAACTTTTGGCCGGTGAAGCCGGCTTGGCAGTCTCTGGCTTGGCATCGGCTTGAGCCGTGTCATCATCGTCCTTGTTGTCCTCAGATGATGCCTTTGCACTACCACCGCCACCAATATTAGCACTGCCTGTGGTTCCAATACCGCCACCAGCCACGTAAGACCCTTGAGGTCCTTTACCCGCCGCCTTTTTATTCTTGCCCTTGGCTCTGTACGTAGATCGTTCGCGAGCTGGCAGCCATCTTTCTGGATCAGGCGTGCTGTTTTCATTGCAGTTCTTTGGCAGCAATGGCTTTCTCTTCTTTTTTGTCTTTGGCTTCACCGTTTTACGTGGACTATGATGTTTCGTTAGATCCCATGCAGAGGAGTCCTTGTTCTTGCGTATCTCACCCCCAATTTACCTATCACTCGTGTATTTTTTCACATAGCCACGTTTCACGCCAGGCACCGAACGTTCTAATGCAGGGATATCCAAGTGATCCAATGCAATAGCAGGCAGCGCATTGCCGTATTGTTCTGCCTTTGTTGGATCCACCTCAATATAAGCAGAAATCAAGCCAGCAATCGCTTGTGCATCCGTCGGGTCCGCCTTGACCAATGCTTCAAAATCAGAGACAGCCTCACTGTATCGACCTGTTTGGAGCTTGAATGCAGCAGTCTGCTTCATGATCGATGTCGAGGGTGCCTGGGAAACAAACGCCTTGTCCTTCTTCCAATAAGCCGATGCCTGATCCAAAGTCTCCATCGCTTTATCCGATTGGCCCGTCTGTTCATACAACCAGACAAGCAATGCAATCACTGCGGGCTGATAATACTCTTTCTTGTTCTTTTCGTCGTCAATCACAGACAAGTACGATTGGAGTGTCGCTAGTGCAGCAGCGGGGCGCGATTGCAACAGTTGCACTTGGATCGTCGCGAATCGCAACGCCAGCGATTTCGGGTTCTTTTCTGCATATTTTTTCAACTCGTCCACGGCTGCTTCGGCTTTGTGTTGTTGGTATGTCGCTGCTGCCAATACAAGGTACAGTGTCTCGTTCTCGGGGTACTTTTGGATCAAGCGTTGGGCGGAATCTCTGCACGCGTCGTACTTGTTCGTGTATAATTGGAGCAGGGATTCGTTCATGGATATCACCCGCTTCTGGTATCGTTTCAAACGAGCATCCACTTCCTTTCCGGTAGCAGTTTTGAGCTTTTTGGCAGCATCTTGAAGATCCTTCTTTTGATGGATCGCTACCACGTTGTTGTTTACAATGGCCTTGACGCTAGCATCGCTGACGCTAATTCACATTGATAGACATAATGTCAGTTTACGTTCTAACCTGAAAACACCAAATCACCTTGCCTATCTCTCTCTGTTTCTGTTTGTTTGTTTTTTTTTCAAACAAGAGTGAGAACACAAAAAGGGTTTATAAACATTACCCAGAATCAATCACGGATTGATAGATCTCCATGGCGTCCTTGACGCGTCCTTGTCGCTGATACGTGTAAGCCAATTGGGTAGCAATCACAGCCAATTCCTCGTCAATTTCTTCTTGAGGCATGTCTGCTTCCGTCAATCGATCATGACACACCTCTTTTACACTCGTTCTTTTAGTATATCCTTCGCGCACACTCGTCAGTAGCAAAAAAACCCCCCGTTCATTAAAAACTTACTTCGTGCTGCTTCAAGCTGTTTGCGAGCTTCATCCAATTGTCCACGTGCCAAATGCAACGACGCAGCATTGTATGCAACTTCGTATTGCGATGATTCGATGACCGTGTTTTCCGTTGACTTTTCACAATAAGCCAAGCCCATCTTGGCTGCCAACAGATTGACTTGAATTTCATCATAAATGTGATCGGTCTTGTTGGTCTTGTCGAGCAACTGTTGATACGCTTGGATCGCTTCCTTGTAATTATCTTGAGCGTACAGCTAAAACAAAATTACATAATTTGCATAACACCCTTTAAGTATTAACTCTACATGGGGGGGGGAGGGCATATCTTTTTGCTTTCTTTCTTCTTAGTACCAGTTGTGCCTCCAAAAACAAAAGACTCTGATCAGGTTGCTGCTGCTGCTTTTGCTTGAGTTCTTTTAACAATTCCATGGCAGGCTGTAACTGGTTGGTGCGATAATAACAATAAATCTTTTCAATGGCCAAATTGTCGTCGTCTTTGAATTTACGCGCAATAAGCGACAGCGCGTTCGTGTACTGCCCGAGACGGATTAATGTCACCACTTTGCATTGCAGGGCGAGCTTGTTGTTGGCATCCAGTTTGATAATCTGGTCGCATAGTTCCAAGCTGCGTTCATCTTGTCCCGATTGAGATGTCTTTTGAAGTTGGTTGAACAGGCTCGACACTTGATCGCTCAATGACGCCATGGAGTTAACTCTACGTGTGTGTGTGTGTGTGTGTGTGTGTGGAAAGAGAGCCAAAGAGTAGTTGGACAGCAAAAGAAAGCGGGGGCCAGAATATTAGTGACCATCCCAGGTTGCGGCGTTAAAATCACTTTAGCTCTCTTGAGAATAGACACGTCTTTGCTCTCTCTCTCTCTCTTTATTATAACGCGCTCGTGAAATAAAATAAAATGGCATCGATTGAAGATAACGAACTTCCAAAAGCCAACATCTCTAGAGTATTAAAGAATGCTGTAAGTCTCTCTCTCTCTCTCTCTGTGTGTGTGAATGTAACAGTGAACTCACACACAATACTATTTACGATTCTTTCCCTTTATAGCTTCCACCAGGAACAGCTTTACAAAAAGAAGCAAAAGTTGCGGTCAGTAAAGCAGCAACCGTATTTATCAACTACTTGAGTACCGTGTAAGCTTTTATCTTTTCCCTTTTTTTTATGGACGTTACTGAAAAAGGGGGGGACAATGACCTGATTTTTTTCTATATAGTGCAAACGACACTGCCAAATCAGCAAATCACAAAACGATCAGTGCACCTGATGTGTTCAAGGCAATGGAAGTGTTAGAGTTTGAAGACTTGATACCATCGTTACGCGAATCATTTGCGGGTTAGTGTACCCACTTTTTTCAAATGATTATAATCAATAATGGGGCAGTAACTGATAATTCCCGTTGTCCCCACATAGCTTTCCAGCAATTACAGTCGGATAAAAAGCAAAAGAAGAAAGAGAAAAAGGCAGAGGACGAGAATGAAGATAAAGCAACATATACAGCAACACCTGACGACGCTACACGAGGCACAAAGCGAAGTGCTGCGGCGGATGAGGATGATGATGATGATGAGGAGGAGGAGGACGAAGACGATGGAACGCCGGAACCAAAGAAACAAAAGGCGGATGAAGAGGACGAAGAGGACGATGATGGAGATGAGAAAATGGTAGATACTGATGATTCACCCATCGACAAGAGCAGAGAAGGCACCTCTGAAGACTGAAAAGTACTATAACGCACAACAATAACATCAACACATTCAACCATCCACCCACCCTTCAGTAGCATACACACAGCATTTCAATTACTAAATTCTTTTTTTTTAAAAATCGACTTTACGACTCTCGACATGTACATACATGCAACAACAACTTCTGGTGGAGAGAAGAGGGGAGGTATGATGATGGATTAGAATACAAAAGAGAAAAAAAAAAGGATGCTAGCTTTTTTATTACCAATCTTTTTCAAGATTGGATGTGTGATTTTTTTAGGGCTATACTAACTTGATGTTTCTGTTGTAGTAGTTGAGGTATATAAGCAATGTGAATTTTATGTGTGTGTTGGTAATATTACTATATGGTTTTAAAAAAGTGGGGTTGTCTTTTTTTTTTTATGCAAATTCTCTACTAGCAGGAGCAATAGGCACAACGCCGATCCTCTGTGCTCGCTTTTTGCATGGCTTCTCCAAGCCGATGCGGTGGACACGCATGTGCCGTCGCATGTTGCTCTGAACACTAAACCGACGACCACAGCCTGGCTCTGGACAATCAAAAGGCTTTTCGCCCGTATGTGAATAAATGTGGATCCGCAACGACGATGGACGTGAGAATCCCTTGCTACAGTAGGCGCACTTGTATTTGGTTGCTGTTGCAGTAGATGATGTTGCGTTGTTGCTGTGGTTCGGCATAGCGCTCATTGCAGTCGGTGTATTGACTTCTTCGTCTCGAGATCCTTCGCTTTCGTAATCTTCAGCGGTGGGAGAGATGCAGCTGGTGGAAGCAGTAGTGGATGTGGATGTGGAGGCGTCCAATGGTGGGATAGGAGGAAACGACGATCCAGAGGTCGACGGGGATGATGATAGTGGAGGATGTTGGGCCATCAATTCGGCTGCGTTGGTGGATATAGCACGTCTATGTTGATGAGGGTGAAAAGGGTGGCTGCCAATGGGGTTGAAACGATGAGGATGAAGGCTGTGATGATGGTGGTGGTGGTGATGGTGATGAGAAAAAGAAAAAGCCAAGGGTGGATGTGCTGGTGTAGGTAAGCGATGTGTGTAGTCGGATAATGAACGCGAGTGCGATATTCTTGAGGGCTTCCGTGGGTCGAGCGGTGTGTACGTGTCGGGGTATGCATAGAGCGCACTAGTGCTACTACTACTGTCATATTCTGAAGACAGGTTCCGACGGTGGCCTCCTATTGCTGTAGGTCGGTCTATAGTAAAACAACAATCCAGGCAAAGCGAGTCAGCGCGAGTTTCTCAAAAGCAACAAAGAAGAAGGTGGCACTCGACGCTAAATCTCAAACTCGTGTGTGTACCTGGCATAGGGCTCATTCCTTCGAGAATCGCTTTCAGTGGCGGCAGTTGAGGTTTTTCCATTCTGTAATATGTGTGTGTGTGTGTTTGAGAGTGTAAGAGAGAGAGAGAGAGAGAGAGAGAGAGAGAGAAAAGGATGAGAGAGTAAAACAAAGAAAGGTGTTGCGAGGTTTTTTTTATTTTGCAAGCTGTATTTATCAACAGCACTCCTGACACAAAAAGGGCTCTGATGATCGTCCAGGCCCCAATTATGCACGCATCTAAAAAGGGGGGGGGGAGTGGGGAGTGGAAACAAGGGCTCTCTCTCTCTCTCTCTGGTATTAAACACTCTCCCCTACTGCACATTCATCAGGCTGCGCGTGGGTACGATGATCGTCGTTGCTCCCCACTCTTTTAGTGAGAAACTCGTGTGAGCTATCGTCCGTATGAGCAGGCCTTCTCCATCAGAGGTTGCTCTTTGTTCTGCTGATAGCCTCCACAACGTATGAAGCTACTGCATTGTTTGAGCACTTGTCATTTTCCATATGTGGCACGCCTCCGCAGGGCTTGTTGGATAAGAGTGACATCAGGCTGAAGTGTGTAGTACATGCAGTATAGAGTATAGTACATCTAGGACCACTGTTGTTGTATATAAACTAACATTCGGAGTTGTGGTTTATTTTCCCTATGCTGCTATCGTATGCACTAAAACTCTACTCATGCTAACATTCCCGCAGGTTCTCGGAAGGACTCTCTGGTTGTTATAGTAGTAGTAGTAGTCAGTAGTTAGTAGTAGTGAGACAAAGGCATTCTCGTTTTGTTGATCGCCGATCTTGTGTGCACGTTTGCACTGCAACTAACTCCGGTCTGTGTTCAGTTGTTAGGTTGCAGTATGCATCCGCCGAAAACTAAATACATGGCTCAGGTAGAATATGTCCTTTCCATTGAGAGTGTGTATAGCTTAATTCCGCCGCTATGACGACTCGCTGCTGATCGATGGGATGTAGGGATGATCATCATCTTGTTTCCCCCATCACAGAGTGATCAAAAAACGCCTTTTTTGACCCAGAGAGATACCAAACCAAACATCAGGTGACAGTTTCAATCGGGTTGGTTGGTGGGTTGGTGATGAGCCTGCTGACCTGGCGGGGATCCGGCAGGCTTGCATATCGCCGATCCTTAACAACGATCTGCTGCTTGCTTTGATTGGGTCCCTTGGTGATCTGAGCATCGCCTTTAGTGATCAACCTATTATCCGTTTTAGTGTAATGAATCGCTTCTTCTCCCCTTTAAACTCCCTTCTTTCCACACTCCCCTTCCCTCACTCGTTACGCGCTAACCGATCACAAGATATATTAATAGACGATCTTCAACGCTTCCCACAGTTTTTTTGCGGATAAAAATCATTTCCCTGATTTCTTGTTGATGCGTGTCATGCATTGGGTCCCTCTACACAGAGACAACAGCAAGTCAATTACTTTCCTGCAGTCATGTCGATCAAAAACCATAGATACAGCAAGGGACTGCTTGTGACAATTACGGAGATAGGGTGTGGCAGTCTGTTATATAAAAGAAATGATCAACAGCAACGTTTTTTACAGGGGCCGAAAAAGGGAGAGGAAGTAAGTGAAAGGGCGCATGCGTGTGTTGTGTGTGGGGAAGCTCTTTTTTTTTCCCCTCCAGTCATCGTGTATACCCTTGAAAATGACGCCTACCTACATAGTGCCGCATTACACTACTTCGTCGTTGATCGCTGTACCCTGCAGTGGTATCTGCATAACCCTCGAGGCTCATCGATCACCTTTCATTATTGTATTGACTATTCATCGCTACATGTGTGTATCTTCAATCTTGACATTGTCATGGATCCTTTTAATATATCATGTACTGTTCATCCTCGTGGAGCTAATGTAATATGCAACACGAAATATTACGTATGATACATGCCTAGAAAACAATGACGCCGTCGCTCTGTTCCAAGATAAGCCCCTCCTCGCTCCCTCTAATAGCGTCAAATAGATCGAATGACGGAACAACAAACATACAGATGAAAGGCATGCCACACTTGTCCTCATTCGGTTCCTTTATTGTGATAAATATTATGTAATACCCTCCTCATCCCTTTCCTCATATTCTTCGTCTTTTCCGCTGTTACTGTAATACATGGCGTACAATCACTAAACAATAATTCTTTCTATTTGGTGCGATAACGTTTTGTGTTGAAAGCTGGTGGGGCCGTATGACACTTTCAACCCTCTCGTCTTATCGAGATTTACTTCATGTTTTCTTTATCCGTAAACGTTTTTACACGTGGGGTCCCCACCCCCTACTCTGTAGAACATCCACACAGTTTACCAAATTGGGAAGACCGATAGAAGATTTATCTGAGTCTTTGAGACACCATGGTTAATAACACTTTTGTACTGAAAACATTTACCCGTAAAAGACACTTTCATCGTTAACACTAGCAATCAATGCGACCCATCACAACACCAACCAAATCATTCATAGCAAATTCGACAGGATAGTGTATCATGGAAACGAATCCCAAAAAGGCTCGAAAACTCCACGGTCATTACGACGTCATGACGACGTCTGGAACTCTTGGTCTTCATCAACCGTAAAGTATCCCTCATTTCCAACGAGCAACCCCTACTCAAGTGCACAAAAAGAAGCTTCGCACGTTGCCAGCCAGCAAGGAAAGCCAACGGATTGACCGCACCCCCCCCCCCAGAATGCCGCCCACTATTGCTCGCCCACAATGCCAAATTTGACGACGACGACGACTCCCTCGACACACAGAGTTAAAGCAGCAGCTCGAAACATACTTTAGCAAAATACAACTCAACTTCGCTTCCAATACCAAGCCCACCCCATTCACGACACCACTACTGCGATTGCCCCCCTGAGAACATCAGTCATGCTACCATGCGTACCATGAATCATAAAGTACTCCGCAGCTCAGCAAATTAGCAACACCGCAGCAGGAGGTACAGAACTGCTAATGCCCAGCTGAGTGACCTAGTGAACGCGTCGAGTCCAGCGAGGCGGCCCCGGTGGGCCGCGAAAATGATGCCCCCAGGTATTTGAGGGTTCCAGAAAAAAGGGTGCAGGAAAGCTTTGTTGTAAAGGAAAGAGAGGACCACCTCGACGTAGATCCAAAAAGTTGACGAAAGGGTTCAGAGAGCCAGCCCATTAACCGAGATAGAGATGGAAGTAGAAAAGAATACGTAAGACTATATTGAATGAGTAAAAGAGGAGGGAAATCCAAATCTTGCCATAACCCTGCCGTAGATAAAATGGATGGATGCGATCATATGCCTTTTCCTGATTTAGCAAAACGCAAACAAACAGGATATTCGATGCCACGTGACGCTCATGATGTTTTGCAGTTTAATTTTACCAGCATATAGGCCAACTCTATAAGAGCCTTTCAATTGATGCTCTCGACTTCGTGTGTGTGTGTGTGTGTGTGTGTGTTTGATTATATAGAATGCAAATAAAATGGTATCGATCTGCCGCATATGCGTTTGTATTACCTGCATCGCCGGCAATTAGAAAAAACCCGCGATCTCTTGCTCGCATTAAACCGTTTCTCTTTCTTTTGCCGCTGATACTCTACCGCTTTCACTCAGAACTCATCATTAGAACGACAAAATTGCCAAAGTTCGTGCGTCCAGGCGATGCTTTACAATGCATTTACAGTTACAGAACGTGACATGTCGCTCTGCTGTACACCGTGTCGTTGCTGGAAAGGACGTGTCAGATGACCGTTGACGTTGATCCGGATGCGTGTGTCGAAGAAAAGAGCTTGAATGCAGTGGATGACAGAAGCAGCAGGAAATCCAAAGCGTTCGAGTGCTTTGACGAGATACTGCGGATGAACACGATCATAAGCTTTTTTTATGATCTAGAAGGAGACCAATAGCTGACGATGACGTTTTTGGGGCAGCGTGTTCTATAATGAGTTGAGCAGCTAATCCGTTTTCGGCAATGAAACGATCTGGGAGAAAACCAGTTTGTTGACGGTTGATGACCAAGTCGGCGGCATTGACAATTCGCTTATTGGTAGGCAAATATAATTTGACCCACAGTCAGTCACCTACAAAGAAAACACCTACTCTCATTCCCTTGTTATGGCAAATCACATATAAAAAAAGCGAAAAAGAGCACCCTGCGATGCAGCTTGGTTTCTTACATAATGCTGATTCTCTCTCTTTTTGAAATCATTTGCTCGTCACTTTGACTTGTACGATCGTCATTACTGCCATAGTCGTTACCAAAGTATTCTTGAAAAGTACTTTGAACAAGTTGCCAAGGATAGACTGTTAGCCGAATTCAAGCACTGGAAATCGTCTGTGGACAGTACTGATTTCTGGAAGAAACAAACCTGGTCAAAGGTGACCTCAGATGCCATACTTCATGGTTGGCTCTTGTGGATGAAAATGCTGTGGAAGAAATACCTCACATTGACCGCAGCAGCAGCGGCCCTACTTCAACTACCACTACCACCTCTGATGCAAGCAACTGTGACTCCTCTTCAAGTGAAACTATCTCTCTGTGGATAGCTCACAATATCAGCGTCACCGATCTCTTTCAAACATACCAGCAACAGATCTCCCCTGCCGACTCGAAATTCAAGATCAAAACTGACTTGCAAGAGATAATGGCTCTTTCCGACATTCTTTTTCTGGCACCCGATGAACACAGCACACTCAAGTCTCAAGTATTTGGCGAAGAGACATTACATTCTCTATGTGACCATGTCCTCGATGGTTTGATGAGAACGACCGACTCTACAGAGGACAACGAGTTCACAGACGAAGAGTTTATGACCATTATGCGAACTATAATTGGAATGGATGCTAAGACGAAATCAACAAGGGAAGCAAAGCTGGATCTTTTATCACTCTCTGCTCACATAACTAGAAACAAAGCCAGTAATGTAGAAGGAATCACTAATCTGTAAGTTGTAATATAAACGTCATAATAGGTTGTATAGGCCTATCCTGGAGCCATAAGGATAGCAGGGATAGGATCACTCAGTCCTGTTTTCCCTCTTTGATCATTGATACCTGGATGGATGCTCCTCTTTCAACTAAGGAGGTCAAACTCTAGTTGCTATTTTTAATGTAAACAAAGACTTGAGATTTATTTAGGGGTTGAGAATTATTCTGGTGGTTGAGACTTTTTTTACTAAATTTTATATCATTAATATAAAAATTGAATTTTCATTTTATGAAAGAAATACTAAAACAAATCTAAGAACAATATGGTCACACTAAATAATTTTCTACCTATTAACTATATTACTTTATGCACAAATCTATGCAAAGAAATTGAATCTTTTATATATGAAGAATTCATTTATTTTATATAAAAAAACATTATTGAAAAAATAACAAAACAAATTCAAAAAAAACTAAAACATTATTTTCAGGTAATTATTTCCTTACCTATCAATGAAATAATGATTACTGTACTCATATATATAAAAGGGGGAAAAAAGAAAGAAATTTCTGCTGTAGGAAAATTTGAATAAATATTAATAATAATAATAAACCAGATCTTCTATATACAAAATATAGTAAGTTACATATTCCAAAAAAGAAAAAACAAAACAAAATTTCAGTAAAAATTGATTTAAAAGGTGAAAATGAATCATATAAGGTTCAATAAAATGATAATGTTTCATTAGATAAACCCTTCAATAAAAATAAAAAGAAGAAAAAGTATAAGATTAAAATTATTTGCGGAAATCCTTCTATATTATATTTCTCTACTATCCTTCCATAAATAAAGAAATAAAAGATTATATTAATTATTAATATGTATATATATATATATATATATAGGTAGATTATCTCATTTTATATATTAATTTAAATAATTATACATTTATTCTTCAAATTACTTATTTCTATTTATTATATCTCACTATATATATAATTTAAAATATTACTTATATTATTAAAAACAATCTTTCCAGTACTTATGAGTACCTATAGTTTTTTACTTAAGAAAATATAAACATAATATATAACCATAAAATTATTTGCTTTTATTTATTATAATGTGAAAATCTTATACTTTTTTAAAATTCTAATATAAATTCTCAAACATCAGTATAATGATTAAACTTCTGTTCCAATGTTCCAGGAGGTCAAACCCTAGCTGCTGTTTTTTATATAAACAAGGACTTGAGATTTAATCTAGGTTTAAAATTTATTCTAGTAGCTAAAATTTTTTTTCTTTCTATATTTCTATGAGAGATCTATTTTTATTTATATATGTCAAAAGTAATTATATATAATATTGATTTCTATAGTCTGACTTTGAAATGCATATTAAAAAAGTTAATTTTAGAAAGAAAATTGAGTTTTTTTCTTATAATAAAATATAATTTGAAGAAATATAAATACAATGGTTGCTATGGGGGTTAATCCTTAACAATAAATTAAAAAAGGGATAATATTTATATATAAATAATTGTCTTAAAATATATAGGAAAAAATAAAAAATTAGATTATAATTTTTTTATTTTTGAAACTTTTAACTTTTTTTTTAATTTTTTAAAAGGTTTAGGTTTTGTATAAACTTTTTTAAACTGTTTAAACTTTAATATTCTTAATGTTTAATCTTTAATTTAAAAAGTAGCGGAGTGGTAGTGAGCATAGCCTCCTCTAAGCAAGGAATACTTGGACGCAGCTTAGCTTGACAGTGAAAGGAATAACTAAAATTAATTTACTGTTTATAGTAAAATTAATTGTTATGGATTGAACCTCTATAAATGAATTCTTACCTATTAACTATATCAACATAGAAAACAATTTATGTCAGAATTTAACTATATTTATGCAGTCAGAACTTGATCATTTTATGGGAAAAAATATACCTGAAAAAATAATAAAAAAATAACAAAGAAAACAAATGATCTATTTTCTGAAAATCGTTTTCTTTATTTATCTATAAACAATAATTTTTGTACCTATATATATAAAAGAGGGAAAAAGCAAGGAATGTTTTGTAGGAAAAAAATGAAAAACAAACTTAGATCGAAAAAAACTAGATTATTTTTGCTGTAAACATAGTAAGGGGGTTAATCCTTAACAATAAATTAAAAAAGGTTTAATCAATTAAAGATATATCATTGTTTAAACATAAACTTTAATATTCTTAATATTTAATCTTTAATTTGAAAAGTAGCGGAGCGGTAGTGAGCATACCCCCTCTAGGCTAGAACTTTAGTTCGACGCCTGGAGTGAATGAAATGAACGGAGCTTGATGGTGAAAGGAATAACTAAAATTAATTTACTGTTTATAGTAAAATTAATTGTTATGGATTGAGCCTCTAAGTTGCATATACTAAAAAAGAAAAATTATTATAAAAATTATTAATAAATGAAGATGAAGATATTATTGTTAAATAAAGAATTAAAAAATAATGAATCTAATGAAAAGGATGTTCTCATAGAACATAATATTCATTATATAAAAAAAGAAAAGGAAAAAAGATAAAATTTTAATTATTATAAGAAATCTATCTCATCTTTTATTTAGAGATATTCTTCAACAAATAGTACAATAAATCATTTATACTATATATTATATGAAAACTTGTTAAAACTTATTGTTTTTTATTAGGATAGAGTATGCCTTTTTAGATTATTATATATAAATATATAATAATTTCTCTAATTCAAAAAGTTATATTTTTCTAAATAATTTAACTATTGATTTTATTAAAAATAGAATAATACTTAATAAAATTTAATTTGAATCTTGTAATTATGAAATCTTATAACTTTTTTAAACTCTAGTATAAAATCTCAAATATAAGAGTAGTGTTTAACCCTCTAAAACAACCAAAACACTATATAGGGAAGCATGTTTTTGCATTGTTACTCAAAATATTTATTGTTTTTTTTATGATAGCCTGACCAAGCTGCCACAAAATCGACTGCTGGACCTAGACAAAATCAGTGAAGTTGAACTACAAACGACCTACTATGATGCATTCCTCTCTGAAATCATTGCTGACTAAGACCGAAACGTTGCACTGCAATAGGCCAATAAGTCATTTTCTGAAGAATCTGATATCTGACCGATACAATTATCTCAACACTGATGCAGCATGATTAGGGGTCGCAATCTGACCCGCGGGTCAAAACCGACCCACGGGTTGAGGACGGGTCAACGGGTCAGGTTGATGCTTTTCTGACCCACGGGTCGACCCGTCCAACCCTTGACCCGACCCGTTGACCCGTCGTGACCCGTGTATACACATAATATGTATGAAGTACTTATATTTAAGTAGTCAATCTTCTTGTTGGGAAACATCATTAGTTGTCAATATGTCTGCTATAGAACTATAGCATAAAACGTACTTAATTCTTTTTCTATTGTGGGATTATACTTTATATTCAACAGTATGGGATAAGTAAGCTATAAGCAATATATATGATAGGAGTAAAGAAGTAGCAATAGTGCAATAAGAATATACAAGAGAGGGTGGCAGTAAGAGACGCGATTTAACAAAAGACAGAAAAGGAATTGAGAAAAGAAAATCGAAGGAAGAAGAAAGAAGTGAAAAGAAAAGGGAAAAGGGAAAAGGATAAGGGGCATATAGGGAAGTCGATTTTTAACCACACTTTAACCATTATGCTTTCTTTAAAGCATGTGAGCCCAAGCGATTTCTTTTGTGATGGCACAGAACCCTTTACCTTTAAGAATAATCACTCAAAACGTAGATGTTGCTAGCACTGCTAGGAATTTGCGTGCCATCATCTTAGAGAGCTATATATATATGGAGTTTTGCACTTCCAGCGCTCAAGTTCAGGCTGATTGACACTTCCTTCATCACTACATTGAAATCAGTCTTGACCCGTCAACCCAAGTTTTGACCCGTCGGGTTGAACGGGTCGGGTCGGGTCAGTGTTTTCTTGACCCGTGGGTCAACGGGTCAGACCCTTGACCCGACCCGACCCGTCCAATTGCGACCCCTAAGCATGATTTTGGTTATCTTATTAGTTTTGGTGAGGTCAAGCCTGGAAAAAGCTCCACAACAAAAAAACATTCACTTTACATGGACATTCTTTATCTGGGAATTGCCTCAAAAAGGGCAATTGACAAATGACACTTGGGTGGTTGTCTTGCGTTTATGATTAACGGCTTCCACACCTCCTTCTTCCTTGTCTGTAAGCATCATTAATACTTGTACACAATGACTGAAATTGATGCCATGACCATCGCCTCTTTGTAGAACAATCCATAACAATAGAAGATATAAAAAACTATGATTAATTTTATATAAATATATATGTTTATATAATATAATCAAAAGTTATTAATAAAAAAATATATTTCAAAAATAAGAAAACTCTATTCTTCCTCTCCTCCTTCCAGTTCTTATCGAAGACAAGCTCTATGAGCGAAGCTCATCTTTCAATATAATAATATATAAAAAGAATACTACTAGGTATTTTTTTCAATAAACATTAATAATATAAATAGGATAGAAAAGCTTTGATACTCTATACTTTTAGGATCTGTCTTCAACAGAGACTGGAAGGTAGAGAAGGAGAGAGAAGTTTTTCTCTATGTAAAAAATAATAAATACTGTAAATACTTTAAAACTTAATATAATGAATTAAAGAAATATAAAAGGAATAGGATGATAAAAAAAGGAAAAAAACCTACCCTTAAACGTTTTTGATATTATTTTGTAAACTTTAACTTTATTACATATTAAAATAATTATAGAAAAACTATTAAAAAATACAATTCTTAAAATTAAGAACTTTTAATTCTTGAAAAATTAAATATATTAGAAATTACTAAATAATTTGATAAAGAATAATTGGTTTTAAAATATAGATTCTTTCATTTAAATTTGTTGTTAGAAGTATCTTCATATATCCATTCCAAATTTTTTATTAGTTGATAAATTACTAACTATTATTTATTTAAAACAATTATGATTCATCTTCCCATTCTTCTGAAATAAAAAAAATAAAATAAAGTTTATTTATATTAATCATAATATTTTTGATTTGAATCTTAACAACTAATTTCTAATCTATACTTTTTGTAGTACTTTTATTTCTATCTAATATTATCACTTTTATTGTATCTGAGCTTTAAATTTAAATAAACTATTTGTTAATAATAATTCATTGAATATAACTTACAGAAATATTAAAAATAAATGTGAAACAATAAATCACAATAAAAACATTTGTATATTATATTAAAAAAATAAAAACCATTTATTTATGTATTATTATTTAAAAAGATTAAAGCATTCATATATTATACCAAAAAGAATGAAATGGGACTATAATATATGTTCTATTCTATAATACTATAAATATTGTTCATTCTTCTTCCCTGTCAGAGCTTCACTCATTTGCCTCCCTCAAAAACCTTAATATGCTGTCCAAAGTTGGTCATTGCTTTTGGAACCATTGCAATGTTACTGACGCTACTCCTAATTTTAACTCGACTGGTAATGAAGACAGTTTTGTAGTTCCCATCTCCGATCTTATGCTATCATTGACAAGTCTTACAACAAAGCCCATGGAATGTCATCACAATATTAATATCCCTTTCGTCCCTATCCCCTTTGTAATATCCTCGATCCCTTTGTTCTTCCCTAAAACCCATTCCATATGAAGTAAAAAAACATTTTCAAGCAGACAAATTTCATCATCCACTTCTGCATCAATCGTCTTTGTGAATAAAGGAATCCATATTTTGAGTTGAGAAATAAGTGTTGTCCTGATCTAATACAGCACGAATCTTCTTTTCCTTTTTATTGCACGAGCGTTATTCCTTTTCTGTCCAAAGTTTGATCTTAAATCCTAATAAGCATGAAGGCTGCAATAATAATTTGTGAAATTAGTGTATATATTCCTGTGTTTAAAGTTTCAGTTCATCAGTAAGTCATCGTCATAGAAACAACACTCAGTCGTTACGGATTTGAATGGTGCAAAGTACAGCAAGCACACCAATAGTATCAAAACATTGATGATGCCGAGCATGATAGCATACAGTATTGTCTGTCATTACTTAGGATATGAGTTGGTCCTGCTTTTAGCATTATAAGCACACAGGACGATCATTTCAAAATGTATTAGTACCATTCAATATCTTCCTCTTCTCCTTATCGTGGATGTCGCTCAACTCTAAAATAATAATATACTGCAAGGAAGATACCATATAATTTTGACCTCGCTTCTGCTTTGATGTGGAAAATATCATAAAAAGAAATCATACGTTGAAGAATAAGAAGGTAGCTGCTGTAATTACTTTTGCGACAAAGCTCAGCAAACTGGTTACTGCCATGGCAACCATGGTCTAAGTTCACCATTTTAGCGGTCTGCTGGCTTTTCTAGGCAAGCAACTGCCTTTACAGCTAATGCTAACCACAGCAACAACTTTAATTTCCTTAGTTATCGACATTGAAACTAGTGTTTTCATAGCAACAATATTTCAAGCTTCTTTTCTCTTGAGAAACCATTCGTATAGTCTCTTTCCAGCACATTGTTTCTTTATCGTGTAGCTGTACTTTCCAAAACCACCATTCCAACTATTCGTTTCTACATACACAGGCTCAACCATCATGCATATTAAGAGTGAAAACATAAACTTTGTTTTAACTACAAAAGAATTATTGGATAGAATAGTCCATTTTGTCGTCGGCACCAGGTATCTTGTGATCAGCAGGATTTGCATTGGCTTCGTAGACTATTAAATTATAAAAAAGTTCGCGTTAGCAATACTCATGAGCAGTGATAGTATTTTCCATTACCTGTAATAATTGGATCTCGCTTGATCTGTAAGGTCAAATACATTACGTGCGTCTATGAGTAATCTAACCCCTTCTAATATGTATCATCCTTAAGGTAGCCATTTTTTACCTCTGTCCATTCGCCCTTAAAACCCACAAAGTGAATAATACTCGTGTCGGCACCAAAGTTTTCAGGAAAGTACAATGTGATATTTCGAATGTTTGTGAACTTTGTAATTCTATGTCGATTGAATATGTAGATGAGTATACTATGATTAAATCTCATCCTCTTTCCATGTCTTACTATCTCACCTTGTAGCATACTCCACTACATCATCGGATCCTTCCACTAGTTCCCACGTTTGCACTGGAGTATAGCTTTCAGCGGCATCGAAATCAACATCATCCCTGTTGATAAATCTATTTGTACGTGATAAAAAAATTAGAGTTTAATCAGCTAATAGAAAAGAAGCTTTTTCTTACCAACACTGCAATTATCTTAAAGGAAAAAAAACTTACACTTTCATAGTAGAAGGCGCGGTATCACCACGTGCTGTTCGTAAGCAGATGGAACGAAGTTTGACACTGCCAGTGAATCTACATAAATCCGCGCATAATTTAAATATTTATTAGTTGGCTGCCTTCTTGACCCAAACTTGTTCCTGGTATACGCAATGAAAAGAGTAAAAGCCATTGCTCTTTTGCAGGCAACCACTGAACATATTATTTATACACTCACGGAACAAACAAGATCAACTGCTCGTCTGCATCGCTTTCAACAAACTAAAAAAATCCAATAAAACAATTAAGAGAGCGATCTCACAACTACATATATTCTTGAAAAAACCATATGCACAAAGCATATATGTTTATGCTAATTTATATAGTGTACCTTTTCGTTGTCAAATCGTTCGTTCCAGGGCTTAATGACCGATTTACCGCTGTCAGGTTCTGCTTCATTGAGACAACGGACATTGTCTCGATCAATTCGTGAATAAAGTAGGAACTGATCGCCTGCTCCAGGCAGATCATCGTGATCGTGTTCGCAGTGTTCGCCGTGACAACGGTGACTCATATCTTTTTTTATTAAAGGTATGCAGCAAAAGAAGAATACAGTTATAGTAAAAGAAAGAAATGGAAACCTTGACTGGATTCTGACTTTTTAGGGTCACTGCCCGATATAACTTGTTCATGCACCAATTTACTGAACTCTTTTTCCTGGTCCATGCGTTAAAATAGACGTGTTTTTATTCTCTTGTATGGTGACCCATATGAAAGCCATTGCTACAACAAAATTGTAGTCAACTGGAGAGTTATGGTGATGCTACTATTACTGCTAAAGTTATGACCTGGTGCTCTTTTGACTTGATCGCTAATTAAAGTAGAGCTGCAATACTCTCAGACATCTTTTCGATCTGCATATGATAGAACTTACTAGATTAATAGAATATAATTTTGAGATAAGATAACTTTGCTCATTCGAAGCTACGCATAACTCATCAAGTACAAGAGCGTGAACACTAAGTCGTTTATGCTTTGACGCTTAGCAAGGAGATGATTGACCACATCTTTCCGACCAAGCCGAACGCTACGCCCAGTTCAATGTATATACTTCTCGTATTCGTTTAAACTATCGAAGTTATAACGACGCTCTATACAATAAGAAAACGAAGAGTTGCAAATATAATATTCACTTACCTGATGGCGATGAAAACCTGTTGCACATCAATGCCTTGAGCAAGCAAATCAGTTAAAATTGGTAGCCGCGAGTTGGCAGCTCAAAAATCTTGCATGATTTCATTTCGTTCGGATTGCTGCATATTTTACCATGCATGGCCGAGGCTGCGAGTTCGGCTGCGGGAGTTTATCCGGCACGCAATCCACCTTTTGGGCGTCTAAATTTCATACAGGTCATAAAAATGTGCAAATTTTCGATTCTTCCTTGTTACATTCTATGAAAATCTGGCCAATGCCTTCCGGCGCCAGCTCGTCCTTTTTCACCAGAATGCGCGTCATCATTTCGTGCACTTTGGATGGCATGGTCGCAAAAAAGAGCCGCTTGCGGGACTTGCAAGAGGATGCTGCGGATTTGCTAGTTGAAGCCACGTGAGAGTAAAGTGCCTGCTTTCTTCTTGAGCCACGCAAGCGATGTAAATGTTACGTAAGATTTGGCGTGCTAGCAATTCGGCGACGTAGCCAGGTGTACCGAAGGCAGCATGGCATGAGTCAGACCAACGCGGCAAAGGGAGAAGAGACGCCTTTGGTCCGCCGCCACCTTGTTGGAAACAGGTACTACTATTACCGCCAATGCACAGCTTTTAACATTAACCACATAGCCTTTTTAAGATACGACAAGCTGTCAAAGATCTGCGGCGAGTAACAGCCGTAACCCCGTAACGAGTCGAACAGTGATGCAAGTATGATGAATAGCGCGTAGTCGTCACCTGTGCGTTACAATGACGTGCTATGACCGAGTATATACAGCCTCATTCAGCCCACTACAGATACTAATGTGTACTAAAGACCGTGGTAAAATGTCTGTCCTGCTTTAGCTATTCCTGATAGGGTTTACCAAAAACTTTATCACACAGCCTGCTATATATCTCTCGGACTATTCTCGGGAATATTCGTTTTATTTCTTTCCTCGAGAGATAGATAATCCAGGAACGACCTCGCTTTTCCTCCAACTTTAACTTTTCTCTATCTTTGCTTTACGTCATGCCATTCAGAGTCGTCGCTACCAGAATTTTACCTCCACAAACCCAGGCTCGTCTTGAAGATCAAAACTATGACTTGGTACAGTGGAAAGAAGATACCGTGATGCCACGCGACGAATTACTAAAGCAAGTCAAAGGTATTGGATCACGTCATTCACATGCGTTACATTTGCTATCTTAACACGATCCTCCTGAATCCCCTTTGCTCACAATTTCTCCTTCTTCAATTCTTTACAATAGGCGCTGATGCACTTATTTGCTTATTGACGGATCGTATCGATAACGAGCTTTTAGACGCGGCAGGTACAGAAAGAAAGAAAGCAGAGGAGATTGGAGGCGAAGAAAATAGTTCAGCTACTGGATTACGAAGTCTGGCTTACGTAATACTCAATCATAGGCCCGCAATTAAAGGTTGTTGCTACAATGAGTGTCGGCTTTGACCATGTGGATGTGGCTGCACTTCGCGAACGTAACATTCCTCTCGGTTACACTCCGGATGTATTGACGGATGCGACGGCCGATCTGACTGTCTTGTTGACCTTGGCTGCTGCACGTCGCATGAAGGAAGGCATGAGCGCTGCTGCTAACGGAGAGGTAAAAAAAAGTATGATCAGAAAGGTGGCAAAAGGTAGATATCAACAGAATTCTATTAGTGGGGAGCATGGCGACCTACTTGGTTGTGTGGATCACAGTTTACGGGCAAGACACTCGGAGTTATCGGCATGGGACGTATTGGAGAAGCTGTTGCACATCGCCTTAAACCTTTTGGCGTGTCTCGCATTCTGTATTGGGGCCGTCGTGAAAAGCCAGAGTTGCAAGGACGCTTGCCTGGCGCCGAGTTCAAGGCATCGTTGGATGATGTGCTTGCCGAGGCGGATTATGTTGTCGTGTGCTGTGCTTTGACCCCTGAGACCAAGGAGATGTTCAACTATGATGCCTTAAAGAAAATGAAAAAGTCTGCTGTAAGTGACTTTTGGTTTACATTGCTACTGTCACCAGTCTCTAACAACACAACCCACATGTACTACTTGTCTCGTAAACTACATTAGGTTTTTGTAAACACTGCGCGTGGTGGCATTGTCCAGCAAGATGATCTGAGTAAGTCTGGTTGATACAACAAATATCAGTTGAAAAGTCTAATCCTCGAAACTATACATGCAATCCTCCCGTCCAGCGCGTGCTTTGGAAGAAAACTTGATCGCTTCCGCCGGTCTGGACGTAACAACGCCAGAACCACTTTCACCAGATCACAAACTCTACAAGTTGCCCAATTGTGTGATTGTACCACATATTGGTAAGTCTCAGAGGATAGAGTGTAGCTTTTTATTTCTTTTGGAGAAAGATATTACATCGGCTGCTAAATTTGTTAACAATGCCCTTTCTAGCGAGTGCGACGTTTGAAACACGCGAACGTATGGCCGCAATGTGTGTTGAGAATGTTTATGCAGCCTTGAACAACCAGAATATGCCATACAAATTGTAAAATAGCATACGCATTGTTCAATATCTTTTTCTTTGTTGTCAATCAATTGTATAAAGTACAAAGTTATTATAAGAGGATTTATATAAAAAAAAAGTAGGGTAACCGACCATGAAACGAGCGGATAAACGGGGGGATTTTGTCGAATTCGTTGGTGAGGAAAGAAGTCCGTATGTATGGGTTATGTATATACGATGCAATGTAAAATAGACAAGAGAAAGGGTGCCTTCATTGTTCTTGTTGTTGCGGTTGTCGAGTGTTTATATAGAAGTGACACAGCTTCCAAAAACGCGGCGAATAAGTTCACGACCATAGGGAATGTAGCTTGCGCTAAGGAGAAACGCGTAAGACATACTCTCTTTAGCATCCAATTTTCCCGCACAACCAGCTGTATTGAAGCCATAATTTCGTATCGCTTATACTTACGCATACCACACCAAGGCGCAGAACTGGACAATGACCAGTACGATGGAAAGAGGAAAGTTCTTGAGCTAAAAAAGACGTTGGTCCCACAATGAGCCCAATTATCTCCATGGGAACAACGAATGTAACGCGTCACTTACCCAGATAGAGAGCGCCAATGTCAACGCAAGTAGAACCAGATAAATTGTTGTTGCCCAGAACCGAACTATATATTTCATAGAATCGATTACAACAGTCTCCTATGCTTATACTTTATCCTCCCTCCTTTAGATACGTTACCTGGTGCAAACATGGTCTTGAGCAGTTTGGGGATACCGACAATGAACGTCAAACTATTCAAAAAAGTCACATGTCTCTTGAGCAACCGAAAAACAAACCTTGATCTCATCCATCTCGCTGTCTCACGTAAGTTACTTTACCTCAATAATGATACGATGTTACCAATACTGTATAGAATGGCAAATCCCGGTATATTTGCGGTCAACAAGAACAAGGTGGACTAGATATCCCCATAGTGTTGAGTCAACGTGAGTTAAGGTACACTTCTCGACGGACACACATGCCTTCTTGTTTTTTTCTCCGGTATCCAACTCCATCGCCAAGCAATCAATAACCTACCAAAATCGATATCACCATACCGACGACAAAACTACACATGTATCGACGTTAACTTCAACAGCCCAGAATTCTCCTCATGTCTGTCCTATTGCGCTAGCCTTTCCACATACCAGCAACCAAAAGCATAAAGTCGCTGCATTCTGTCGAGACCACAGAATTGCCAAGTACCTAGTTTATGTTTTTGTTCCCGTTATGCATGAGGTTTACCCTTTTCTTTGCCCGACAAAACAAAATGACCAACGACACAAAGAACTCTATGGAGCCTTACCATCGTCCATGGTTCCTTGATCGCTGTAAACCGACGAGAAGAATCCAAATGCCATGATTTACAAATTAAAGTTGTGATATATGTGAGTAAGAGAAAGAGAAAGAGACAAAAAAAAGTGTTCCGCAAGTCCGTGCAACGGTTATTTTGTGCTCAACAAACGCGCGAAAGCGTGGGGGGAAAGAAAGCGAGCGGGACGGACGACCGGAGTTGGGCTTTTGTTTATCCTCTTTTTTTCTCTCTTTACAACTTTCTTTTTGTTTCTCTAATCCAAAAAGAACAATAACAAGCAGAGAGTATAATGTTACGCTCGTATTACTCCACGTCGTCTAAAAGCTGGATACAACGACAAGCACGCGATCCATACGTCAAAGCTGCCAAAGCAAATCAGTATAGAGCTCGTAGCGCGTTTAAACTGATACAACTTGATCAAAAATACAAACTGCTACGAAAGGGCTACACAGTGATCGATTGTGGCGCGGCGCCCGGTGGATGGACTCAATATGCAGCAGAAAAGGTGAAAAAGGACGGATGTGTCATTGGCATTGACCTGCTACCCATGGATCCTGTACCGAACGCACACATCATTAAAGGCGATTTCATGCGACCGGTTGTACGAAGAAAGATTTTAGAGTTAATCGAGGAGCGGCCAGTGGATCTGGTATGCTCCGATATGGCACCAAGCTTTTCTGGAAATCATATGGCGGATCATGCTCGTTCTATTGTAAGTGTCTAATATGGCTCATGTATTACAGAAGAATACTAAGACACAGTTGTGCATAGGAATTATGTGAGGCCGTGCTGGCATTCGCACAAACCGTGTTGGCTCCCAATGGCTCTTTTGTTGCCAAGGTAAATATATTGACATCCTTTTCATTTGTTCTGCTTCTTTTACTTACTGTGCTTTATGTAGGTTCTAATGGGGGGCGATTGGGTCGAGTTTCGTCAAAAGTTGCGATCCCAATTTACCAAAGTCAAGCAAGAAAAACCCCATGCAAGTAGAAAACAAAGTACAGAGATATTTCTAGTAGCAACCGGATTTAAGATAGATCAAGATAATAGTAGTAGTAGTAGTACATAGTAGTTTATGGAACGAAAAGAGGTCCATTAAAACAAAGGATATTGGATAGTGTGGTCTATCACTACTGCTGTGGTACAGTATAGATTCTTTTATTATTGTCTCATAAATATATATACCGAATTATTATTTAGTGCTGTCCATCCACAGGTGCCACCTTGTTATGTTTTTTAAACCATCGTCGAAGTTTGGCTGCATGATAGGGTCGACTGATATGTTGCATCAGGGGTGACGAGAATAGACTGCTGGATGTTGGTAAAGGAGATGACCCTGAATTCGCCACGGGCGGTGTTCGTCCATCCTGATCTTCTTGTCGCTGCTGTTGTTGTATCATCCTTGGATAAGGGTGTCCTTGTTGCTGATGTTGCTGTTGTGGCAGCGGTTGCGGTTGAGAATGGTGATTATTGTTGTGCTGTTGTTGGCAGGTGTTGTTACTTTGACAATGGTGATTATGATAACGGTTATGGTGCTGGTGAGGACGAAGCGGTGCACTAGTGTCGTCTATCATGCGTGGTGGAACCCATGCGTCAGCTTTACATAGTGTTGCACTCTCTTGTGGTAGAGAATAATGCGTGGTCGGATGCACGTCGTTTAAACAAGTCGAAGAGGTCTTTAACAATGGATGTTGAGCCAATGTCGTAGATCCTGCATTGCTTGAACCTGCATGACTTGATGCTATCCCGGCAGTTTTGTTGCTCAGTAACGTAGCTGACGATCCATGATAATGACTATGGCGTTGAATGGGTGAAGATGACATCAAGCTGCTATATCGACGAGTAGCAGTAGCGGAAGCCGAAGAATTATAACTGTTGTTGTTATTAGAGTTATTGCGCATTGAATGCAAAAGCTGACGCATGGCATAGTGTCCAATTGTTCGAACGTAGGATTGTGCATCGGGATCCATGGCAGGCAGGCACCGCATAAGCGTGCACCAGTGGGTATATGCAGCTTGCAATGGATCTTCGTTAGCGTAATTTATAAAGTTGCTAGTGTTGCTACGATTTGACAGTATGCCGTTGCTCGTAGTAGATGTAACGGTGTACGGGGAAAACCAAGGTATTCCAGGTGCTGCCTCAACGGTAATCGTTTCTTCGTTTAACGACTCCGGTGGTGTTGGGCTACATGAGCAGCAGCAATGATTGTTATTATTATGACTGTTATGGGCTAACGACGATGACGAGGAAGACTGCAGATGCTCGTTTTGTTGGATTAATTTTTCGTATGCTTGCGTTACATCAGCAGCTAAAGGATTGATAATAATGCGTTTGCTATTGTCTGTCGGTGCTCGCTGGTGTTGTTGTCGTTGTTGTTGTCCCACGCTGTTACTGCTGCTGCTGCTGCTGGTTGGTAATTTCTTTTCAGACTTGATAGTTTCAAGTTTCGCCAATTGGGTAGTAAGTCGGCCGATCAAGTCGGTCAACTCGTGTACCGAAGCAGTATCTCCATTATTACTTTTGGTGTTCTTGCTATTGTTCTTTTTCTTGTGAACATCGGTCGCTGTCGTCTTCAGCTGTGGTTCGGGAAAGGCAAAAGATGAAAGCATGTTGAGTGAGTGATATAATTATAAAAGAAGGAGAGAAAGATAGTGGGAAAGTGTGTGGCTAGGTAGAATGTGATTGAATCAATGAAAACAGTGGGACAGGGATTGAGGCGAGGGACGACGGAGGTAGATGCTGGAGGAGGGAAGAGAGGGGGGAAAAGAAGCAAAATAAAAACGAGACAGGAACAAGAAATAAAGAGAGAGAGAGAGACAAGAAAATTAAAAAGACATTCCATAGACTTTATAATATGGATTTCAATAGCACCAGTCGAGGATGCAATGGTGTGAGGGAACTTCGCTTTAAAGAGTGCTTGTACTACGTCTTTATTGGTATATAGTGCTGTAAGAAGTACTCATGATTGCAATGCATTTCATTTTTTGGTATTCACTCTACGTTTCTTGTTGGGGCCTTGCACGTTTTCATTGATCGCCTGCAATGGCTTTCTCAACGTTTGTTCACCGTGATGACGACTGCTGCCTTGCTGTCGCGAAGAAGAAGAAGAATAAGGCGGGTGGTCTTGACTGCTTGTTGTTCCAAGAGTTGGATTGTTTGATGAGCGACGGCAAGTGTCTCTTTTTGTTTTTGTGCCTGTATTCTGATCTGAAATCTGTTTGCCGGTGCTGCCACTGGTATGAGCCTTTTTACTGCTGTTGTTGCTGCTGCTAGTGACTGTAGCAGTATTATGATTATCAGCTGCGCGGACCGATACTTTTGTCCGCTTAAGCATTCTTGGCGTATCATCAACACGCGTGGGTGGTGAATGTTGTTGTAGTAATTGATGTGACTCTTCGGTGTCAAACCTTGCTGAAATGACAGAGGAGGACTGCATCACAATATCCTCGTCATCATCGGTATCATACTTGATATGTCCCTGATCATCCTTTTTCAGGGTAAACATGCGTTGCTGCTGCTCGGGCTCAAAAGCAGATGATGACGGTATCAAATCCATCTCTTGTTTGACCATTGTGCTACTTGGAGCAACATAACTCTGTTGTTGCTCCTCTTGTTGTTGTTGCCCATGACTGGTGCCAACCAGCTCTGTGTTCTGGTGAATTTGCTCCACATAATCGTACAATTGATCACGTTCGGCTCGTAGTTTTTCCAGCTTTTGTTTGTTCCATTCTTTCTCCTCCTTCCAATGTGCCTGTGATATGTATGTATGTAGGAGTGTGTCGTCATTCCATCATATAAAATATCGAGAAGCCAAGGGTTTAGTTACTAAGCAAACGATTTGATTGCTGTCCTCCTGCTGACAGTGGTGCAAAACTATCGTATGATGGGTGACACACCCTCACATACCTCAGTTGTCGCTAATTTCTCTATGTACTTTGGTATTTCCCGATCAAATAATGAGACCTTTGCCTAACACATACAAATACAAACCCAATTCACTTTGGTATCAGACATTCATACGTATTGTAGGTGGCTTTAAAATATTACTCGTAGGGAGGTTATATAGTACTTCAAGTAAATAAACAAACCTTAAGCGCATTCATTTCGCTGCTGAGTGTACGCGATTTCTCATCATACTCTTGTAACTAAGACAGCAGTAATTTGTTGTTAAGTTGGATGTGTATCATCGATGCTGTTCAGGGTAGCAGTCGATTTTACCTTTTTCTGCATTTGTTGCTTTTCCAGGGACCATTCTTTGTATTTTTCGGCAGCTTCTTTAGATGCTCTGTCCAACTGTATCTAAAGCACCATATGCGTATAGCCGAATTCCCACTTTGCGAGTCAGTCAAGTTATTCTTTTTATGCGAATAAAAAGAGTTAAAAGTCAGGCATGACGAGAAAAAAAAAGCTCACCCTGAGTTTCCGATTGTCGTTCTGATATTGCCGGTCCGCTTTCTCGTGCTTTTGGATCGTTTCAGTAAGAACTTTGTTCATCTCGTTGCATAGTTGTTGAGCGTCATCTTGGCCTTCAGGAAGATCATAGCAAGCACTTTCTCGGCTATGCGGTGGTTGGATCGTTGGTTCGTAACAATAAGAATTGTCACCGAATTGTACTATTTTCGGAGCATTCTTTGCTTCCTGCTGATTGTCGTCATCTGCCAAGGAAGCCTAGATACAAAAATTGCTCATCAACACCGTTCATCCTATACTAACTAAAAACCAAAAAAATATATCTGACAACAATAACCTATACTACGTATTATAGTTACATTAAAACCCAAAACACCCACCTTATGGTTCTTGTAGTTCGGCTCTGCTTTGGCTATTGGTCTCCTTGTAGTCGACTCGTAACCCAGCACAGAATTCACTGTATGTCGCTGTTTCACTATAGCAGTAGGTAGCAGTAAAATACATAAATTACACGCATGTGACGAGCCTTCTATTATCTTATATTCGTGCTGTGTCAATTATCATCTGGCATTACCTAGCTCAACTCGCAATAGTCGTAGCTCTTCTTGCTGTAATACCGCTTCGTACGCTGCCTTGGATGCAATGTATTTGCTCCGTGCTGTATCCAGCAGGGTGTCTGGAGAAGGAGTCGGAGGGTGATGATGTTTACGCTGAGCAGGAGGAGGGATTGCGACAGAAGGCCGCGGAGCCACTAAGTATTCATCATCTTTTTCAGCCGCGGATGTGTCATGAGGGATGGTGCTGTTTGTTACAGTATGCAGGTCGCTGATCTAAGGAAGTTATAACGAGGGTCAAGACGGTCAATGCATGTGAGCTCGGGAATATAACTTTAAGAAGTTCAATAACAAGAGGTGAGAGAGAAGTAGAAGAACTTACCTGATCAAAATGTAGGTAGACTTTGGGCACATCTCCTGCATCCACCTTCTTTTCTTTTGTTTTCTCCTTATCTTTGTTGCCTTGGTCTTTTGCTTTTTCCTGTTGATCTTCTTGCTCAGGACTGTGAAGACGATGGAGGAGTAGCTTTTGTTGTAGTGTGGAGCACTCGAACATCAGTTTTTCTATTCGTTGCTTATGTAGCTTCGTTTGCTCCGTGATGCGGCTCAGCTCCTCTTCTTGTAACTTTAGATTCTCCTTGCACTTGCTATGCTCCCTCTACAGCGACATAGGGTCATGCTTTAACTAAGATCATTTGCTCATCTTGTGGAACTTTCCTTTTCTTTTTCTGGGTGGATGGACCTACTCCGTCTTCTTCCAGCATCAAGTGCTTTCATGATTACCTTCTCTGTTTCATTTTGTCGAATGGCATCAATTAAGCATGTACGGTAATATTCAACTCGAACATCAGGTTTGTTGTGAGCTACACAGCATTGGATCGTCTGGAGAAACTGAGCAAACCGCAAAGCATGCAGCGTTTCTTCCATATTGTGATACAGCGATTCCTATATAAAACATCCACCAACGCATACACATACATTACATGCATCGTTAATGGATATACTTTGCCTTGTCACAGTATAGTTAAGCAGTCTGTTAGGATAGCTTACATACGTTCAGGTGCATAACAACTACCGTTCTTCCCAAACCAACCAGATACTCTGTGAGAAGCTTTGTAAGGACACAAGAATTAAGGTCAAGCGAAAAGGGTTTGGAGAATTCGTTCGTGTTGACGGCCTGAACAAGGACCTCTAAAAGTTTTGATGATATATGTACGTTAATGAGCTATGAGTGTATGTGTGAATATGTATGTGTAAATGGTAAGGAGAGAAAAGAGAGAGAAAAGAAGAAGGTAGCATCGTCAGCTGTTGCCGTTGCTGCTGCTGCTGCTGCACATGAAAATGATAAAAAGGCAACAACGCTTAAACAAACAAACAAGTGGTTGTGATACGTAGGATTTCTTACTTCGTAATTGGGTAAATGAATAGTAAATACTGCAGGCCGGTGTCATGATCACGGGTTTCTGAAACTCTGGCTGTAAAAGATCGGCAATCACCAAATTTCCAAGGAATTTGACATCGTCGGTCAAGCGTAGCTGGATGATAAACGGTACGCTTGAGCCTAATTTCACCTTGTCCCAGATTCGGTTCGCATGTGGTATGCGTTTCATAAAGGGTTCTAACCCCTTTTCCAGCAACTCGGCATCTTTTATACACAGAACAAAAGAGTAGTTAGCAAATAACACCAGCTTCTCGTCTTCTTTAGACGAAAACGGAAAGCTTTTCTTACTGTCAATGCGTTTTCCCACTCGCAGATCATAACAGCAGTTGTCTACCACGCCTATGTACCTGTTAATTTTAACTCGTTGGTTAGTATTTAAAGAATCTATAACTGAGTTCTATGTATTAGATGCATAGCGAAAAAAAAAAGCAGAAGATTACGTGTAGTCAAGTTCGATCATTGTTTGTCCTTCTTTACGACGCTTGATATTAAGCTTGTCCAACTCGACATCCAGCAATGTGATGACTTGAAAAACAGTGTCTTTACTAAAGCGTGCAAATATTCAGTTGTTTATCAGTCACGGAAAAGATGATAACTAGGCGAGTCTCATCATAAACGGCTATTTTACAATATGACAGAGGCACCAAGTGCATGCCAGAAGTATACAGTTCTAAATTTTGTTACCATAACTTTTTTGACTCGGCGTCTCTGGTGAATAAAAAAGAGAATTGAGCGATTATGATTTTGATCATTTGTATATTTATAACAAGTGAAAGAGATGTGGTTATTACCCAACAGAGAGCATTATATGTGCTGCATTGAAACCTTGTCCAAAATAGATGATTAAATCTCGTGTTTATACGCGTCTCGTAGAGTAAGAAAAGCAAAGCGGGTATCATTATCGGGGAAAGGTGTGGGAGAGAAAGGTAGCATCCGCGCCCGTAGTAGTATTAGTTCTCATGATGGTGGTGGAAGTATAGTGATACGTGAGCTATATCCGTCGTATATACCAGTCAATGCGAGCTGCACAATCTGTTGTGCTTCCGCAGAAGATGCGATTATTCCGTGCTTACGGCTTGACAGGCACTTGCTAAACTTGAACTTTTCACTGAATACAGAAATGATGATAACGTAACCGCGTGAGCTTTCTTTTTAAAGTGATACATGACGTATCAACGACTAGGTATTTTTCTTTCTTACCCTGGAATGAACCCGGCCGGATTTGTTCCAGCTAAAAATTAAAAGTTTGTCGGTAGTGAGTATGTCAGTGCATTGTTGGTGTAAAGGAGTCGAGAATGAACATTGCGACGGGAAGAGGGATCGCGCGAATCTTGTTACCTTCAACGTCATTGACGATCATGTAGTGGCTGTCGTCATTGTCGACGAGATCCAACTTGGGCACCTGGTAAGGCAAATTGACATTTTTGACAGAACGGTGAAGCCAGGTAATAACGTTTAGTGGCGATACATGCATTTTTCTTGGGTAATAAGTGTATAAAGGAATAAAGAGGAACTTAATAGTAAGGTGATGGGCTTCAAACAAAAAATTGCTGTAGCAGGCAGTAAATTGTTGCCAGTTGGCTTTGCTCACTTCACGATGGGCAGACAAAAGAGTGTAGCATACCACTACTATACAGATACTACTGCTTCCGCTTCATATTACAAATGATATGGCAGAAATGCAAATGAAAAGCATATACAACATGACGGGTCTCGTTGTTTTGTTGTTGTGTTACGCGAAAGAAAATGCGTCTTGTAAAGCAGCCTCAAAAACCACTACTGCTGTATCTTATTACATTAAATGTGAAGGAGGATATGATATAGAATGGCTTCGGCGTAAACAGCAAACCTTGCCATCAATAATAAATGTAACTTTGTATATTAACCTGTTTATTTTGTTTTGATGAAAAAAGGAGAGGGGGCGAGGATGGTTGATGTTGTTATGGATGTCTACGATTAAGATGGCGTAAAAACATGACAAAGGATGTTTACAGCATACACATATGATGAAGAAGATGAAAGGGGGGATGGGGGAAGCAAAGAGAGGTTCTGACATGGTAATGTAGCTGTACACACATAGCAGGGCTAGAACAAAACTTCAATTATGATCGCGGGATTAAATGGCCGAGCCGAGATATATGAGCAGCAGAAGAGGAAGCCAAGAAGAGAGGAAAAACACAGACAGAACATGTTTTATAGGAGAACGGGCATAATTTCTATTTTATGAAAGAAGCAGATGGACGCATGTCCGTGGATATTTGCGTGTCAAGATGAGCTGATGCTGTGCGTGGGTGGGTGGGTGGATGGGTCCCTTTTTTACAATAACAGTGAGTTGATTGCTACCCTTTAAAAATAGAAATCGAACTTGGGAAATTGTGCATACCTGTGTGAACGCACGATCCACATACCACCACTGTCATATGTACAGATAGTGTGTGAAACGATGGATGCACTTTGTAGCATAATTAAGTTCATTCGTTGCACACTGGCACCGCTATATAGTGATGCTTGCTGCTTGGATGAGACACTTTTTTTTCTCACGTAACAAAAAAGCAAGCTAATGAAGAAGAAGATAGCATGGACCTGGCGTGTTTGTTTGTGTATCTACCAGTGTCTATTCTATATAATTTGGTGGGACACACGCGGAAGTAGAAAGTGACGCATGGGTTGCTTCAGGGGCTGAATAAAAACAAAAGTTATGAGAAATTTCCGGTTGTGTGGAAGGCATATCGTACGAGAGGAACCCATCACCAGCAAGAAGATGAGCAGGATACACGGTTGTTGGGTGGTGTCACTATCGTTTGCCGATCCTCTTTGCTTCATATGCAACGCCTGCTGTAGACAACCTCAACCTACTCCTTATATAAGAAGGACATGATCTTCTTCTTTTTTTTTGTCAACGCAAATCTTCTTTTTTTCAGGTATCAGCAGTAACACCATCGACAACATGCTTTCAAAGTCAAACTTCACCACTCGTTTATTTTCCACTACTGGTGCAGCACCGAATACCGTCGAGCCAGCAAGCTGCAACTGCTCCTGCAGCTGTCACAATACCAACAATGACAACATGAAGAAAGCAACAAGAAACACAAAGAATTCTTTGACGCCACCCCGACGATGGCTCGAGCGTATCTGTGGTCGCCCATCACTTTCTTCAACTTCATCGCCCTCATCATCAACGTCCTCTTCGCATACTTTGTCACCTTCCACTGAAGAACGGAAACAATCTTTACTGCGCGACTATCAACAGCTGCACGCGACTGTTCAAGAAGAGGTAATTGGTGTCTACTGGGCCGATCTTCAGTTTACAGCCAAATACTAATTCAAAATGTCGATAATTTCATAGCTAGCGTATGCTATTGAGTCACAAGGCAGCATATACTATGAAGGCGATCTGATCACTGCAAAACGTGCCCTGGCGGCCTACATTGATTGCTACGAAGAGCTGGTACAGCTTACGCGAGGCCCAGAACTCTTATCACTGCATATTGAATGGGAAGCGTCTCGCAAGGACTTATACGAAAAACTCAAAAAATTGCCAGTGCCATGAATTGGACCAACGAAGCTGTGCTTCCTCCTCTCCCTTCTTGTATATAGTACTATATACGTAAACAGGCAAGATGCTGGTAGTCTTGTCTATATGATTTTTGATTGATTCCCCTCACCGTCATATCATACAGTGTTTATTGCTATCGAGTATTATCCCTACAACTACACAATTTATCATTATCATCATCGTTCATATCATTCTGCCCATTCATTTTTTTCACATATTTTCTCCATGGCTATACCATCATACTGTAATATCCACACTCATTCGTTTGTTTTCTTTTGGATATATACATAATTCTATTTAATTAAAATGAACGCCTTTTTATATGCACGTCTCATTCCTTTTTTAAATTCTATATTGATGTTGATATATTGTTATTGCTGCTGCTAGTAGTATCGTTATGGTTGTGTCTTTGGTCTTTTTCGACTAATGGGATCAAGATAAATAAGCACTTGTTGAATTTCAGGGAACTGTTTTTTGACGGCAGACTGAACCGCTTCTTCAAGCCGGTGTGCTTTCGCCATGGATAAGGATGGATCGACTTGGACGATCAAATCGACATGCTGAAACGGCCCCTGGTTTCTCCCCCGTATGGAGTGGAAATCAATCAAATCACTTTCCTTATCCTAATTCAGCGTTTTAATAAACAAAAAGGATTTTGCCATTTATAACAAGCATGTCCGTTTATAAAGGCAGAATTGGTTTGGAACTCCCACTCCTGCTTTATCCTGTGACTGACCTTGACCTGATTCACCACTTTGGTTATAGCATCAACATTATCCTTGTCAATGCCTTTATCCATCAACTCTTTCAGTGAAGATGAAAGAATATCACTGCCTTGTATCAGTACAATGCCTGAAACTAGAATCCCTCCCAACGGATCAAGTACAGGAATGCCGGCGTAACTGCCTAGAATAGCAACCAGCGCCACGGCACTGGAATAAGCGTCCGATCGATGATGCCTATCGTAACGACACAAAAAATTGTCAAACACAACTTTTCCTTCTCTTGCTGATTAAGCCAGCTTTTTCTATTGTGGTCTGCCTTTACAACACATACCATGCATTAGCGATCAACACTTCGCTTCTTTCCGAGTTTCCGACCTTGATAGCTGCAAAATATACAACATCATATGTGCTCAATAAACAATCGATCATACAGCACCTATTGGGCGAAACCACACAGATGTTGATCAGGTACACATTTCAATGACACTTACTCGCTCTATAAAGCCATTCCTTTGCAATGACACTTATTCCTGCAAACCACGCAGCGTTTGGGTCCAAGATATCGCCACCATGATGATGACCGTGACCAACCTTGGCTGTGGTAGCTGCTGTGGTGGCTGCAGCATCTGTCGTAGCAGCCGCAGCATCATGTAGCAAACCAGGCGAAGCGTTGATAATGGACATTAACAGTTCGAATGAATGAAAGCCGATACCGACACCCCCAGCAATCAGAAACGAGGCCACAGTAACGGATCCCATTGTCTCGTACTTGCCTATAATTTGCGTGTATACACGTTAGCTCCTCCTTCCCGACAATAGGAAAACCGACATACCGTAACCATAAGGGTAAATAGCATCTGGGGGTTTTCGCGACATTTTAAATGTATAAAGTGTAACGAAATCGCTCAACAAGTCTTACAAGTAAATCAATATAGCATGTCAGTGTATCCATATACGCTACATGGGCTTCTATCAAGGATGGAAAAAGTAGTTATGATGCTTACCACTTCCACAATGCACCGCATCGGCAAGTAATGAAGCCGAATTCATAACCCTATCATGCAAGACCTTATCAGATCTTTTTGTCCTTGCTTGCCCGCAACTCCCCGCACACGCATTATGCTTTTTCTTTCTGTCTTTGCTCCCTTTCTTACCATCCTGCAATACCCTTAGACACAGTAAGCCCAACATTGGCCAACAATCCTATCAATGTGATCCGCATGCCTCGTTTGCCTATTGAAACATGGCTCTCATGTCAATTAAGGCTTGTGTGTGTAGACAAGGTGCAACAAACAACAACAATAGTAAACCGCGCATGTTATATATATATATAATTTTCAAACTATCTACTTGCTTGATTTTTGTAAGGTAGTTATCAAGTCGGCGTGTACATGGTGATCACTCCCGTCGCCAAGGTGGTGATGGTGATGGCTGCCATGGAAACGCACTTGTGTTGAAGCAGCAGGCATTGGGCTCCGAAGGGCATTGCAACTAATCGGTAAGTTCTTTGTAATGGACCATGTCGGTGTGTAAATGACTCTGTGTGGTGGATAGAAACTACTGTGCAAGCAAGCGCTTGTCACTTTACTACTTTGGCCGAGATTCCGTAGTCGTAACATAAACTTTGATTTTAATAAAGAAGGGTACTTAAAAAAAGAAAGGAAAGTGCACGTCGGGGGATCCGGATCGATAACCGCAGACAAGGCATGAATTAATTTATCGAATGTTGTCGGCGCAGCTTTAATGGATCCACCTATTATACCAGTGAAGTAGATTAACCAGGTTTATAACCCATCTGTGTTGACTTGACTTGAGTCCTAGTCCTCAGCTTCCCACTGTTTAACACAGCAAATGCTTATTGTTTGTAAAAAAGTACGCATACTATAAAATTATCAATGATGGTGACTGATCAGCTATGAATAAACTCTATTATCTCTTTCTGTTTCCCTTGTTAACTGTCCCTATGATCAGAAACGGCTCTTGCTCTAAAATTCAACAACAGTTTTCCGTTTTTTCAAAGTTGTGAACGCTGTCCCCTGCCCATGCAGTCTTTGAGCTTCTATCGCTTATTTAACCAAAAGCTGCTACAGACGTACCTCGCAAAACACGAGCAAGTATGTCGACAATGGTCCCGTTTTTGGCGTGTATGTATCACCATGTCATTGCTGAGCACCCTGGAGTATAACCCATCTAAAGATGGCTTTAAGCTTGATTTAAAGCATACAGCAGCTCGCTCTATGTATTCTCAACGTGCCATGACAATATGCTTCTAGTAGCTTTGACGACCTGATTGTTCTTATAGCTGATGGTTTAGTATGACGACGTTGGTAGATCATCCATCCCCGACAAATTTTGCATCGCCTTTTTTTTTCTTCTTCAAGGTCGAAAAGAAACATCACTTGGTGTATTCATTTTTGCTTATCACTCAGCTATACAGAAGGACAGAAGGAAACGAAAACAAAGACATGATGCTATTGACGGACTGCATTGACAAAATTATTGAATGCTGGCGGGATCCGGAGGTTTACAATGCAGCCATAAAGATCTACGCATTGCTCCCACCACTCTTTGCTCCCATTCTCTTTTGGATCGACGCGCCCTATGGTAAAAAATAAAAGACAGCCGTCGTAATGGCTATAGCAGCATAAGAATAACCACAAGATCGAAAGAAGCACTAACAAAGGGATATTATCATAAAAGGTCGATTTGCAGGAAAATTGCTGTTTGACTGGAGTTTTGGCGGCAAATATGCGTGGTGCATTATGGAAGGCGTGTCACCTGTCATGTACACCTTGTCGATGCTGTTAGTGACACCTACCACCACGCCACACGAATGGCAGCCGAGCCAAGTACTACTCTACGGAATGTGGATGACTCACTATATAAACCGTGCATTTATCCACCCTTACCGTGCTCCCTCCATGGCACCCATCCACTCATTTGCTTTTCTTTCAGCCATATTCATCAACGTACTCAACGGTTACACGAACGGTGTTTGGAACGCTGGCCATGCGTTTCCATTGTCCTCCACACACGTCGCTCTAGGTTTTGGATTGTGGATCACCGGTTTCGCCATCAATATCTATCACGATAACATTCTGTTCAACCTGCGACGCGTCAAGAATGCTAACCAGCGGTACTTTATCCCGCGTGGCGGATTGTTCGAATATGTCAGTTGCCCCAATTATTTGGGCGAGACTATCGAGTGGGCTGGACTTGCGATTATCACGGGAGGAAGCTATCCAGCATTAGCATTTCTCGCCACTACCGTGGGTAATCTCTTCCCACGCGCCAACCGTGCCCATGCATGGTATAAAGACCAATTCAAAACAGAATACCCGTCTTCAAGAAAAGCCATTATCCCTTATATTCTTTAGTAGAATGTAAAATGCAGTAGTGTGTGTGTATGTGTTGATGTAGGAAATAAAACCCCCTTCTCCAGGAGGGTTAGCTAATGCCATGACTATTATCTATGGTCGTTTTGACTTGCTGCTGCTGCTGATCGATGACGATGTTGATTTAACGTTACTTCCTGCTTTTGCTGGTGCTTCTGCTGCCGTTTGCTGTTTGTGGATTTTGTAATAGTGGTTCCACATATCCTTGATACTTCGACGATTACCCATCTTGGTTCTGACCTTGTTCATGTCGTGATCGTACTTATTGCACAGTTTATATACTATGTGTTCCTCCTCCTCAGACCAAGCTGATCGATCCGTGTCTGGCGACAGTTTGTATCGATAATGTTGAGAAATGTTGCGTGCGGTACGCTGGCTTCCAATAGCCTCTCTGACCTTTGCAAAGTTTTCGCCGTATTCGCTAACTGCCTTGATGATTGCCTGATCCTCTGCTTCTGTATATCGTCCTATACATACCAAAACAGATCATGCATAAACGTCCTTTAAATATAAGAGACACGTACTCTTTCCCTGTTTTTATCTCCCCACTTTACCTTTCTTCAATCCTCCTGCTTGTTGCCAGCGCCATCGTTCCAGACACTGTCGCTTTGTACGTGTACGCATAGCGTCTGCAACAATATCCCAATTTTCTGTGCCGTACATACTGACAAAGTGCTGTAGCCGGCCAATTTCTTCATCCGTCCAACGACCGCGTCGAATCTTGGGATCGACAGAGTATTTGTACGTGAGACGTAGAATGGGCACCGGACGCATTCGTGGCATTTGCAATCGTACGTTATCCCAGTTGATATCCTCAATTTGATTTTTTCCTTTCGTCAATTCGCGTAAACGATCGAGTTCTTCCTGGGACCAGGGACCATGATATTCCACAGTATCGGTCAAGTATTTGTATTTATTGAATGCGACCGATACGGGACGATTCAACTGGTGAGCAATGCGAGTCCATCTGGGACCCATGGCTTTCACCAGTCGGATAAGCGTGTCCGATTCTTCTTTGGTCCAAACGCGACGAGTACGAGCAACCTGTGCGGTCACGACTGAAGTTTTAGCAGTTTGATCCTTGCATCGGACAGCAGTTTGGTAAAATGTGCGGCGTAAAAGAGACGCAAATTGAAAGGGTTGTGTGGCGCGAAACGTTGATTGCAAATAGTTCATTTAATAGAGCAAGCACTGTCGTTAGTGATAGAATAAAAAAACACGCGCCAAAAAAAAAGGTGAGCGGAGAGTTCACGAGGGGAGGAGGAGCGGAGAGCTGGGGGAATACCAAGGTGTTGTTGTATTGTTTACCACATGATTGTCAAGAAGGTTGTGTGTGGCATTTGACTTTGTGGTGCATGCATGTTTCCTATTTTTTTCGCTCTTTCTTTTCTCTCTCTCCACCCTCTCTTTTCTTTTATAGCTTCTCTTGTTTTTCATGGTGGCCTTGCTGATACAAGACAATAAGCCTGGCGCAGCTACCAAAGGTACCGTATTCATGAAAATACCTTCAACCCCAACAAGGAAACAACAATAGGAAGCCGATACTGAAGCGCACGTCGTCCGTTCTTATCTTTGACATGCCTGTATACAGCAATAACATTCGCAGAAGCAGGTAGGGCAACATGTACGGCAACAGCCGCGGCGACGACGATGGCTGCCACGGTGACGATGACACCGCTGGCTACGACAGAAGCAATATCATCGCCTTTTCTTCGGCTGCCAGACGAGCTACAGGTCAGAATTTTTGGGCAGCTTCCAGCGCAAGAACTTTTAAAAGCGACCGCGGTATGCACAATACAATGAGAAGCGCACAGTTGTACATAAATCAGATCAGTAGAATAAGGCTGATGTGATGATGATATATACAAGGTGTGTCATAAATGGAAACGACTAGCGTTTGATGGGACTCTGTGGACCAGGATTGATGTCTCGCCGTTCTACAGCGCGATACCGTCTGAACAATTGCTTCGATTGGGCGTTGCGGCTGGCAAATTTCTGAGAGTAGCCAATTTCAGGTTTGTTGTTATTCTATCTAGATGGTTTGTGTGTGTGTGTGTGTGTGTGTAAGGCAGCAAGTGCAAACAGGCACTAATATGGGTGAATTCATTATACTCTTTTTGCCCAACCCTCGAAAAAAAAAAATCAACAACACAACTCAAACATAGAGGCTGTGTTCAGCTGACTGGACACGGGTTACGAACGTTAGCAGACCATTGTCCCAACGTCCAGGTGCTGCACCTCAAGGATTGCCGCGGGATATCAACACACAGCATAGCATGTTTTCTGTCCAGTGCAACAGAGCTGCGGGTGCTGGATCTTTCAGGACTAGACACAGTCAAGGATTCGACGCTGATAGTTGTCGGACAACGGCTCAGTCGACTCGAAAAGCTCAACATTGGATGGTGTCGGAACCTGACCGGTCAGGGCGTTCAAGCAGTGGCACGAGGCTGTCCTGAGCTTACCTGCTTAAAGCTGAATGGATGTCCACAGCTGAACGAGGCCACCATGTCCATTCTGGGAAAACATTTGACACGTCTCAGTCACCTCTGTCTGGCTTCATGCACCGGATTAAGCGACAATGCCCTACTGGCTTTCTTGCAACACCAAGTACCCCTGTCTCACCTCAACCTATCCAGCTGTGCACGATTGTCGGATGCCTCGCTTCGTCATATTGCGGTCCAATGCTCACGGCTCACGCACCTCGAATTGGCCGGCTGCGTCCTGCTTACAGATCAGGGCTTTTGCTACCTTGCACCACGGTTGCGCACGTTCATGCATCTTGACCTCGAGGATTTACAGCAGATCACAGGCATCACAGTCAAGTCGATTGCAAACCATCAGCCGAACTTGCGCCGGTTGTGCTTATCCAACTGTACGCAAATTGCCGACGATGCTATTACTCATCTTGTGCTACACGGCGTTTGCCATCAGTTGCAACATTTAGAGCTGGATAATTGTATTGTTACTGACGATATATTGGATACGATCGCCATGTTTCTAACGCAGCCGCCACAGGCACATCAACAGCAAGCATCATCACCTTCTTCATCCTCGTCATCTTCGGCTGCTATCACTACTACGTCACCATTAATAGCAGCACCTCTGTCAGCTGACTCAACGTTCAGCTTTTTCTCATCCTCACCACCTGCCTTTGCTACTGCGACTCCTGCATCGCCCACTGCCGATGATAATGCCGGAGACGATCGGCAACAACGCCGTTGTCGAGATAAACTAGCACCTCGAAAACTCAGCGTTGAGGTTTTGGATTGTTCCAACATTACCGAAAGTGGAGTTCGTTCAGCGTTAGCAAAGGCAAGCCCGATGCTTACTATCAAAAGTTTTTATTCGTGGAGGGATGAAGATGCAGGCCAACAGGAGGAAGAAGAGGACGAGGAGGACGATGTCCTGTCATTGAACTTACGAGATCAGCCCCGGTTGCGACGCAATACTGCAGCCGCGCGCAGACGATACAACACCATTGGCCGTCAACGCCGCCGTCCAGATATAGCTGCTGGTGCTGCGGGACAGCCTCATGCTGCAAACTGTATTATTCTTTAAAAGAAGCAACTCTTATATCAACAGTCTATACACTACAATTACACATACCCCCTTGTCTCCTTTTGCCAACCCCACGGAAGCACTAATATTAACTATTTTCTTACTATATGCTCCCTCTTCTTCTTCGCCAACATGTGTATGTAAACACACCCCGCACACCCCACATAACACCACCTGCATACTACCCTCCCCCTCTTTTGTTCCTTCTCTGCTCCTTGGGTGGCTGCACACTTGTTCATACACAGGGCTGCTCTTATCATATATACTTTTTTCTTCACGGTTTTGTGCGCATATATACAACAAGAGACTCAACCTCATCTATACGGGAAAAACAGGCAGAACCACATCGCAGTCAAAAGGCGTAAAAGAAAACTGAAGAAACATTCTCTCTTCTTTCCGTAAAAGAAAAAGGAAAACAACAAAGTGAAAGATCAAGTACAGAATGAAGGGATACAATGTGGTGGTGGTGGTGAGAGGCATAATTGGTTGTATGTAGTAGGAATGAAGGGAGGCTTCTTTGTTCTTGTTGCTGCTGTTTCTCCGTTTTCCTCAACTCGTCTAATCTCATCAATAACACTATGTGAGCTGCGTAGTTTGAAGTTGTGGTAACTGCATATAAGACGGGGTTACTGTGTCATTGTTGTTGGTTAAAGAAGTATAGAGGGTTAAAAAGAAGACGAAAGATAAGAGAGAAGGAAAAAGCCCCTTCTGTTGTGAACGATCATGCGCGTTTTTGCTGTTTATATGTGTGTTGTTATTGTTGTTGCTGCTGTTGTTGCTGTGGTCTGTGTAGTATATGTCTGTGTCGTCTGACAGAGAGAAAGTGAGAGAGAGAGAGAAAGAGTTTTGTTGAGAGGGTAGTAGTTGTGGGTAAGTTTATTATTGACAGCAAGTTCCAGACGAGGCGCTACTCTTTGCCGGCGTCGCTGGATCAAGTCTGACTTCTTCTCTTTGACGCGTCTGCTGCGCTTGTTGCGTATCAATCAATCGCTTCTTAATGTCCCTGGAAAATAAAAACGAGTTCCATACTCAGCTTCTCTCAATCCTGTAGTAATTGTAGCCACTCCTTCATCGCCACCACTATGATTACAAGAAAAAAAACAATCCCAGAACCAGGGTTGTCTCTGGAACTTTACCTTGCGAGATCAAAGAAAGCTCCTTCAACGCCAATGTTTGCCTTTGCGCTAGTCTCCATGAATCGGATGCCCAGTTCATTGGCCAAGGCCTGACCTTGCTCGGTCGTAATCACCTAGAATTACATTCCCACCCCATGTGAATATACTAGAAATCGACTCCAAGAATAAAAAAGACAAGGACAAGGGGTACGTCTGAGCTGTCGGAAGAAGGGGAAGGAAGGAGGGGGGTAGGTGGGATTTGCTCAGGGTTGACAAGAAGAATGCAAAGATACACAAAATAAAATAAAGGCAACGTTACCCGCTTTTCTTCCATATCACACTTATTGCCAATCAGGATCTTGTTGACACCTTCGCTTGCGTGTTGTTCAATATTCGAGAACCAGTTTCTCACGTCTATTATACATTGTGGAAAATGCGGGGGGTCAGCTTCGACAATAGCGGGTTTTCCAAAGATGGGAGCAAGGGACTAGTGGGTGGGTGGGTGAGGGGAAAACCCGTCCTTTATCTCTTTTTTTGCCAAGGAAAGAGAGGGGGGAGTGGAAAGTGGAACGCACAACAGTGCTGGTGGTAATGAAGGAGGGGAGGGAAGGTCAAGGAAAAGGTCAAGAGTAAACGTAGACTTACTTCCAAACGATCTTTCGTCCGTGACATCGTACACTAAAAGAATACCCATGGCACCACGATAATACGCTTTTTATAGACCACCACCCGCCAAAGCCCAACCGAACAGCATGGTTACGAAAAAATAGTAGATGGCGAGTTAGTTAATTACATAGTTCGGGCATATACACCTGAAATGTGACCATAACAAAGTGGTCCTGTTGCTCACCGGTCGTGATGGTACGGAAACGTTCTTGACCAGCAGTATCCCAGATTTGCAACTTGATGCGCTTGCCGTCCAATTCAATAGTACGAATCTTGAAATCAATGCCAATGGTCGTGATGAAAGATGGTGTGAACGAGTCGTCGGAAAAGCGAAGCAGCAAGCAGCTTTTACCCACACCTAGAATTATACATTACATTTATGTATAACAAAGGACGCGGACGAGGTGCCATATAAATGAGTATTCTGAGTAATTGATAATGGGGGGAAACCATTCACTTGTATGATAAAAGTAAATCCGCCCTTTTTTATCTTATAGAGTTTAAAGACATGCTAGTTACCCGAGTCGCCAATCAACAAAAGTTTGATTAAATAGTCATACGAAGCGCTTTTTGCAGTAGCCATAGTAAGTGTGTAAAGTAGTAAGTGTGAGCTCAAAAGAAGAAAAGCCAAGTTGAGCTACAGCTTCCGCTAGCCAAGCTAAAACGCATCCCGCCTCGCCCGCTCCGCACACCGGGCGGCAGTGATGTCATCGGAGGTCGTTTCTTCGATTATGCCGCTACGCTTTTGTGGGCATTCGCTGAGCCAGACTGGTAAATCCCAGGTTTGTATTATTCGGGTATCATATTTAATTAAGACATTGGGTTGCTATTTACTAAAAACTCTATGTTGACATATACATACTACTATTAAATCCACATATTCAATGTGTGCCAGTAGTATTATTATTACTGTTCAGCTCACGGGTGCTTGTCCACCGGGCTCGACCTTGCTTTGTCCACACGACCAGACCAAGACCGAGAAATATGAGGCCAGCGCAAGCACTGAGAAGTGGGCCATTACCCATCACGCGCTGGAGGTCAGAAGCAACGAGCGCACCGACACCACCCATGCAGAAACGGATCAGATTATTACATGCTAAGTGAATGAATCATATAATAGAGGCATTTTTTTTAGCTCTTGGTTTGTAATAACAAAAGTAGGATAAAGTCCATTCTATTATCCCTTTTTACCTGCAGCAGAAGCGCTGAATCTGGGATAGCACTCGACAAGGTAAACAGTGAGAATGATGGATGGAATAATTAAGCTTGCGAATGCTATGCAAAAACATGATCATATGTTAGTAAACAAGGTTAAGAGGTTGCCGATTTTTCAAAAGTAGAAGCGTGATGATCTTGTTACCAAAAAACAGAGCGACGAGCCCGACAGCGAAATGCACGTTCATGCCTGTGCACCATCCATAAACTACAATACTAACTACAAGGACAGCAACAGAAGCGCCAAAGAGTGGATAATGCAACCGTCTTTCCGGGTATGCTTTGCGTCCTTTCGCAACATCGGATGCATAAAGTTTATCGGAAATCGAACCGGCTATTCCGCTGCCGGCAATGCCACCCAATGCACCTGGCAAATAACAAAGACCGACAATACCAGCACTGAAACCATACTGATTGGTATAAATCCAGGTCATGTTTGTGTTGATTATATAAAATGTCAAGTACCTATAAAATAGGATGCACCAAGCGCCTGTTGTTAGCTACATATGCTTGCGTTCGAGTCAACCCTAAGCAGATGAAGAAGAAGAGCGCCTTACAAGAATCCAGAAAATACAGCGGGCAAAATGACATTTCCGTGTCGAGCTAGTTTAATTGCTGATATGGGATTGACGTGGTGTCTTTTTTTCTTTACAATCGCAGTGGTATTTACAGCCCCATTCGACTTTGCTGGCTGTTCTTCAATTGATTTCTTTTCGGTTGTCAACGTTGTCATGGTTGCTGTCGTCGTTGGTAAATCAAATATCTCGGGTCGTCGGAGTGACTCGGGTAACGCAAACACCATGACAATCCAAATGCAAAAGGCATAAATAGCGACCAATGCAAAGGTACTTCGCCAGCCAAGTCCTTCTGTAAGATAGCCGCCAATGACAGGTCTAATGGTATGTGCATTAGAAGCAATAAAAGGACCATAATGTATACAATGCACCTTTTCAATAGAAAAACTTACGCGATAGCAGGAACGACAAGTGGTGCTGAAACAAACCAGGAATACGCTTTACCGCGCTCACCTGGTCCATATATATCTGACAGAATACCCGTGCCGACAGTTAGGATCTGGTAACCAAAAAAGAGTTGAGCATGCTTTGTGAGCTTATTCGAAACATAAACGGTAATTCTTGGTGATGATTGAAGTTCGACTTACCGAGCAGCTTCCAACAGCACTCATGATTCGAAACACAATGAGCATGGCAATATTTATTGAGAGAGCACAGCAAACGTTGCCTATCACTGCAATAAGTATAGAGATTAGGTAGACGCGACGACGCCCTAATAACAGAAAAGGTGAGATTTAACATATTCTATGTATCTTGTAGAGGGAAATATCTCTATAATAACTGCTTACCGTAGACATCGCTATAAGAGGCCCAAATAATAGGCTACAGTTTTGTTGTTAGGATCGAGTATATTTCTCCTTCAAACTTTCTATATCTGTAATATACATATAAGGTATGTATGGAGTGGGGAAACTTACAACCGAGGCGTTAAAGAAAACAAAGATGGAAGCTACAGAATTGTGCAACAAATTAGGTCAAAAAATATTATTTTTTTTTGCGCCACGATTTCTGTAGTCGTTGATGGGTGTGCAGAGTAGGTAGTAAAACGAGTTATGTATTACGTACTAGTAGCTGCGTTGATAGCTGTTTCTGTGGTTTCGAGGTCTTCTCGCATAGCTGGAAGCGCTGGAAACTGTTAAACGTCAGCTATCACAATAAAAAGCGCCACTGTATAGCATGATGACCGTGGCAGTTATCTCTTGCACTTACCGATATAGTTGTCGATAAGGGTGTCCTGGATATCCATTTATCATTGTATAATTAGAAAGCATGTTTTCAATATGTACTACTACAATTCACAATGACATTTGAATGTCGTGTAGTATAAGTGAAAAAAAAATATCAATCACAAAGAATTGTATTACTTACACAATTGCAGCAAACATCATTTGTATCATAATTAGTCGCTTTTTGGATGCAGGAAAATGGCGTGGATCGATTGTTTCATCTCTTGCAACTAGATCTCTCAATCTCTTCCATCGTGTTGCTGTTTGTGTCGACCCATTCTTATTGTCTTTAACAACTTCATCTTCTTTTTCGAGTTGGATATTCTTCTCATTCTCCTTATTACAGGTAGTAATCGACCAAATATCATTGATGCTATTATGGCCGTCGTCGGAAGGCGATTGCTGATCCATCATTGTTATGCGTTCATGACTGTGGTGGTAGTGGTTCTCGCCATTTTCATCTCTATCCACTACTACTTGCTGTTGTTGTTGTTGAGTCACATTGATCTCTTGATGATGGACTGTTGCGTCATCAATATCATCGACATGTTTTTGTTCAATGTTCTGATGCACCTTCTCCACCATTGCTGAGATATTATAGGATGTGCGTGCCGCTGTAACAAATCAACGGGAAAAAGAAACACAACAAATGAGTTGAGATTGCAAGTGAAGTAAGATATAGAGAGCAAAAAAAAAAAAGGGGAAAAAGATATCCCCTTGGTTGTTGCCTTTTTTTGAATAAACGAACCAACAAAAGAACGAAACTTGATCTCGACCATTCCTACACAGATAAATTATGTGTGCCAAGAGTGTTTCGACGTGGGAATCAGGATTGGTGAGCAATTCTGTCTACTAGTAACGGTACATAAAAAAATATGTAACAGCGACGCCAAAAGGATAAATAGTACTAGCTTCTATAAAGACGTATTTACCAGAATGAACGTAATGCGTATCAACAAGAAAGGGATCATGCTTCGTATTAGCTGCCAAAAAAAATGGTTACTACATCCCCCTTATTTCGTTTATTAAGGATTGACGCGATAATTAGTTTTAAACGTGGTATTAGAACCAGCACGGATCGGGTTTCATTCATCGGTGGGACAAAAAGTTGCCCAATACGTGTACGACGTGACTCCTTCCCCGCAACTTCTTATTTTTCGATGAATTCTAGGCAAAGATCCAAAGAAAAGAAGTCTCTCAACTCCGTCTCCTCCGTCTGTCCAAGAGCTGTGGGCATTGGATGATTGATATATCTCAAATATACATTGCGACAAGTCAGGTGGAAAGAAATGGGTTACTGAAAAGCGTTATTACAAATCAGGATGTGATCGATCGTGGTGAAACCACCGAACGAACGAAAAATCCGCGCTGATGTATATATACCTTATACGCTCAAGACCGATCATTCGGTATTTTGCCCGTGGTCATGCACAATTATAATAGCTCGACGATCAACTAGACGCCTCAGTATATGCGCGACTACAGTAATACAGGTACACAGCCTTTGACACAAGTGTAGGGACCCTGTTTTTGAAGAGATATTGCTACATTGGCGAAAGAACGAACTGTCAAGTTAACAACGAAACCATTCTATTTCAAAGTAGCTGAAGCATTTAGAAAACAGACATGATAGTACTCATGAGATCTACATGCGTACGAAATCTTAGTCATATTATTTCTTATGCCACAATTAAAATACTATATACCTACTACAAAAGTAAAGCAACTGTATGAGATTCCTCTTTAACCAATTTCAGTAGCTAGACCAGAGTAATGTATCTGTTAATCTCATTATAAGTAACTCATGATTTTACTTGCCATACGGCTGCTTAATACATTCCATAAAGTACGGAAAACTGCTGTCATCCAACTTCCTTCTAATAAAGGTAATAGCAATGCAAATAACAGTGGTAGCTCATCTGATTTCGTCAAGTAGACTGCAGATCATGTTCTCTCTGTCTCGAAGTCAAGTATAATAGATATGTAATTAGGTGGAGTTATGCTATCTACTGCCAAGTGGTCGTATCTTATAATTACTGCAGTACTCGCTGGCATAACCTAAACAACCTAGTTTGGTTTTGCCTCTATAAAAAATTAACTTACTATATATCTGCGTCCTACTCATCATTATGATCGCTGACGCAACAAGTATGTCAAGAATTGCACGCTATCTACGTAGTAGATCGTTGTGATAGTTCATGTATTACGACTGCAGCAGCCCTAAGTACGAATGCATCGCCATATATCTAGTAAGCAACGTATCTTTAGGATTACCGTGGTCAGCTTTTAATAAATGGAGTGTCTCTTCTAGTACACATCAATAGTAACGCAATTAGAAAAAAGAGTAAATTTCTCCTTCATCAAACCAGCACCGTAAAAAAGATGATAACGCAGTATGTAAATAAGTGTGTCCTTATCAAACATCATTAAGCAGTAGCATACATTGCAGAAAAGTCAAGCAAAAACATTTGGATTCAAGGTTCCCAAATAAGGTACTATATCCGCGTTCAATCTCAGCAAGACGAAGGCTGAACCTTTGGGCACACGCCGCCACACCAAAGAACCTCCTCTCCATCCATCCATTAGGGGTAAGCCATCCAACCATCCATGGGAAAAGCATCCAAAGGATGCATGGGGAACGAGATAGAGTGGATTTTTAGAGTAGGGTTGAATCCATAACGAGATTCAAAAGGTTGATCGCGATGAGCGAAATGAGGGAAACTGGGAAATGAGTCCAAAATGACATTCTCGAGGCGGAAACTAATTCCCCAATTTTATTCGAATTCTCCCATTCATATTTGTTTTTTCTCTCTCTTTTCTTCTTCTTTTTTTTCCATTAGCAAATATGGTCTCACCTGCTGTTAAGCACACGATCGTTAAGAAGCGCACTGCCAAGTTCAAGCGCCATCAATCCGACCGTTTCGCTCGCGTTGGCGTAAGTGGAAATTGGAATCAACCAAAAAAAAAAAACGGAGTGCACCTGCCCAGTTATTAGGAAGAAAAAATAAAACAGAAATTAGAAATGACTGAATCGAGCCAATTTTTATCTCTATTATAATCATTTAGGAATCGTGGAGAAAGCCCAAGGGTATCGATGGCCCCGTACGTCGTCGCTTCAAGGGTCAGATCCCCATGCCCAAGATTGGTTATGGTTCGGCCAAGAAGACCCGCCACATGTTGCCCAACGGTTTCTTAAAGTTCACCGTCAGCAACGTCAAGGAGCTCGAGCTTTTGTTGATGCACAACCGCACCTACGCCGCCGAGGTCGCCCACAACGTCTCTTCCAAGAAGCGTGTCGAGATCCTCGAACGTGCTGCTCAGCTCAACGTCAAGGTCGTCAACGCTGGTGCTCGTCTCCGATCCCAGGAGTAAATTATTTTTATTATTCGCTTTTTTTTCTTTGAATAATAATAAAAAAAGGTGGATGATGCTACTCTACAAAGAACAATTTATCAAACGATCAGTCAAATAACGAACGAATCGGGATAAGTGTATGCTAAGGAACGTGGATAAAATGCAAATCTTATGTATATGCTGTCGTGGATTGTTTGTTCTTTCGACATTTTTCTTTTTTATGTAAACAGTAACAGGATTTCTGCAAAACAAAAGAAAGAAAAGAAATGTTGGGGGGGGGGTATGTAGTCGATTGGGGTTTAAAGAAAGGTATGCTATGAACTACTAGGTACATATTCTTGATGAAGATGAATTGACCTCATTGAGGCACGTATCGTTGCTTTTAATCTTCTTGAGGATTTCGCGAACCTAAGTACGCAAGTGGGCATGTGTGCGTGAGTTACCAAAAACTACTAGGGTACATGCGCGTCTTTGCTTACCTCGCCTGTTTCCACTGCAACGCTTCTTTCCAGATCGGCATAACTGCGACATAGTGGGCATTGAAAGCCGGGATAATGCGACAGTAAGGGTCGGATGCACTTGTAATGGAAGGTATGCTGACATGGTGCCACAAACAAGGCCTGAAAGGGCGCCACGGCGTAAAGACAGATGCAGCAGTCTTTGACAGCACAATCTGGTTCCGAGCAAGCGTCTTGATCCTGTTCCATGCTTTCTTCCTCGTCCTTTTCGGTCGTCGTGGGTGTTGATGTGAGTTTACGCAAAGATTGGTATGCTTGGAATCTGAAATGATATAGATGCGCGCGCGCGCGCAAAGGAGTTGTGAAAGTATCAATACATGAATACCTCGTGTTGCTTGCTGCTGAGTGGCTCTTTTTTGTCTTGTAAATGTGTTTTTAAAATAATTACCCAAAGACATCCACTTGATGTATCCGTTTCCGATTGATTTCCAATCGAAACTTGATGCTTCGATAGATATCTGCACGAGATGAAAAGATGAGCGACAGTTGTGTTTGAGTATGCACGAAATGTTTATGTATATGTACAAAGTGCAAAAAAAAAACAAAAAACAAGCACGGACCTTGGGCTCCTCCCCGAAAATCCACACCCAGCTGCAGGATATCACCATCTTTTAACGGAAACGTCTTTGATTCCTTGTTTGCTGCACATAGCCGCACATTGTTCAAGAACGTCCCGGATGAGGATCTGGTATCGCGGATATAGAACTATATAGCAAATAACATGTATTTATGTTTAGTATGGATAAGAGATCTCATAAACCTCATTCTAATATCTGTTTAGGCATATATTACCTTATGGCCAACAGTCCAAATGACTGCATGGCGTCGACTTATCACCTTGTTACGGAAGGAAATTCGATTCGGGATGAAAAACTCGTCTGTGAAACGACCCAGCTCTAGTACTGTTCCTGGTCTGAGGTCGCGTTCAATCACATCGATTCGCATGCCGGCCTCGCGTGTAAGGTCGATGCACGGAACCATACGAATCTGTGGCGCTTCTTCTTCGGATGTGAGACGATTGATTGAATGCGTATCGCTCGTAGTGTCGTCAGCTGTTAGAGTGGACAAGGAGGATGACAACCCATCGGGTGCATTGTCACTGTTTCGGCGTTCGTTGTCCGGCGTCGGAAACTGGAGATGATGATGATGCTGTCTATGAGTCCACGACGGTAATAAAGCTGAAGAAATAGTCACCAGCATGATTTATATTGCGATACCAAGATATTAACAGGAGAGGAAAAGCTGGAGAGAAAAATAAAGCAAGGTGGAAAAGTTGGTCGAGTCATTTAAATACCTTGTAAACCTCGTTCCATCCCGGCTTTTAGTGCTACACAAATTTAGCTGCGAGCAAGTATGGATATATAGGAGCGGACGTCCAATCACTTGTTTGTTATGTACGTTACTTGTTGTTATTGATAACAACAATAAGCTAAGACGATAGTGGCGCCAAAAGAGAAGCTCTCTGTTAGTGCGCTGTGTGGGGCCACTTTCAGCACTTGGGAAGGGGAAAAAAAAGGTAAACTATTTCTTTTTTCTCTTAAGACACAATCCCCATATTTGACAGAATCATAATCACCATACAATCTTTCTTTTTTCTCAAGCTCTCGTGACAAATTCTATTCTCGTGGCTCAATGAAAAATCATAACCGGGTCCGCCGTTGACGACGACGACTGTCTGGTGCTTTTTTTTTTCTTCTGTGCTTCTTAGTAGTACTGTAGTTTGTCATTATCCATATTCCTACAAACGAAATAATACCTTTTTTTTTAATTATTCATTTTGGAATTTATGAAAAACATACAAGCATGCACCCCATATCATCCAAGCGTTTCAATGCATGTACATTTGTCTGTATCTACAGCAGCACGTACATATAATCTAAAAGGCTAGATGGCGATAGCGTCTATTCTTTTTTTGAAATTCTTATCAGTTATTTTATCCCAATGGATCATCTGTCAGAAACACTTTGTTGTCATCCGTTCAGGAACGATCAGTGGCACACTTACAAATATCGTATTTTTGAAATGCGTAGCAAAGTGAGAGTGTGCCACTTAAATTTTTTCCGTAGTGCATAGATTGTAATGATTCAATGTGTCACATCAATTACCCATACAGTGCCAGTAATGGTTGTTACTATAAAACGAAATAACGCACATCTTCAACAACAGTAGCAGTAAGTTATGTGCGCGCACGTGCGTAGCCGAAACTGATAAACGCGACTTATAAGCAAGTTTCGAGAAATGGAGCGAAGGTTTGACATTTCTCGTACTTTTTTTATAAAATTCAATGAATCACCATTCAAATTTATGCTTTCTTCAAACTTATGGTGTTTTTTTTTTATCGAAAATATTGTTTCAAACATGAAAGGTTCCTGGTAACTCTTCGATAACAAGTATGTATCACCCATTCGTTTGTCTTTGGCTGCGCCAAAACTCATAAAAAAGGGACAACGACATTTTGAACTTTTCAATATCATAACATCATCGTCCCTTTTTTTTTATCATCAAAACATGTATCTAGTTCTTTCCTTCGCTGCGCTTGCTGGTCTTGCTGCTGCTGCCAACAACAACAACGATGTCAAGATTGTGATCAAGGACCACTATGATCTGCAGTTGGGGCAAGCTCGACAAATAACTCGCCAACAAGTGAATTTTCGTGGTGATACCAAGAAGTGGGGCCAAAACGATGCCCATTGCTGCTTCTCCTGCATCGTTTGCAGAGTTTACCTTCAAGGGCCATGATATTTCCCTTTTGTCGATGGCTACCCATGAGCATCACTCCGATTGATCCACACGAAACAAGATGGTCAAGACAAAAAGTTGACAGCCGTGTCTGTAGTGACCTTCCAATCATGTCCTGAACATCTCAAAAGTCTACAAAAAAGGGCCAGCAAGTCGGATGCTCCAAGTAGGGTACGGACGAGTAGCTGGCGACCACGATGTTCCCGCCCAGTGATTATTCCCAAGGACGTCAAGGGCTCTAGCCCAGATGTTTACGGTGATTTAGAAAGCACCTTCATGTGCCAATATCTAAAGGTTACACTGTTACCTTCTGCCCTTTATTATCCCATTCCCTTCTTCTCTTCATTCTCCTCTCCGTTTATTATTGTAACTTATCATCCGTGGCCCCACCAATATACTGTAGAAAGCGTTGATCGCATTCATTCTCAATAAAAGTATTACTATGATTTTATTTCAAAGGAAGAAAAAAAAAAGAGCTTTATTATGAGTATATGAAGTGTCATGTGACGCGCATAGATGAAATAAAATAAAAAAAAAAGCTTGTGATATACATGGAAAAGGGTTTACGTTGGGGAAAACCTATTCGGACGTAGGCGTTGCTCGTCGTCCAATAGGAGACTTTGTAGCCCTCTGGTGGGTGGTATTCAAAATTCTATCCAACGACGCTTGATTCAACAAAATGCCATCATTTGCTGCTCGACGCACATTCAGCGTCAGCTGTCGCAACTGTGTTGCCATGGACGCAAGCTCGTCGTTGCGTTTCCGTAACAACTGCCCTTGACTCTCGCTTGCCTCCTCTAACTTTTTCCGTGCATCATGGGCCGCTGCCTCACGCCGCTTCAACACGTGTATCTCCCTTTCGTAATGAGCAATCAGGTCGCGCGACTTGTCCGCATCCATCTTGGCCGCCTTTTGCATTTGCTTCTTTTCGAGCTTGAGCGATACTATCTCAGATTGCATCTTGCCTACATAGGCTTCGGCCTTGGCGCGTGCAGTTTGCAGGGTATGGTTCGTCTGGGTATACTTTTGTTTGAATGCTTGGTTTTCGGCCGAAAGCTTCTTGAGCTTTTGTTCATACAGTCGTCGAACATCGTCTGCTTGTCGAGTTTCTCTTAGTTGCATCACGGTGGTTGCTCCAGTATTGCTGCCACGCGCAGTAGCTCTGGCGTGGGTGGTAACAACGGGTGCTCGGCTGCCGCTCGGCCGTTTGCGGAGCGCCATGTCACGCTCCTTTTCGGTTTCCACAAGATGCTCGTGCAGTTCGTTCAGCTTGTCCTCATACGTTGACCGCATCTGTGTGTACTCATCTTCCGATTTCTCCAGTTGTCCAACAAGCTCTTTTTTCACAAGCAGGTCGGCTTGCACCTGGTGAAGCATCTTTAGCAAATCTTTGCTGCGCCGCCGCCCTGCTGCTGCTGCTGCTGCAGACGTGCCGTGCTGTCGCGTCGATGAGGTCCAACTGGAAGAGAGGCGGGATGTGGCAACCGAATTATCTGAATCGTCCAAGAGCGAGTCGGTCCATGATAACGACTCGCGTTTGGTTGAACCATTGGTGGATTGGGCAGCACGCGGTGAGCTGGTCCATGTGGGTACGGCCTAATAGAAATCTTTAATACTCCATCTGTTTTTTTTTCTCTGTATATCCCGGGGGGGTTTTTAACCCTTATAGCATCACAAGTACAAAATTGGCTTACCAAAGCTTCCAGTTCGGCATCCGAGTCAAAGTCACCGTCTTTCTCACAGCTGACAGAGCAAAATGGTCCAGACTCATCATCATAAGCGTTTCCGTTCATTGTGCTTGCGTTGCCGTTGTTGTTGTTGTTGTAATTGTGAGCTTTGGAATTCTCATTGTGATCACGTTCAGTGGAACGGAAGAGATCGCTGCTACCACTACTACTAGAACGTTTTAAGTCTACGCCTGATATATCCTGTATCACGGTTTCATCTTGAGACTGTGACCAAACAAACAGCAAATTGTTTGCGTTTTCGCTAAGTAAAGTTTAGAATCAGGGAAACTCCAACAGCAGATTCCCCCATCAATCGATTTCTCATTGGGGGGGGGCATCATTGACTGGAGACAAGAAGAAAGAAAGGGTGCGTGTGTTTACCTCGCTTGGCCTTTCGTGTGAACTGAATGACTGAGACCGGGCATCGAATGCTGACTAGAACGGAAATATGTCAAAACAAAGGGTTGTATTCTTTTTTTTTGGTTTTTCTGCGTTAGAATTTACCCCATTGGTTGGTCCCAGCATCATATGAATTAGTTTTTCAGTAGTAGTGGTGGTGTTGTTGTTGTTGTTGCCATCAGCGCCACGTTTCCTACTATGTGTTTTCATTCGCTGAGCAATCGGTACATATTTACGCTTTTGTCGACGTCCGGAAAGGGTCCCAACAGGTCTGCTGTGGATGTGTCTCATGGCGTCACGATGGTCAAGAGAAGAAGATGCTGCGGCGCCATGGCGTCCTGGTACTGCCGCTGAATGGGAGGGATACAGTCCTGGATAGCTGTTATTGCTATGCGTCACGGTGCTGCTGCTCATCATGGAAGAAGGCGTGCTACTCTGGGGTGAGTAAGCGGTGGTGGTGGTGGTGGTGGTGGTTTCTGCTATACCAGTAGTAGTAGCCATCAAACGGGCCTCAGCCAACTGAAGTTTCAACGCCTCTACAGTTTCAGCATACTGGCGAATCACCGGATGAGCCTCGGTGATCAGAGGGTCAGGTGAGATCTGTGCTAGCAACGTGTCTCTCTCGCTCTGCACTCTAGCCAATTCAGCTGATGTTTCTTGATTGTACTGGCGCATCCGGACTAATTCCTCCCGCTCATGCACCCATCGATCGCTCTCTAGAAGCAGCTCAAGCTGTTGGTGTTGCTGATGACTTGTATGCTGATGATGGTGGTTCTGGACCTTTTGGAGGATAGACATCTGCATTTTTAGCTGAGAGACCTTGGTTCGCAAGAAATCGAGCTCGTCTGGACTGCCTTCATAATCGTGGTTGATCTCGACGCGATTCTGGATATTGCGTGCTCGACCGGCATATTTCAGGGTATTCAGTGTCTTCATATAATCTGCATCCGCAGGGCTGACGCAGGCCAGCATAAGCGTATGGCTGTTGCCTCCCAGACTGTCCTGCAGCAATCTGGTCAGCTTGCTGTCGCGGTAAGGTACATGGGCCCCCTTGCGGGACTCGTCGCCGAGTGCTGAAATGACATTACCCAGTGCGAGTAAGCCGGTGTTGATGGCTATGCCTTCTTTTTGCCGATCACCAATTGTTCGCTTGAGCTAGCAGCTTCCAGTTCAGTTTTTTTTTTTTCTTGCTTCTTCCCTCCACCCCTCAAAGAGCAACCTTTCTTACCCTTTCTGAACCTGCGAGATCCACAAAGTGAAACTTGGATGCAATGCGTTTCATCATGGGCGACGTGTCGATAAATGTCGTGCTGCTGCTGTTGTTGTTGGTATCATCTGCCATTTGCTGTTTTAATAGCACCGAAAACACAGCATGAGACCGAGAAGATGCGGCATTTATATCTGTAGACCCTGTTGCTCTGTACGCAGCTCCTTGTCGCAGCAGCCTAAAGGACAGGACCAGGGGGGGGGGCAGGACAGGACAGGACAGGACAATTGTGTTTATGCAATTAATACTCGCCTTCCCCACATGTGCATTCCACTTTTTTCATCTTTTTTTCTTTACCCCAAGAGTTCCTCAGCATTGTGCACTTGTTCCTCACGAACACCAGCCCAGTAGATACTGCCATCCAAAGCTTCGCGGATCGACGGATGTATCTCCGCCGTATCCCGATGTGGCTCCAAAAGGTCGTTGAGATCCTCATGATACAGCTCCAGAAAAGACACGTAGACCTGGAACGAGTCGTCACCCCCTTTCGTCTTGGACTTTTCTAACCCGTCGAAAAGCAGGTGTGCAAACCGTTGAACGATGCCTATAAATAGAATTCTCAATTAGAAAAAGAGGCTCTTTTTTTTTTTTAATGTTTGGGATAGATAAATCCAAATTTTCTAACACGCCTTGATCTCCGTCTTGAGTGGTGGTGGTGGTTGTTGTATCTATGCCTGTGCCCATGCTATATGTCTTTCCGGAACCGGTTTGGCTTTAACAGCTTTTAAAGTTAGAGAAAAGAAAAAAAAGAAAACGACGATCAAGGGGGAAGGTTTCGACGAGATGGAGAGCAAGGGCGGAAAAGAGCCAACTTTTTTTTTTTTTTTTTGTTTCCCTTTCTTCTCCTCAAGTCGCATTATCCGTTTGTTTCGTTCATGCAGCAGCAGCAGCACCCAAGCAATAACAACAACAACAACAAAGACACATACCCATATGCTAGTACAGTAACATTGTTGCTAAATAGATATGCATCTTAGTATAATCAGGCACACTGGTACATTATCTTTTTTATTACTATTATTATGCTTATTCTTATTTATTACCCCTCAATGAAGCGATCGACAAGTGGAACAACCGTGTCACTGAATACCGTGTGTTGCGTGGATTCAGGCTTAAACACATGGTCAAAAGTGAATGCTCTATCTGATCCCAAAAAGATCTGCGGCTCGTCTTTGGCGAACGTGATGCATTCGTGGTAATTGGCGGATTGCTCTTTGGCGGAGAGTGGCCGGACCCGCAATGCCACCCTAATTAGAAAATGATTCCACAATGTCAGCAGAAACAAGACAATGAACACACACGATTCTTAGAGAGAGAGGAAGCGCTTTTCTTTTAATTATTATTTTTTTTTTGGGGGTCATCTTGCCTGACAGCAGTAGTCGCCATAGAGATGGAGAAGGCAAAAACAAAAGAAAGGGAAAGGGTGCTTTTTGCCTTTTAAAAAAAAAGTGAGGGAAGCGGGGCAAAATGGGTTGCCAGGTTTTTACTGCACACACTTTTTGGCTTGCCCAAACAACACGCCCAATAATGCGGAGATCAGAAAAGGTGCCTGAGGTTGCTGGGTCATAGAGTATGGGCCAAACACAGAGAGTGGGCAAACGTGCGTGTGTCCGTTCGCCGCCCGCCGCTATATACAATGCCCAGTCAGACAAAAACGTCGTCATAGGCAATAGCGGACTTGGGGTTTAAGCGACGACGACGACGACAGTACTTCTGCTTGGCACACAGCAGCAGCAGTACTTGATAGAAAGAGCCGTCCATGGTTAGTCTCTGCAGAAAATATATTATCCGTGAACCGTGCCGTGCCCCGGGGGGGGGGAGGTGCGTGGCAACGAAAAGATAGCCACGACAGTAGCCCATTTTCACACGCATCCTCTATAGGTAGTAGCAATAGCAGCATAGTATCAAGTGCACGAGCCATTAAAAAAAAAAATACCGTGGCAACCATGCAGCATTGGCACCACACAAAGGCAATAATGGCGCTCGACATATTCTATAAGATTCTTCCAACGCGTGATATGATCCAAGCTTCACATCACACTCTTTTGATCAAAGCGCACCAAGTCGTCTTTTTATGTAATAGTGCAAGACACGGTGGGTGTCTCTCTCTCTCTCTCATGGAAATTTACAGAAGCTTGCCTCATCTATAAGTAATGTGGTGCGATAATTATTACGTTTGGGACCGGAAAAGTGACCTTCGATCCTTTTTCTTTCACATAATTTGAAGGGCATGTGAGCCCTTTTGTCTTTATGTATTGTGGGAACTCCCCCGGTTCTTCTAAAAGGGCGGGGCAAAAAGGTTGGAAGGGTGAGGCACTTTTTATGAGGCGGGATAGTCTCGGTGAGAGGTCCTGGCCCAAGAACGAAAAAAAAAAAAGTCCGCATTGAGGAAGGGCGTGTTGTTCAGAGCACACACACATATCACGTTTTGGTGCGACAGGTGAGTCCAGGCCCCAAGGGAGCCCCATTTATTTTAGCGGGATGGCCTTTCTGGCACCAACAGCCGTGTCCACTTGGCCAAAAAACCCCAAGGCGAGAGGAGGATCGGGACCCCAGCAGCCCCCCCAAGCCATTTTTTTTTGTTTCCCCTGTTTGTCATCATGCCGACACATGCCTTTTGTTTTCCTTTCTTATTGTATATAAAAGAGAAAACCAGATCTGGGTTTCCCTTGGCTCGCCTCTCTTTTTTTTTTTTTCATTCTTCATCCATTACACCGTCATGCTTGCCACGTCCACAATGATGCTCGAAAGCACCACCACCACTACCACCACCACCACCACATCATCATTATCATCATCATCATCATCATCGCGCGCTGATGCAGCACACCCACGCCGTCACTCGTTCTCATCCTTTGTCCGAAACCTTATGCTCTTGATATCACCATCCGTCTCCAACGACGACGACGACGACGACGACAGCGACAGCGACAGCGACTCGACAACCACAGTGAGCAATTATCACACCTGTGGCTACGATGCGCATGCGACAGGCGAAGCATCCAAGAAAAACAGCCTCTTCTTGGAAATGTATTTCTCCTTCCCCGCACTCGAAGATACTGATGCCGAGTCGAATTTGTGCGCTGCAGACGCTCATCACATCCACAACAACAACAACAACAACACTAGGAGCACCGGTGCTTCGTTCATCGTTCCAACCAGCCGAGTGCTTTGTTGAAAATATTTACCTTCATCTTACATCATTTGCAACATACTACTATATACCTTCCATCTGTCAGCATCATCCAACACCCCCCCCCTCATTCTTATTCTACCATCCACAACAGCAGCCAAATAACAGCCGCCCATTGTTTTTCCAATTACAAGACAATCACACACACATATCTATTTCTTCCCGCTACCCCTTCTTGAACCCCAAAAAATACCAGACCCTTTTATCTATCTATTTGATCTCCCATTTTGTATATTATCATCATTCTTTTTTTTTTCTTTTATGAAAGCTTATTTATGCATGTAAAACACACAACAAATGTCATTTAATAAATGAGCCAAAGGAAAACTCTCTGTTATCCTAAAAGCTCATCTACCATCTCGCACATAGTGTATGAAAAAGGCAAAAACCGCATGGAGAGAGAGAGAGAGAGAGTATGTAGTGAAGGCGGGGCTTCCTTCATCTATGTGAGCAGTGGCTCGGGCCCCTGGATTAACCGGTTTGCAGCATTATGTCAATCGAAAAATAGTTTTTTTTTTGGCTTACAAGTCCGAATTTTTTTTTTTTTGCGCTCGCCGGCCCCTTTGGCTTTTGCCCGGGGGGAACATCAGGATACTTTAACGCCTTGAGTGATCGAGCCTTTCTGATTTTGACAGCACTTTGTTGTGATGGCGGATTGGGCCGATGTGGGAGGGCGAGAAAAAAAAAAAAAAAAAGACATAGAATGTATCATCATCGCACAAATGATCGCTCCCTCAGCCCGGGTCGGCTTATTGAGGCTTGTGGGCCTCTCTCCCCCCCCCCAATAAGTTATTATCTTGTGACCCGCTTTAGCTTTAGTGGTAGTAGTAGTAGTAGTATAATGGCTGTTATTATTACCACATCCAGTAGTAGTAGTAGTAGTAGTGAGTGGCCCAATGGTTCAAGACAAGTGAGTCATTACGACCGACCGACCGACGTTATGCCAACCCCAAAAATCATGTATCATACCAAAAAAAAAAAAAAAGCTGGTCATAATTTTATACCAGAAACCCTTCGTTTGGTCTTGGCAAGCTTGTTCGTGATTTCCCCTCTCCCTCCCTCCCTCCCCCCCCCCTCTTTTTACCTTATGAGCAGTTTACGCCTGAAGAAAAATACCTCATTCGCGTGTTTGAATTCTTTCTTTCAGCTGCAGATGGCAAAAGGGAAAAAACACTTGCATAATTGCCCATTTCCAGATGATATAGCCACCACCATCACCAATTTTTCACTTGGTACTGCAAAATAATGAACGTTTTACTTGCAAACAGTTATATGTGCTAGTCCACATTGGATGAACCAGCCCCTCCCTCTCCCCCACCCACCCATCATACAACAACCTTATGATGCATGCTTGGGATCGCTCTTTATTTAATTTCTGCTGCTTATGCTGCAACCAGATACGTAATCATACTGGCTATTTCTGTCAATAATGTATGAAGGGATCTTTTTTTTTTTTTGAATGGGGCAACAGAACCAAAAAAAAAAACACATTACTCTTGGAATAATGCGACTACTAGTCTAATACTAAAAACAACCATCACGACTGCTGCTGCTATATCATCATCATCCACTTTTTTTATAATGATGGTTCACGAGGCTCTTGGAATGATGATTCACGTTCAGCAGCATCGATCAGATCCTGCGTCATTTCATCCTTGATCGATTTTCCACTGTTCTCCGTTCCAGAAGATGGGAGTCCTGGTGAGTTTCCGTCGCGTCCTCTTGGCTTATTAATGGTATTATAGATGGATAAAGCCTAAAAACGGATTTTTCTAGGTGTGAGAAATTACACAATCCGCCCAAAAGGTTTATCGATAGAAAAAAATCCCCCAATAGATTTTTACCTGAGCCACCATGGAAGCAGCGTCATTGGCAGCCGCGGGAACAATCATGGTCGTTCCCTCCTTGGCCATCTTTCCAAAGGCATCCACGTACTTTTCAGCGACTGTCATCGAAACCGCATCAGTACCACGGTGCCGGCTGATGGCGACGGCAACCTTTTCGATACCCTTTGCAGATGCTTGTGCACGGAGCAAGATCGCCTCGGCTTCACCGGATGCCTTGTTGATTTGTTCAGCCTTCTCGGCTTCTGACGCCAGGATGGTAGCTTGCTTACGACCCTCTGCTACGTTGATGGCGGCTTGTCGCGCACCTAGTATCCGATATATAAAAAAAAACCCCCTTCAATAACTTTTTTGTTTCCAACTCTACTGAATATGTCCCCCCTCCATTTCGTCGGTCATTACCTTCGGATTCAAGAATTTGTGCACGCTTGGTACGCTCCGCAGAAACTTGTTGATGCATGGACTCAACCACCTTTGCCGGAGGATGAATATCGCCTAATTAAGTAGCAGCTTGTATAGTTTAATAGCCCATAGGATTGCCTTTTTACTTGGGGGAGGGGGAACTTACGGATCTCATATCGAAGACACTGGATTCCCCAGTCTTCAGACGCGGAGTTGATTGCGTCCACAATGTTTGAGTTCAGGTGAGCTCGTTCTGCCAGCGTGCGATCCAATGTCATTTGGCCGATCTCTGCGCGCATGGTGGTTTGTGCGAGTTGTGTAATAGCGAATTCGGCATCCTCTACTCCATAAGAAGCCTAGATTGCATCATTGAAGCGTCAGAAAATAGCTCCATTATTAACGGGCATGATAAGAAAGTTTTTTTTATGCAAGAAAATAACCTTGAACGGGTCCATGATACGGTAATACAAGACACCATCAAGCTCCAGAGTGACGTTATCTTTGTGTGTGTGTTGTGACAGAAACCAAAAAAAAAAAATTAGGATCTTCCCCGGCATATCTTTCCTTTGTTACCAGTTTCCCCATACACCGTGCCTTCCTGCCCTCGTTTTATGTTCCCGGCTCGAAAAATAAAAGATATCCGATAGATTTGAGCTTTTTTTTTTTTTAGTTTACCTTGGGTAATAGCACTCTGGCTCGGGACTTCAATAGCTGTTTCTTTGAGACTCTTGACGTACTTTATACGGTCAAGTATCGGCACCAAGATATTCAATCCGGGTTCGAGCATGCGGTGGAATTTACCCATGCGCTCGACAATCCATGCTTCTTGTTGTGGAACGAATTTGACAACCTAAAATAATAGAAAAGCTAAAATTCAGGGCATAATTGTAAAAAGAAAAGAAAAGAAAGAGAACGTACAGTGTTTCGTGGTAATGACTTGCGTTCTCCACCTCCCCAACCAGAACCAGAACCTGTTCCAAACTGTGTAGGTGCACCATAGGAGTCGTAGTCGTTATTATAGCCATAGCCGCTGTAAAACCGGACACGATGGCATACTGCTGACTACACAATTTTGTTTTGAGCATTTCTTTTTCTCGAGTTTCAAAGAAATTCTTTCCTTATAAAGTGACATTTTTTACCTTGAGTGCCGTATTCTGTGCTAATAAGCGAGTGTTGAGAATGGGAGCAGAACGAATCAAGGCACGCGATCGCTGTACAGATTGCATTGTTTTTTTCTCGACACGTCTGCTTAATGTTGTGGAGAGAGAGAAAAAAAAAAGGGGGGGGTGGTGGGCTACCTGCAGCAGGAATTGGGACGCGTGTATTTTAGACACAACCCACCAGCGTTTTAATGACTCCGCTCACGTCATGTATACCGTGCACACAAAGAAACGTTCAAATGGGCGGGTACAAAGAACCAAAGGGAAGAGTTGGTAGAGTCCAAGAGCACCGTCTCATGTAAATAGCGAGGTGTGGTGGTAACATGCCAAGGGCGCCAGGTCACAAAGGGGAGTGTCAATAGGGATGACAACAAACAAGAACAAACACGATGCTTTTCCAACGCACACAAGCTTATCAAGGGGAGGCATTCATGTGGTAAGTAAGCGAACTTGATATGGCTGATCCAAACTGGGATTGCTGTGACAATAGCAGTGCAGTTCGTGTAGATGACAACGGTGGCAGCAAGAGAAGACACCATTCTTTTGATTTACCCATATATAAGGCATGTGAAGTCAAAAGGGATGACGATGTCTTTGTTACAACAAGCCTTTCATTTCCTGGACAAATGTGCAGTGACAATAGAGAAGCCCGTTCTGTTCGGCTGACATGTGATTGCCCAGTGCGCACGTCACTGCCAGACCCAATGTTTCATGTCTGATTTGACGCGCACAACAGCGACACCAGCTTTTTTAAATACTAGCCAATTATGTGTGTTGTAGGACGAAGCGTTGTACGCTACCTGTGCCGAGTAAAAGAAGAATGGTGGAGCAAGAAGCAGGAGCAGCATAAATGTACATGTAAAGCGCGGGGTAAGAGATTATGTTGATGGAGCATAAAGAGCATATGCTTTGTTGTTGTTGTTGTTGTGGAGTAACAAAAAAGTCCGTGATTTGTCAGTGTATATTATTCCAGTTCGCTGCCCAGGGAACGGAAGAACTGATTATCCCTCGCTGTATTTGACATTTGGTTCCCCCCCCTAAATCTTTTATCAGATGCAGCCCTCGACAGAGTCTTTTACTTGGATATTCACAGCAAAGAAAATAAAAATGATCCGTTTTTTTTTTCTTTTCTCCACACTTTTTTTTTTCTTTCTTGGGCGGAGTGCACTTGCAAAACGGTGATGTTGCTGACACAGAGAAATGCTCTGGGAAGTTCGTCAGGAAGGCGTTAGGGCATTAGTAAAGCGAAATGCTCATTGAATATCCGATATTATATTTTTATATAAGCTCAGCTTCTCCCCCGCTTTTTGCCAGCTTTTTTTTTTTTCTTTTCGAAACGGGCAATTTTCTTTTTTCTTTTCCTCCTCAATCTCCACACAATGACATTCGACAACAACACTCCCACCAAGTTCCCTAACCTTCCACCCAAGGGTCCTGACGGCGACTTGCTCTTGGCCTCGGAGCGTGCAAAGGCCACTTTTGACGTCAAGGAGCTGTCAAAGTTCATGTACACGGAACAATACTTGAGCAAGATGGATAAGATCGTTGACATTCTCGAGAACGAGCCTGCTTTCGACAAGTCAGACCGCTTCCATCACAGCCGCCCTGAAAAGATTGCTGCTTCCTTGTGGAAGGATAAGCGTCTTATCGAACTCACAAAGTAAATGAGCCCAGCAAATGCACGTGAATGTGTATCAATTTTACGACCCAAATTAATGCTAATGTGTCTTTTTATTTCTTTCAGAGAACACAATTGGGATGAGGAGGATGTCTCCATTGCCAATTTCTTGTATGATATGTCCTCTCCTGTAAGTATACAACAACAACAAATAATAGTAGATTTTTTACTCGTATTTCAAGTGTCTGATCGATATGCTAATGGCATTGTTACACACACGTCAATAGTTCACCCTTCACTACAGCATGTTCATCCCCACCCTGAAGAACCAGACCACCGATGAACAAAAGAAGCTTTTCCTCGAGCCCGCATTGAAGCATCACATCATTGGCTGCTATGCTCAAACTGAGGTTAGTCTCTGTTGCGATATTCTTTAAACACAGAATTGAATGATATTTACGCAGTGTTGTCATTATCTATTTAGATTGGCCACGGTTCCAACGTCCAGGGTTTGGAGACGACCGCTACTTACATCAACGAGACGAATGAATTCGAGATCCACTCGCCTACCTTGACCTCCTCCAAGTGGTGGATCGGTGGTCTTGGTAAGGCTGCCAACCACGCTATCGTCATGGCCCGTCTTATCTTGAACGGCAAGGATTATGGACCGCACCCCTTCTGCGTTCAGGTACACACATGAAGTTTAATAATATTATAGGCTATCAGCGTATATCATATACACATAGATGGCTGACATTTACCTCTTTCAAAAAAAAAAAAAACAGATCCGTAGCCTCGAAGACCATCGTCCTTTGCCTGGCATCACCGTGGGTGATCTTGGTCCCAAGTTTGGTTTCAACAGTGTCGACAATGGCTTCATCATGTTTGATCATTACCGTATTCCTCACGTTTCCTTCTTGGCCAAGTATTCTCAAGTGAAGCCCGGCAGCGGTGAATATGTCAAGGTATTGTAACAAATCGATGCAAGTGGGATAGCTGGACAGGATTACTTGCTAGATTTCTAACGATTGTGTCTACATTAGCCACCCAATGCCAAGCTCTCCTACGGAACGATGGTCTTTGTTCGTGCAAACATTGTTTTGGGTATGTTTTTTATCGGATCCGATAGCTGGTACATAGTGAAGAGAAATTGTGGTGGGGACACAAGAGGTATATTTGCTTACTTTATCATGTGTAACCTTTAAAAGGTGTCCGTATGGCTATTGCACGAGCCGCCACTGTTGCCGTCCGTTACTCGGCCGTCCGTCAACAGTTTGTTGATGCTGCCAATCCCCGCAAGTGGGATAACAAGGTCATTGAGACCCCCGTCTTGGATTATACCATGCAGCAATACCGTGTTTTGCCTGCTGTCGCCACTGCCTACGCATGCTACTTTACTGGCCGTGACATGATGCGTCTTTACGACTTGAACCAAGCTGAAATGGCCAAGGGTAACTTTGGTCTTCTTGCTGACTTGCACGCCAGCTCTTCTGGCTTAAAGTCGCTCACCACAACCATGGCTATCAGCACCATCGAAGATATGCGCAGAGCTTGCGGTGGTCACGGCTACAGTATGTTCTCTGGTTTGGGCCAGTTCTACCAAGACTATCTTCCTAACGTTACCGTAAGCAAAACCTACTGTGGATGGAACTTTTATGGAAAGAAAAAAAAAAACTAAAACTCATCCTATCTCTTACAATTAGTGGGAAGGTGATAACTACATCTTGACTCAGCAGACCGCTCGTTACTTGTTGAAGACTTACCGCAACGTTGTCGCTGGCAAGGCTACCGCATCCGAGCACAACCACACTATCAACTACTTGATCCAATATCTGCAGAACCCGAATGCCAAGTGCCCTGCCACCACGGGCGCTGACCTGCTCAACCCCGAATTGATCTTGGCCGCCTTTGGTTTCCGTGCTGCTTACGGCATTGCCAAGGTTGCCGAACAGATCGACAACCAGGGCCGCTCGTGGAACTCGATGCTCGTCGAAATCAACCGTATCTCGCGCGCACACTGCCAGTTCATGTTGGTCCGTACCTTTATCGTTTCGCTCCAGAACGATGAGCGTTTGGCCAAACCCGAGAACCGTGCTTTGCTCAAGACCCTCCGTTCCTTGGCCTCGCTCTTTGCCTTGCACACCATGGAGCAGGAATTGGCCGAGTTCCTCACCCCTGGCTACATTTCCACTGAACAGACCGTCTTGTTGAAGCAGCAGGTCATTGCCTTGTTGGAGGAAATCCGACCTAATGCCGTTTCCTTGGTCGATGCCTTTGCTCTTCCCGATTACTACCTCAACTCTGCTCTCGGCCGTTACGACGGTAAGGTTTACCAGGCTTACACAGCTGCTGCCGAGCGTGAACCCCTCAACCAAACTCAGGTTGTGGAGGGTTACGATCAGTTCATCAAGCCCCTCGTGCACGACGGTTTGAAGTCTGGCAGCTCCCAGGTGGCCAAGCTCTAAAACAAATTTTGATACCGCCAATCTCCTTTAAACTTTCCCCACCCCCCTCCCTCTTTCCCGTATTCTCTGTTTTTCCCCCCATTGTATATTCCGCTTTGTAATTCTCTTTTTTTCCAACTATTCCGTTGTGTATTCTATACATATACTAATCTAGATAGACAGGGCGTTCCCTCCCTGAAAGATAGATCAATCACCTCCATTTAAAACCATCAATCTTTTGTTATTAAAACAGTGTTTGTCTAAAGCATAGGAACATGACATGTGGTGCGCGAAGCCTGATGTAACTGTGCTACTATAATCAATTGCAATTTTTACAAATGTTGGGCTACGATGTCAGAAAAGTGATGAAGTCTTTAGGGTATGTTTAGAAACATAAAAGTCCTGATTTATTATATTGAAATAAAATACATAAATCTTTTTTATCATCCATTAACACCAGCATAATTAATTATACCAAGCCGTACTTCTTGTTGCAAGTAGTAAAGCCGGTTTGTGAGATCGGTGATGTCGCCTTGGCAGCCTTTTAGCGACGAGAGTATGTTTGGGAGTGATGGCGAGTCTCGGTTTAGGATTGGACCGCTCGCTGCACAGCATGGGCTTACGTACACTTCTTGGCATTTCAGCCGAAAATTGCAACTTGTCGACTATTAGCTGCAGTAAGTGGGACCGAGACACAACATTTTTCCTTTGGTTTTTGACTTGCGCGCATAGCCAATGCCAATAACATTGGGATTTTCTTCGACGTGTTTCCAGTACGACGACATGGAATCGTTCGTTTCTATCAGGTGTTGGCGCATTTCCTTTTGCAGTATCCACAGATGTCGCCCGTAGGTCGTTTCTCCGCGTGCTTTTTGACGGGTCCCCCTATTTTCGACTGCCCGACCCAATACTGAAGTTGCGATTCATTACAGTGTCGAGGCAGGTTTGGGAAATTATCCGTCATCCTTTTGTAATAGATTGCCGACGTAACAAATTCGTCATTGAAGAAACTTTCAATGGCGGGATCGACATTGGTGGCAATAGTCTTCATTATGTGCAACACTCTATCTTTGCAGTGGTCTACGTGTGATTGATTTTATAGACCAAAAGGCTTTATTGCTCTTGTTAGTTTATTGTTGTGGAATATACGATAATACAATATAGCTATGATATCTTACATTTTATGGAGGTTGTAATATGTGTGTGAGAAAGAAAAGAGAGGGGAGTAAAGGGGATATTCATGCATAAATATAAGAGTCATGGTTTTGTGATATATGGATTTGATTGGCTACCTCGGAACAACCAATTTGTAGTTTATAAGATAATTCATTGGTACATCAGCAGTATGGAATAACAGGACCGTTGAACGTGTGTTTCTGACCCCGAGGAGCCTTGTCATTGTCGTCAGCAAAGCTGACGACATCCTTGTTATGTTCTACATTGTCGCAGTTAACGTCACTATTCTTGGTGTTGCCGTCAATGTCTTCACTGATTTCAGGTAGTGTGATGCGTCGGTTGGTGAAAGAGTGGGTGTTGCAGGATACGTCAGAAATTTGTATGGATTTCGTTCATGGGACATCCAACCCAATTGCTGCTGGTCGTATAGGATCTTGGCCACGAAAATGGAAGGCTATAAGACCTGCTTCTTTAAGATGCTTCTTTGCTCTTTCCCGATGTTCGATGGTAGGTTTGTAACCTAACACCAGATACGAAGCTTGACCAAGTGTCAACATGAAGCGCATAAAGTGGAACAAAGGAAGAACAGGTCTTTTCCTTATAAAAAAAAGTGGTAGAATAGCGCTGAGTTTTTTTTTAGCATGGCGGACGCCTGACATGGCTCATGATGAATTATAAAATGGCGGTTTTATCATGGCGATCTATGTATTAAGACATGGCGGCTTGCTATTTTACTTTTAATCATAGTTTTATATCTTTGCTGGATAAATGCAAGTGCTGCTTCAGAACACATGGGGAAAAGAACGATTTAGAATGCTCAATGCACCCTCTACAGTCCCGTGCTGTAACTTGATGTGCAGACGCGACGGTATGTGGAGTCAGAAAGTCGGCCTTGGTCAAAGGCTCGCGCTTGACACCAGCTCACCACTTTGACTAAAACTCTTCTATTGGGCTCAAAAATGGTGAATAAGGGGGGAGATGCAACACCTGGGATCCACGCTTAGTAAACAGTTTGTTGTACTTGTAATTGAGAATGGTGGGATCTAGCATTATCCATAACAAGAAACCTCCCATAGAAATTTATCTTTTGAAGCACATCTACCACCGTCTCTGAGAATTGGCAAAAATGTTCTGCTCTTGAACCAATTTTGGCAATTAAGCGTTGCTCACCCGTTCTCCAGCCTTCTTTTCTCGGAGCCTCCGGCCCCTGCTTGTGATTTCCGTAACGAGAGCCTTACCACATCTTTTTCAGCAATAGCGCCTAGAATAGTTATGTTGACACGACGGTTTTTAGCGGCTACTGCCTTAGCAGGAGTACCTCTTCTTGTTCGCCCGAAAGTTTGCTTCTAATGCAAATTGGAGCTGCTTCATTGATAAAAACACATTGATCGAAATCGATATGATATTGTGTCTTCCAAGTTCGAGTACCCACTCTTTTCTTTTGTTAAAAGAAAAAACTATATATATGTCAAAACTATAAGTGTAGAAAAGCAGTTTTACTATTCAAAGATACTCTATTTAACAATATAAAATTACCAATGAATATTCAACTTCATTTACTATATTTATTTTTAGGAAACGTTTCTTGTTCATTTATTACAATAAGTTTAAATATTGATAAAAATATAGTAAGTAAAAAAAGTTAGAAATTATATGAAAGATAAGGAAATATTAATAAGATTAGAGGAAGAAATAAGATTGTTGAGATAGATGAAAGTAAGATATCAAAAAGAAAATCTATAAAGGATATGAAGTTAGAGGTTGTTGGGTGATTGGTGGAGTAGAGAGAAGTATTTTAAAAAATAAAATTGAAAATGAAAATAGAAATACACTCTTTATACCTATTGAAAAAAAATATAGATAATACTATTGTTAACTATTAAAGATAATGTTAAGAAAGGGACATATTTACATAGAGTATTGGAAAGGTTATAATAATTTAAGAATATAGGATATAAACATAAAATAGTAAATCATAAAAAAAACTTAAGGATCCTATAGTAGGATAGGAATTCATACAAATGGTATAGAAGGTACATGAAGGGATTAACAAGAGGTATAGATATTAGAAATCGAACTAGAAAAGATTTATTATTACATCTAAGAGAATATCAATGGAGAAAATAAAATAAAGAATATAATGTATAGAAAACGTTTTTAAGATCCTAAAAAACTGGTTTTTATATTATTAGTCCCTAATGATACAATTATAAACTATCAGCTTAATATTTAAAATATATAAATATTAAAATACATTTAGATATACATTTTAAAAAAATTGAATAATAAAATAATAATAAAATAAATAGATATGGAGGATTTGGTAGATGATAATTTCAAACATAATATAAAATGATATTTAATAATAAAGAAAATAAAAAGTATGATATAAAAGAATATAAAATTAAACAAAATGATAGATATTTTAAAATTTTAATAAATCGAAATGGTGAAAATAATCATTATCAAAAGGTTTATTCTTTTAAAAGTTAAATTAATATAAGAAAAGATAGATATTTTACTAATAAAATTGAAGATTTAAATAGAAATATTAAAAAATGAAGTTTGATAAATAAATAAAAAGAGTTAAAATATAGTTAAGTACTTCATGAATAAATAATGTAAATATTTGAGGATTACAGTGGACCCCCTTTAATGTCAACCCCTTTAATGTCAACCCCCAATATGGTCAACCTTTTTCTGAGAACCTCACATTTTAGCAGAGATAAATTTCAACTTTTACATAAGGTCAATGTCAACACCTTGGCCAGGGTTGACTTCTTATTGAGGTCAAACATATCCAATCAAAAGAGGTTATTTCGTTGTTGGTTGAAAATACATTGTTAGGAACGACTCTGTTGCATACATACATTGTGTCAGGGTGCGCTGGTTTAATATTTTTATTATACGGTTAAACTTTGTGCCACCCCCTTTAACGTCAACCCCCGTTAGCGTCAACACTTTCAGGTGTACTTGAGGGTTGATATTAAAGGGGGTCAACTGTAGTTTAAAAAAAATATAAAACAACTACTAAATATAGAATATATAAGCTGTAATCATATTAACCCTAACATTTTTTTTGATTATGAATTTGTACAGCGGTAATGCAGTACAAAATGATGACAAATATTTTCCCAAACCTGCCCCAATACTGTAATGAATCACAACTCCAATATTGGGTCAGGCAGTTGAAAATATAGGGACCTGTCAAAAAGCATGTGGAGAAAGGAAAAACGAGCTACAGATGACATCTTTAGATACTGCAAAAGGAAATGCGCCAACACCTGATAGAAACGAACAATTCTATATCGTCGTACTGGAAACATGTCGAAGAAAATCCCAATGTTATTGGCATTGGCTATACGCGCAAGTCAAAAACCAAGGAAAGTGATGTGTCTCGGTCCCACTTACTGCAGCTAATGGTTGACAAATTACATTTTCGGCTGAAATGCTAAGAAATGTAAGTAAGTTCATGCTGGTGGATGTGCAATACCTTGATGTTCAAAAAAGTATAATTGTTTTTTTAAAGTAAATATGTTTTGATATCTAAATTGAATGTTTACTAATAATATAAATTATATCTTTTTAAATATAATATCATTGTTTTTGTCAATGTAGAAAGGATATATATTTATTTTATATTTAAATATTATTTTTAGAAATAATTAAAGTTGTGTTACAAATTTTCTTGGTAATAATTACTTCTCCAAATATTAAAAATACCCTTTTTCTTATTTACTTAATTTTTATATAATTTTAAAATAAAATGTAGATATTATAAATAATTTCAAGAACTTATAAATATTTATTTCTAATAAATATATTATAATATAGAATAAATCATA